TCTTCTACGTAGGATCTTTGGTGTTAATATGGATCTCCTAAATGTCTCGCTTTCATCATACAGTGGTACCTCGAGTTAAGAACTTAATTCGTTCTGGAGGTCTGTTCTTAACCTGAAACTGTCTTACCCTGAAGCACCACTTTAGATAATGAGGCCTCCTGCTGCCGCCGCGCCGCCAGAGCACGATTTCTGTTCTTATCCTGAAGCAAAGTTCTTAACCTGAAGCATGATTTCTGGGTTAGTGGAATCGGTAACCTGAAGCATATGTAACCTGAAGCGTATGTAACCTGAGGTACCACTATATTAATGAACAGTTTGCGGCTGTCTGGGTGCTTGCAGATGGGAGTTTAATGTGGGATTGATCTGCAAAAGTTTTTCACACTGCCCACAAGACATTTGCTCCGCAGCAGAGCACAAACTACTTGGTTGTTGTTTTTTTGGTGGTGCAAATGATATGAGCACGCCTGTTTCCACCAGCCACCACCTAATAATGTATTGACAGAATGCCCAAATTTCAATAACCTAATTCAGTCTCAAGATCTCTACACAGTACATATGAGGTATTACCTGCTCACATACTTCCTGTAAATATGGACTTCCTCCTCTGGGAATTGCAGGCTTCAGTCGATAGATGCATTAAATTTATGAAACACCACATAACATAAAATTATCTAGGTGCTGTACAGAATAAAAGATCACAATAAAATCAAAGTAAATTTAAGAGGCAACCAGCATAAAACCCCAAATGTAAAGCCACCATGCTGAGGTAGCAGATGCAGCACAGAACTGAAACAGCCATAAAATACACTAAAACCATCAATAATGCGGGTGGTGCTGTGGTCTAAACCACTGAGCCTAGTGCTTGCAGATCAGAAGGTTGGCGGTTCGAATCCCTGTGATGGGGTGAGCTCCTGTTGTTTGGTCCCTGCTCCTGCCAACCTAGCAGTTCGGAAGCACGTCAAAGTGCAAGTAGATAAATAGGTACCGCTCCGGCGGGAAGGTAAACGGTGTTTCTGTGCGCTGCTCTGGTTAGCCAGAAGCGGCTTAGTCATGCTGGCTACATGACCCGGAAGCTGTCTGTGGACAAACTCGGCCTATAGAGCGAAATGAGCGCCACAACCCCAGAGTCGTCCATGACTGGACCTAACGGTCAGGGGTACCTTTACCTTTACCTAATCTTTAAAAGCCTGGGAGAACAGAACCTTCCTTCCCCCAAAAGACAACAATGTGCGCACCAGGTGACTTCCCAAAGAGAGCATTCCATAACCATGGAGCTATCACCGAAAAGGCCCCCTCTCCTGCAGATTTTCCCCACCAAAAAGCAGAATAGAGCTTTTGCACAGTTGCAACCACACAGCCCCATACACCCCCACCCACTCTAGTGGTTTATATCCTGTTATGTCAAAAATTGGGCTTTAAAAAAAGGGAGATGACAGCAATCTTGCATTTGCCACTTCACCTTAGATTGTGAAATTGGTTCCAGGTGTAAGAAAATGGGCTGGTTTAGCTTTTATGCGGGGGGGGGGGGAGTACTATGAAATAAACTATATAGATATGAAATAAACTATATAGATTGATGGGTGTCAATCATGCACGTAGCCAGGATTTTTGTGGGTGGGGCAAGACTTTTGTTACAGGGGCAGAACTGACATGATTGATCAGTTAGTTAAGTATTTCTATTGTTTTACTTGATCATAATACCCAGGGTGGGGGGGACACGTTACAAGCCAGGGGTGCCAATTTAAATAAAATAAGCCCCGCCCCACATAATCACATTACACCGCGCACACACCATGTGAATGGCAAGTCCCATCAACTTTGGGAGTCCCCCTCAAATATTTTATTGGGGGGTGTGGCCCCTAGGAGTTGGCTCCTATGTTATATGCTTTGAACAGGTAACAGTTGTCCATTTCCAGCAGAGAAATGCAGTGATGCAGCTGGGTAGCTCAGTAGGTTAGTGCATGGCACCGATATTGCCAATGTTGCAGGTTTGATCCTCCGTATGGGACAACTATAATTCCTGCATTGCAGGGGGTTGGACTAGATGATCCACAGGGTCCCTTCCAACTCTGCAATTCTATGATGGGGGAAACAACGCATAGAATTTCTAGCTGTCGATACAAGTTGTAGCATGAGTTTTATAAATCATTTAAAGTGTCAACACAAAGAGAAGTTATTAATATTGCAGTTGTTGTATAAGGGATTATGATTACCGGAATGGAACGGAAATTAGTAAGATTTTGGAATGCAGAAATAAAGAAAACCATCAATTCCAGCAACCGGGGTGGGGGTGGGGCAACCTTATTTAAAGTACAGTGGTACCTCGGGTTAAGTACTTAATTTGTTCCGGAGGTCCGTTCTTAACCTGAAACTGTTCTTAACCTGAAGCACCACTTTAGCTAATGGGGCCTCCTGCTGCTGCCGCACCGCTGGAGCCCGATTTCTGTTCTCATCCAGAAGCAAAGTTCTTAACCTGAAGCACTATTTCTGGGTTAGCCGAGTGTGTAACCTGAAGCGTATGTAACCCGAGGTACCACTGTATATAATTCGGTATTTGAACGACTGGTATTAGTAATTGTATTATAAATCATAGCTGTCAACTTCTCCCTTTTCTTGCGAGGAATCCTATTCGGAATAAGGGAATTTTCCTTAGAAAAAGGGAACAGTTGACACCTATGCTATAAATTGGTATTGTTATAATGAGGCTTTTATTGGATTGTAATTGGGAACTAATAAAAATGATTATCAAAGATAAAGTCGTAGCAGGATTCCCCCCCGCCCCTTTCTTTCCCCCCCAAGGCCTCTCAGCCTTCTTCTAACACGTGTCAGCCTCCTGGACGCGCCTCCGTGGGAATGGAATCGCGCCAATCTCCACCCCGCCCCCAGCTAAGAGCAGCCATTGCTGGCTTCCCCCACGCCACCCGCTCCTCTCCTGTCCTCGCATCGCCCTTTCCCACGTGCGGCGAGCGAGTCACGCTGAGCCGCGCCCCTTGGGGCACATGGCTGCCCCTCGCTAAGCCTGCGCCGCCGGGGCGGATCTGCGCCCGCAGCGCCAGGGGAGATTAGCGCCGCCGCCGCCACCGCCGCCGCCCCGGCCTGCCCGGGGTAGCCCCGAGCGGGAGGCCGAGCAGCCGGAGGGCTCAGCCCGGTCGCGTCCTGCCCTGGCTGGGCTTGCACGCAAGGAGCAGCGGCTTCGCAGATGGGACTCCGGGCGCCGCACGTGCGCTTCTCCGCAGCTGATCGGAGTTGGGGAGGTCGCGCCTCTCGCTGCGGGTGGATCAAGGGAAGAGAGGATTGAGGGCAGCTAAAGCTTAATCTCTCTTTTCCTCCCTCGAGGTCGGACCGAAGTTTTACAAAAATAAAGCCCCAACCTCGCCAGATTTAAGGGCCGCCAGCGACCTCCCTTGTTGTTGCTTTGTTGTGGTGTTGTCGTAAGAGCCAGATCCTAGGGCCTGAGGTCCCTGTATTTATATTTATATTATTTATATTTATACCCTGCCCTCTCCAGCCAAGACCGGGCTCAGGGCGGCTAACAACCAATAATACAATGGTACCTCAGGTTACATATGCTTCAGGTTACATACACTTCAGGTTACAGACTCCGCTAACCCAGAAATAGTGCTTCAGGTTAAGAACTTTGCTTCAGGATGAGAACAGAAATTGTGCTCCGGCGGCACGGCAGCAGTGGGAGGCTCCATTAGCTAAAGTGGTGCTTCAGGTTAAGTACAGTTTCAGGTTAAGAACGAACCTCCGGAACGAATTAAGTACTTAACCCGAGGTACCACTGTAAAAACAAGTTGATTAAAATACAATTTAAAAAACAAGATTAAAATACAACATTAAAACGTTAGGATGCAGCCTCTTCACAGGAGGAGAAAGGAAAAAGAAAGAGGGGGAGAGAATCTCTGCAAAAACCCTTACGACCCCCCATAAAATATTTGAGGGGGCTGCCCCCCCAAGTTGATGGGCATCGCCATTCAAATGGTGTGTGTGCGCCACATCTTGTGATCGATTATGCAGAGGGGGCTTACCTGCCCCCCCCATATTTTATTCATGTTGGCACCCCAGGTGGTTGTGATTAGGAGAAGGAAAACTCCGATCCTAAACCTGCTTTGCAGGATATGTTCAAGAGAAGAAAACACTACTAGTAGTAAATCTGGAGTGCAATTCCTAAGACAGTTGGATGGCGCCTTGTATGTCTCCTTCCAGCAACTCCTGCAGCCAAGCTGGTGTCAAACATATTCTGCTTTCCTTTGGACCACAGCGATTGGCAGCCCAGGACTTCCATATAAACTGCCCAGGCTTGTGCCAGGCTGTGCTAACACACACAGCAGTTTAACTTCACCCCCGGAGGTGCACTCCATTGTCTCTCAAGACAGATGGATGCCAACAAAATCATTATTATTATTAATTAAATTTGTGTACTGCCCTTCATCCGTAGATGACGAACAGGAGGTCACTGGGATTAAGGCTGGCTTCCAATTTCCTGCCTGACGTGTGAGGCGAAGTTGAGTGAAGCTCCCATAGCTCTGTTTATTCAGAATAAAGAGATGGGTGTTGGGTACGGAGTGGTCAAAAGCATACAAGCAGAGCTGGCCCAGCTGTTAGGCAGGGTGAGGCCGCTGCCTCAGGTGGCAGAAGCCCTCTACAGGTGCCCTGCCTGCACCATCGGTGCCAATTTTGGGCAAGGTCATATCTATTTGGGGCGAGACCAGCACGATCGTGCCTGAAATTGGTGCTGCTGGTAACCAAGGTGGAAAATCCCGCAATCCATTTTCTGGCATTAAACATATTACTACTTATTTGTGTCATTAATATTCTTTAATCTAACATCAATTTGCCTTTTCATGACACCCAAAACCAGCTTTTAACCAGTTAGTGAGACAGGATTTACCCTTGCAGAAACGTTGCTGTCAATGTGCTGATGACACACAGCTCTACATCTCCTTTATACTGCAGGTGAGGCAGTAGATTTGTTAGACCAGCATCTAGCCTCTGTAATGGACTGGATGAGAGCCAAGAAACTGAAGCTCAACCCAGGTAAGACCCTGAGACACAGTCAGTGGATGGTTCCCTGTTCCGGGCAGGGTTGCATTCTGCCTAAAGGATGTTTGTTTTAAATTATTGTATGTATATGCCTTTTACAATGCAAGTCTCTTTGAGGCATTTTACGTAGAAGATGGCCCATGCAGATGACAGTAACATAGATTGCTGGGAAGTAAGTCTCATTGGTATCAACCAGATTTACTCCCAGGTCAGTATGATTGCAGTTATACAGCCACATTTATGCTGAAGCAAGTCCCATGTTGTTCAGTGGGACTTACTCCTGAGTAAGAGTGCCTCAAAGGAGTAAGTGGGACTTACTCCTGAGTAAGAGTGCCTCACATCGTAAAGATAAAGGTAAAGGGATCCCTGACCATTAGGTCCAGTAGTGGCTGACTCTGGGGTTGCAGCGCTCATCTTGCTTTATTGGCTGAGGGAGCCGGCGTACAGCTAGCATGTGGCTAGCATGACTAAGCCGCTTCTGACAAACCAGAGCAGCACACGGAAACGCTGTTTACCTTCCCACCGGAGTAGTACCTATTTATCTACTTTTACTTTGACGTGCTTTCAAACTGCTAGGTGGGCAGGAGCAGGGACTGAGCAATGGGAGCTTACCCCGTCACGGGGATTCGAACCGCCGACCTTCTGATCAGCAAGTCCTAGGCTCTGTGGTTTAACCCATAGCGCCACCCACATCCCATCCTCACATCATACTTAATAATAATAAGTACTTAAAATTTCTAAGCATTGCAAAGAGATTAACAGATAAAACAATCCTTGCCAGCAGGCTGACAATCTAATGGATATGCTACAAAAGAAAAAGGGCTGAGGAGGGTAGAGGAAAGCAAACATTGGAGCAGTGCTCTTTTCTGACAGCAAGCACATATTCTGCAGCTGCTTCTTCTCTTGCTTGGATGAGGCAGAATGATCTTCGCCTTGTTCTTCCTGGAATCCCTACAGCTTCCACAACCCTCTTGTTGATGGATTCGGCTGAGCTGCGACCTCTGTTTGCTCCTGTTCTTTATTTTTAAACCCATCCACAGAGCATGTAACAAGTCGTGTAACAAAACATTGCATCTCCTTTTGTCTATATCTGAAAGGATGGTGACTCTTTGCCTTCTACTTATTTAGCCAAACGTAATGGTTCCATGCAGGAATCTGGGTCACCCAGAGAGGTGGGGGTGGGGAGTGGAAGGGAAGCAGAGAGTTAGGGTTTCTGGGCCACCTACGTGTGTGTGGTGCTTTTTTTTGTGAACTGCCACAAACAGCAAGCAGGGGCTCAGCTGGTTCTGGGTTGCCATTTATCAACTGCTCAATCCCTTCTTTTCTTCCCTGGGATCCTTCAAAGTCCGCGAAGGTTTCTTTTTAGATGAATTGCTGTCTGGCAAGACAGCCAGGGGAGGCCTTGAACAACACATAATCATACAAACTTCTAATAGCTTCTGCATTAAAACTGGTGACACACTTTACTCTTGCATCCCGAAAAGGCTTATGTAAGAGGAGAACTTCTTGGCAAAGGGGACCAGCTCTTGGACAGTGTTGAAGTAAATCCTTGTGCAAGTGCAATGGGACTTTCACCCTCTTTCCTCCTTCCCCTTGCACACGCTGTCTCCAGATCTGCTCCATAGAAGCGGGGGTAAACCCAGAACAGATTTAGGGGGTGCCTGGGAGAACAAGGGGTGCTGTTGAACAAGCAGAAATCATTTTGCTGAAGCAACACTAGCTTTAGTGATACATTGCACACCATCCCTTATGTAGCTGCATGGATCACTGTTCTGGACTCAGAAAGAGCATGATAGCAAAGGCTTCTGAGACCCCGAGACCCTGGAGAGCGGCTGCCAATCAGCTGCAGCCAATACTGGGCTGGATGGACAGAAGCCTGACGCGGGATAAGGAAGCTTCCTTATTTTGCTTTAGGTGTCCCTGCTGATTGGCATGCCTAGAACAGCAACTCACACGGAGATGAAACAGAGAACAGTTTGTATCCTCTGAGGGTATGTAATTCTGCTGCAGCTCTTGTAGTGGGTGCGATGGGATGTTTTCATCACACTCAGGGCGGAAGAGACAGCGATTCTGCAGACTGAAGCAGTCGAGTGGGCACATATGGCAATCTTGCAAGTAAACCGGTCCCTAATTGTTAAGGGCTTTATATACTAATGGGATGCGGCTGGCGCTGTGGGTTAAACCACAGAGCCTAGGGCTTGCCGATCAGAAGGTTGGCAGTTCGAATCCCCGCGATGGGGTGAGCTCCCGTTGCTCGGTCCCTGCTTCTGCCAACCTAGCCGTTCGAAAGCACGCCAAAGTGCAAGTAGATAAATAGGTACCGCTCCAGCAGGAAGGTAAACGGCATTTCCGTGCGCTGCTCTGGTTCGCCAGAAGCGGCTTAGTCATGCTGGCCACATGACCCGGAAGCTGTACGCTGGCTCCCTCGGCCAATAAAGCGAGATGAGCGCCGCAACCCCAGAGTCGGTCACGACTGGACCTAATGGTTACCAGAGGATGCAAGCTGCAAACTGAGCCTTCTTTGCAGCCACACAGTAGGCAGATTATGTGCTCCAACCTGTGGCGGCTTCAGAGCAAGACTGAGACTTCTCCATTGGAGAAGCATCCATGTGCCGTCTTCTTCTGCGCATGCGCAATACCTAGAGATGGTTTGTGACTGCACAGTGCCATGAAGTGCGGCCTTGGGAAGTTCTCCTGCACAAGCCCCATCGGAATGTAAGCCATGACTGTTTTTCTCTCCCATTCATCAAATCCCTTTATAAAGCTATCAGACCTGGTGGCGGTCAAATCTGATTTCATCCACTTTGCTGAAATAAATGGGAGGCCTCCCATTTTCTTAACCGCTTCTATTCTCGGGGATTGGGCAGGAGGGCTTCCCTGAGAACTGTGACTGATCAGATCTGGATCTCCCATTCTGCCATGGGCACTGCTGCCTCAACTCGCTGCATAGTAGGACCTTCTCTGCTCTTACAGTCTTCAGGATGCCTTGCGTGGCCCTGTCCTAAACCTTCACGGACTTCTCTTGTGCTATAAAGACTTTCCCCCCAGCAAGGCCATTGACTGATACTATTCTGGCGCAATGCTTGATCAAATGTTCTCAGGTGCTCACATCGGGACCCAGAACACAAACTCTATTTTTCAGAGCAGAACAAACTTTTAGGAGAAAAAGACTTGAGTAAATTAAATTGTCAGCTTCCCGTTCCAGCTCTCTTAACTTAGGGTGCCCCCCCACCTTCTGCCTCACTTTTTAAACCTTTGTCATGGCAGTATGTTAATGGTTCACTGCACTGTCCCAGTTTCTCTCTGTGTTTTTTTTACATCCTATTAATAGCGGTTGTCCCAGTTTCATATTCAGCAGGGGCTTTCTCTGCGCCCTGGTATATAACTTCCTGGCTCACACATCTCTGTTTTTAACCAATTCATCCGTTGCAAACATTGAGTCCTGTATTTTAAAAATAATGCATTTTTTTTTTCTATTTAGGCATTAGTTGTTTTGTGCTACAGGCCTGAGCTGTCATTCTAACTTCCAGACTGATAACTCAGTTGGTAGAGCATGAGACTCTTAATTTCAGGGCTGTGGGTTCAAGCTGCACATTGGGCAAAAAAGATTCCTGCATTGCAAGGAGTTGATGACCCAACTCTGCAGTTCTATGATCCTATCTCCAAGTGTTTTATATTAAGCTAGTACTGTATTTGGGACACGGGCTAGTACTGTATTTGGGACGCGGGTGGCGCTGTGGGTTAAACCACAGAGCCTAGAGCTTGCCGATCAGAAGGTCGGCGGTTCCAATCCCCACGACGGGGTGAGCTCCCGTTGCTCGGTCCCTGCTCCTGCCAACCTAGCAGTTCGAAAGCACATCAAAGTGCAAGTAGATAAATAGGTACCGCTCCGGCGGGAAGGTAAACGGCGTTTCCGTGTGCTGCTCTGGTTCGCCAGAAGTGGCTTAGTCATGCTGGCCACATGACCTGGAAGCTGTACGCCGGCTCCCTCGGCCAATAAAGCAAGATGAGCGCCGCAACCCCAGAGTTGGCCACGACTGGACCTAATGGTCAGGGGTCCCTTTACCTTTACCTGTAGTACTGTATTACAATACAGTCATACCTTGGGTTACAGCCGCTTCAGGTTGCATTTTTTCAGTTTACGGACCGCCGAAACCCGGAAGTACTGGAACGGGTTACTTCCGGGTTTCGGCGGTCACGCATGCGCAGAAACACTGAATCACGCTTTGCTCATGTGCAGAAGCTTTGAATTGCAACCCGTGCGTGCGCAGACACGGGTTGCGAATGCTGCGGGTTGCGAATGTGCATCCCGCACTGTACAGTTGTACCTCGGGTAAAGAACTTAATTCGTTCTGGAGGTCTGTTTTTAATCTGAAACCATTCTTAACCTGAGGTACCAGTTTAGCTAATGGGGCCTCCCGCCGTGCCATTTCTGTTCTCATCCTGAAGCAAAGTTCTTAACCCGAGGTACTATTTCTGGGTTAGCGGAGTCCGTAACCTGAAGAGTCTGCAACCCGAGGTACCACTGTATTAGCAGTAGCAGTGAAGGGAACAAAGACACATGCAGAGAGAGAGAAAGATAGACTGAGCAATTAGTGGTGATGGCTATATGGAATCTTTAGGTTCGGGGGCTATATATGTCTCAGTATCGGCCACATCTGCACCTTGCATTTAAAGTCATATCACACCACTTCAAGCAATCATGGCTTCCTCCAAAGGATCATGGGAACTGTAGTTTGCTGAGAGGGGACTCCTTGTCCCTTCACAGAGCCACAGTTCCCAGAGCTCCATGGGAAGAGGATTGGACTGTTAAACCGCTTTGCAAGGGGAATAGGGTTGCAAGGGGAATTGTGGCTTTGCAAGGGGAATAGGGTTCTCCTAACAACTCTCAACATGCTTAACAAACTACGGTTCCCAGGATTCTTTGGGAGAAACCATGACTTGTAAAAGCGGAATGTTACTGCTTCAAATGTAAGGTGCAGGTGGAGTCATAGTTGTGGGGGGCAACAACAGCAAAGGAGGGCTAGTTCAAGCCAGTCAGATGGGCGGGGTACAAATAATAAACTATTATTATAAATTATTATTATTAATCTATCCCCTTTTTGTGGGTTTGCCATAGGCATCTGGATGGCCACCGTGAAAACAGAATGCAGGACGAGATAGGCCTTTGGGCTGTTCTTACATCTTATTGCTCTGATTTGATTTATTCCAGTAAGCTTTAAGCATACCCAGATTTCATAAGATGATCCCATCTGTGTTCTACATACAATTCCTAAAAGAGTTCCTCCAGTTGAGACAATTTAGGTAAAGGTAAAGGGACCCCTGACCATTAGGTCCAGTCGTGGCCGACTCTGGGGTTGCAGCGCTCATCTCACTTTATTGGCCGAGGGAGCCGGCGTACAGCTTCCGGGTCATGTGGCCAGCATGACTAAGCCGCTTCTGGCGAACCAGAGGAGCGCACGGAAACGCTGTTTACCTTCCCGCTGGAGTGGTACCTATTTGTCTACTTGCACTTTGACATGCTTTCAAACTGCTAGGTTGGCAGGAGCAGGGACCGAGCAATGGGAGCTCACCCCGTCGTGGGGATTCGAACCGCCGACCTTCTGATCGGCAAGCCCTAATCTCTGTGGTTTAACCCACAGCGCCACCCGCGTCCCTTGAGACAATTTAAAGAGGCCCAAATTGTGGATTCTCAAAACCGTCTGCACATGATGAATGCATCTTAGAAGCGATCAAAGTATTTCATGCTCGAAATGGCATTGACACATGCACCAGGGTTAAGCAGATGTAGGGCGATTTTAATTTCTATGGTGCATAATTTGGCAGTTTGGGGCTTTTTAAATGGTTGGGCCCATAGTGTGGTTTGCACAGAGGCAGCCCCATGTTTTTGTGGCCACACCATTTCCAGGTATGGTTGGCAAGATCCTCGCACAGCCCCTGCCAGTCAGAGCTAGATGAAACAGTTGTCTGACTCAGACAGATTCCTATGATCCACCCTGAGCACTTGAGAAACTCAGTGAACTCTCTCAGTCTTGGAACTCCCAATTTGAGTGGCTCACAGTTGCTTAAAGCTGCAGCCCTTGACATGTCTATTCCAAAGTAAGTCTAACTTTGATTTTCACTGTGGAATTTACTTCCAGGTAAGTGAGCCCAGGGTTGCAGCCTGCCTCGCTCTCTGTTGTCACTAGTCACAAGGCTTTAGCACTCTGTAGTCACTAGTTGTCAGGGGAAACCACCTGTACACTGATTATGGCATCACAGAAATAAATAACTGTCTTCAGAACTTTGGCAGGATTTACAATATGGTGACCATGAGCCAACCAAAGAGGCACTTTTAAGGCCCCAGTGATTTCAAGGGCAGATACCCCCAGTAAAACAAAAGGGGCAGAAAATTCCTCTAATCTTATAATTATTCAAGCTTGGGTCCCCAGGTGTTGACTACAACTCCCATCATCCCTGACCAATGGGCCAAGCCGGCTGGGAACAATGGGCTCTGTAGTCCAACACCATCTGGGGAGCTTACTGACTGCAGCACTTTTAACCAGCTGCGGTTCAGAAATTCTGGTCACAGGGAGGGCCTTGCAGAGGCCCGGGCCAGGTGAAGTCTTATAAATAAGTATATAAATAATTTTCACAAAAGTTATTCTGACACATAATTTTACTTCAAGGCTTGAACCGTATCTGCATATAAAGACAAAATGATCGTGAATATGCTGACCGAGGCCCCCTTTGGAATCGGAGGCCCAGGCCAAGTGGCCCATATGGCCGCCCCTCTGTCTGGGCCTGGTCACAGGCAGAAATCCAACAGGTGTAGCTTTCCCCAGCTTTGGTGCTGCCTATACCAAGGGACGCGGGTGGCGCTGTGGGTTAAACCACAGAGCCTAGGACTTGCCGATCAGAAGGTCGGCGGTTCGAATCCCGCAACGGGGTGAGCTCCCATTGCTCAGTCCCTGCTCCTGCCAACCTAGCAGTTCGAAAGCACGTCAAAGTGCAAGTAGATAAATAGGTACCGCTCCGGCGGGAAGGTAAACGGCGTTTCCGTGCGCTGCTCTGGTTTGCCAGAAGCGGCTTAGTCATGCTGGCCACATGACCTGGAAGCTGTACGCCAGCTCCCTCGGCCAATAAAGCGAGATGAGCGCCGCAATCCCAGAGTTGGTCACGACTGGACCTAATGGTCAGGGGTCCCTTTACCTTTACCTAAATTGTCTCAACTGGAGGAACTCTTTTAGGAATTGTATGTAGAACACAGATGGGATCATCTTATGAAATCTGGGTATGCTTAAAGCTTACTGGAATAAATCAAATCAGAGCAATAAGATGTAAGAACAGCCCAAAGGCCTATCTCGTCCTGCATTCTGTTTTCACAGTGGCCATCCAGATGCCTATGTCAAACCCACAAAAAGGGCATAGAGTAATAATAATTTATAATAATAGTTTATCATTTGTACCCTGCCTATCTGACTGGGTTGAACTAGCCCTCCTTTGCCCCCCACAACTATGACTCCACCTGCACCTTACATTTAAAGCAGTAATGTTCCGCTTTTACAAATCATGGTTTCTCCCAAAGAATCCTGGGAACTGTAGTTTGTTAAGCATGTTGAGAGTTGTTAAAAAGGTAAAGGGACCCCTGACCATGAGGTCCAGTCGTGGCCGACTCTGGAGTTGCGGCGCTCATCTCGCTTTATTGGCAAAGGGAGCCGGCGTACAGCTTCTGGGTCATGTGGCCAGCATGACTAAGCCGCTTCTGGCGAACCAAAGCTGCGCACGGAAATGCCGTTTACCTTCCCCTGCTGGAGCGGTACCTATTTATCTACTTGCACTTTGGCGTGCTTTCAAACTGCTAGGTTGGCAGGAGCAGGGATCCAGCAACAGGAGCTCACCCTGTTGCGGGGAGTTGAACCACCAACCTTCTGATCGGCAAGTCCTAGGCTCTGTGGTTTAACCCACAGCGCCACCCACGTCCCTTGAGAGTTGTTAGGAGAACCCTATTCCCCTTGCAAAGCCACAATTCTTAAAGTGGTTTAACAGTCCAACCCTCTTCCCACGGAGCTCTGGGAACTGTGGCTCTGTGAAGGGACAAGGAGTCCCCTCTCACCCTTTACCTTTTTATACCACTTTTTATTTTATTGAACCACCACGAAGAAGACAGTGCTTCTGAGCAGACCGAGAATGCCCCAGCTCCACCTCCGGTTAATCACCACCCCACTCTCCCCCTTCCCCAAGTCATCCTCGCCCTCCCCCACCCGGGATCCAGAGCGGCAGCTTGGCTCCCTTCTGGGGCAAATCAGGACGTGACCCCTTTCTCTGCTGACAATAAGCTGGGAACTGCCGCTTGCCTGTGTCCCAGATGGGGCCGTGCCAGGCGGCGGGTGGGTGCGGGGGACGCGATCGGTGGGTGGGTGCGTGCGTGGGGGGGTCCTCCCCCCCCCCGATCTGGGCTGCTGCTGCTGCAATGTGTGTGTGAAGCGAGGCCGAGCTCCCCTTCCCCATCCTCCGCCTTGCTGCCCATGTGCGGCCGCGGGAGCTGATGTCATCGCTTGGGCTGCCTGAAATGTGTGTCAGTGGGGCATGCCTCCGATGCTGTCACATGCAGGCTACACATGAGCCAGCCGCGGAGGCAAGCCAGATCTTCCCTCCCTCGCTCTCTCCTGGCTCGAAAACAGGAGCGGCTAATCCCCGAGTTGAACAAGCAAAAAAAGAAGCAGCAGCAAGCGAGCAAGCCTCACCCGCGTCTATACAATCCAGGGAGCGCCGGAGTAAGGGGAGTGGTGGAGAGGGGGGGGAATCTGCAGCCGGAGCCGGGCTTGGAAGCACGTGGAAGTGGCAGCAGGCTGCAAAAACGCCGCTTTCGGGAACCTGAAACCATTTCGCAGCTCGGGAGCAAGCGAGCACGCGCACACTCGCATCCGCGGGAGAAAGCAAGGGAGGGGGAAGGAGGGAAGCCGCAGAGGGTTCCCTTAGCGCTTAGCCTACTTGCTCCGCCGATCGTTATTTCCATTTATTTATTTATTTTCGGCCGCTTGGAGGGGGGCGCCTCGTTTGCAAGCACACACGCACCGCACAGGTCTATTGCAACGGCTCGTCGCGATTTCTCCCTTGCAAACCCGGAGTCAAATCTGCAAACGGAAGCCGGGCGCCTGGAGACGCAGCAACATGGATAACAATTCGGGTAAGCCGGCGAGCGTTGCTGTGATGCTGCAAACTCTTCTCTCTCGCTAGGATTTTAGCGGATCGTAGGAGATGGCATCAGTTCTCTGGAAGTGGGTGGGCGCTAAAGGGGGAATGCGAAAAAAGAGGAGAGGCTGCACCCGGGTTTGTGTTTTTTGGGTTTGTGTTTTTTTGCAAGCTGTTTGCAAAATGCAATCATCTTTGTGCCATATATAAGCCGGGTTTTTAACGTTCTTTTCAGTGGCAATATCCTAGGATAGGATATCCTATCAGGTTAGATTCCCGGCACCGGAAGGCGTTCATAAGTCTGGGATTTAATTCATTTCCCATTTAGAAAAACACACATCAGCGCGCACAGAAATCCCCTTGCGTTATTTTTAGACATTTGGTATTTTCCTAGCCGAAGCGTACATTTCTGAATTGTGAGTGGGGGTTTCTAAAGACCCTTTTATGCCTGATTTCCTCCCCTTTTTATTTCTTTGCATGAAGAGCGGGGTGGCGGTGGAGGGAGAAAATAGAAATATGGTTTCGGTTGGTACTGGAATGGTTGTTTAAGTGGAAAGGAGAGGGAGGGAGGGAGCCAGTCTGAAAGACGTGCAGGGGCAGTCAAGGAATGAGAAAATTATTGCTGCAATGTGGGAAGTAGTTCTGATGCGTAAAATTACTACTTGCCTTCGAAATTTGTTTTGATAAAATAGCATGCATTTGACTCGCGGGAATGCCCCGGGATTCGTGCACCTCGGTAAACAAGCCCCGTGGCATCTGACTGGCAGGCTCTGAAAAACTGCAACTCATTTCTGTTTTGTCCTCGGCTGTTGTGCAAAAAAGGAGGGTGGAAATATTGCAGCTTTGGAGAGCTCTGTGTGTATATGTGCAAATTGGAGGGGTCCAGCAGTCACCCCCATGAGGTCTCTCTGGGATGTACGAATTGATGCGTGTGGAGACCTACCAAGTGGGAAGTTGGGTTTTAGGGGAACAGGGTTGCTGAAAGCGGGGTGAGATGAGGTTAACCCAGGAAAGTGGGCCAGTGTAAAGAGAGCCAGCTTTTTACATAGGAGAGATGAGCAAGTGCTGCTTTGCACAGAATCAGACCATCCAGCCCAGACTGGCAGGCCTCGGGTAAAGGTATTTCCTTCCCAGCTTGAATTCTCTTCCCCTGGTAGATGCTAAGGATATGGGACCTTGGGCTGTGTCCTCTTTTACTCTTTTACTGTGTCATTCCATCACAGCAGAGAAGGCTGCCCAGCGTAGAGTTCAGCATCCTGTGAAAATATCAACTTTCTTGTTTTAAAAGGGCAAGTTTCTAGTCCTTAATCAATGCTTGGTGGCAGTAGTGGCAATGCTGGCTGAAATCTCAGATGCGGGGGGTGGGGGGAGATATCTAAGCAAGGCTTCCATGGACCAGGAGATGGGTCTTGGTGACCTGCATAGCTCTTTGCCTGTCCTTTTAGCAGAAGCAGAATAAATTATGCCCCCAAAAAGCAGATAGATGCAAATTTATTTAATTTGCAGCATTTACACAGGCTGCCTGATTTTTTCTTGCATTGGCGTGGATGGAGCTTGCTGCAGAATTTTCATTTGTTTGTTTTAGTGAAGAAGGTTACAAACAGAGCCAGGCTGGGTTACGTATCTTTATATTCATGCAAGAGTGCCTTCCATATGTGTAAGGGGGGGGGGGTTCTCCCATCTACTACAGATCTCTGGAATACGAAATAATTTTCACAAGGAATCCTCTGCTGTGCAGTCTTTGTGGGGGACACTGTGACCTGATTTCAGAGTTGCAGAGCCCCGGGTTGCCCCGTGTCTCCTCCCCCGCCCCTCATTCCTGCTAAATCATCTATAAGAAGCTTTTGGAGTGCAGTGTAGGGGAAGCGTTTCATAGCATTAAGAGTCCCACAGATCTCCTGTTAACCCCCAGAAGTTCCTTGGTGGCCACAGAGTGACGGACTTGGGTTCAAATCTCGCTGAGGAATAGAATGAACTCGGTGGCTGTGTGAAAGCCACACTTGCCTCTCAACCCAACTGACCTTGCAGGTTTGTCATTCGAATTGAATGGAGCATGCATTCTGCCTTGAACTCCTTTGAGGAATAAATACTATTTTTTTGTATTTCATGCGCACTCGCATTAAAAGAACTTGGACGTTTCTAGTCCCAGGGATCATTGGGGCAGCAGGACAAGAAGCAGGAGCAACATGTCACTGCTCTGGGGCCACTTCTGGGTCAATAGCATTAGAAGCGGTCAGCCCTACTGCGGTTTGGAGGTGGGTGGTGTGCAAGATGCCATCAAGTTGCACTTAAATTCCACCGTGAAGCTTAACATCACTGTGATGCCCCCCCCCCCTTCGGCTGGGGAAGCTGCTGTGCCTTCTCCACTGGGGCAATGCAGCAATCAGAAATTCTGGGACTGTTGTGACGTCACAATGGCCTCTTGAAGGTTTCCTTATCGTTCTAGGAGGCTGCTGTGGTGATTCACGACAACGCATGTTGACACTGTGCATTGTGCTACAATCTCTCGAGATGTCACTTTCCAGTTGTGGGTTAACATTGGGTTGGATGACTTAAGCCCCATTGATTTCAACCTCTGTGCATGACTAAGTCCATCCTGTTTGCCTTCTAGGCCTAATCTTTTATCAAGTGCCTACAGAAGTACAGTACGTGTGCAACTGTTGGCACCCTTGGAGACTTGGGTATTCCCTTCTAATAGGACCCATTTGGGAGCAATGCCTCCTCCCTCCTCAATGATTGATGGCTGAAGGAAACACATACACACTCTCTTTAAGGCAGGGCTGGCCAACTTCTGTATTATGCGGTGTATCCTGCTTCTCCAAACATTGGGGCTGCAAGTGTATTTTATCACCAGAGCCTTCCTTGTGGTGGTCATATTTCATAATAAAGTTGGTAAAAAGGTAAATGACTCCAACAGTTAAGTCCAGTTGCAAACAACTGGGGTTGCGGCGCTCATCTCGCTTTACTGTCCAAGGGAGCTGATGTTTGTCCGCAGACAGTTTTTCCGAGTCATGTAGCCAGCATGACTAAACTGCTTCTGGCGAAACCAGAGCAGTGCACGGAAACTCCGTTTACCTTCCTGTCAGAGCGGTACCTATTTATCTACTTGCACTTGGATGTGCTTTCGAACTGCTAGGTTGGCAGGAGCAGGGACCGAGCAACCGGAGCTCACCCCGTCGCGGGGATTCGAACTGCCGACCTTTCGATTGGCAAGCCCAAGGCTCAGTGGTTTAGACCACAGCTCCACCCGCATCCCAATAAAGCTGGTATCTCCTGGTATCTCCTAGTAAGTTTCACCTTAAAAATAATAATACTATGAAGCTCACTGGGACATAGCCGTGGTACAACATACAAAACCTAAACAGAGGGGGTGCCATTAAAATGTGGAGGTTCTGCATTTTCCCCCCATTATTTTTTTCCTTTTCTTTGTAACTGGGACAACTTTCTTCCTTAAACCCTATTCCTTAATTCAAAGTTGAATTTCCTCAAAGAACCAGTGGTGGAATATGGGCCACCAAGGCTCATCCTCCTCGCTGCAAGGCATTCAAGGTGTCCTGCGAGACTTTGGGCTGAGTCCCTGAACCAGCTTCCATCTGCCTAATCCGTCTGATGGGAGCGGCAGTCTTGACAGGTCCCTTGCTTGGAGGATCCTGGGTATACCTGCACGTGATTACCACTTGCTTGGTGCTCACCTGACTCCGCGGTCTCCTGACTTGAGCGCCGCAGGCCTTAACTGAACGTGCCCAAGGTTTTCTCCAGCTAATCACTGCTTGAGTAAGATTGCCAGGTGACTCACGGGCTGTTGAGGAGGAGGAGGAGGCGGAAGGTGTGCATGGATGTGCCTGCTTTCAGCACCCAGGTGTGCTGCTATTTTATCTCTTCAGTAGTTAAAGATCTTGAGCGCTGGCATGGGCTGGGATAGGAGTGTCCCGCTTGCCAAATTTTCGGAGGCCGATTCCATATACAAGGCTGAGATTCCTCTTCAAGGTTCATGTGAAGTTCAAGATTGTATTCCACCCCGTTCGGCCTGGGACGTCGCTGCTTTGGAACATTGCAGTGAGCTTGCTGAGCCCAAAGGTAGTCGGCCATGCTGCTTCATGGTCAAACTGTGACCCAAAGAGTAGCCACTGTTGGTCAGAGCGGTCGAGACTTGGATAGATGTAGCAGATCATCTGAGTTGGTTCAAAGCAGCCTCGGGCGTTTCCTCATGAAGGAAACTCTGCAGTGGTAGAAGAAATCCTTAGTGGTCATTAGTGAATCCCTGTCAGGGAAAAAGGCCGGATGTAAATAAATTATATATATAATAAATAGAACAACAATAATTTTACATGTAAGCTACACCTGCTGAAATTCCTTCTCCTAGACTAGTATTAAAGGTGCTGTGGTGAATGCGTTGCAGCTGGCCAGACAGAACGACACCTTGTGTATGCTATTCTGGAGGTTATTACAGTTGTTGTTATTATTATTAATCAGATTTCTATACCGCCCTTCATCATAAAATCCCAGGGCGGTTCACAGAATAAAATACAGGATAAAAACAAGTACATAAGTACCGGTAAAACGAAACAGCAAAACAATAAACCTTCACTTCCCACAGATACATTTAAAAGGCTGCAAAATATTCTTCAGACACTACCACCCCGAGCCAATTTTTTTTTGGGGGGGGGGAACCCCCTTTAAGGCCTTGCCCTGACAGGACTCAGAAGGTGAATCCCACCCATACATTTCTAACAATTTCCCCTTCCCCTCAAAGCCAGTTATGGGGAAGTTGACTGTAGCCAGGAGGTTTTTATCCACTTGAAATTCCAGTTTTCTGTGGGCCAAGTTCTTCCCCTGGAATTCCAGTTGCTACCACAGATTTGTCTGATAAAGGACAACTGGTGGCCGAATTCTCAGACCAGTAAGCAATTGTGTCTGTCCCTCAGTGGGGGTCTGCTTGGTTTTAATCAACAGACAATTTTTTGCTCACTGGAACAAGAAAAGTGCTTTAAAAACTCAAGGGGGGCAGGAAATTAATTTGTGGTTTTTGTGTTGTATCTTGGCTAATGGCTATTCGGAAATATTTCATGTTTTAGTTTCCAAAGGTGTGTATATGGGGAGGGAGCATTGAGTTGTGTGCACGCAGTGAAATATACTTTGGGCCCCAGACTGCAGTTCCCCTATGGCCCTCCAGATGTAGTTGGACTCTGACTCCCATCATCCCTGGCCATTGGCTATGCTGCCTGGGGTTGATGGGAGTTGGAGTTCAACTGCGTCGGAAGGGTTGGCCAAGGAGCTGGTCACCCATTGGTGAAATTTTGCACCTTCCTAACTAGAATATGTTGCAACAGTTAAAGGAGACCCGAGTTTGATTCATTGAACCATATTCTCTCTCTGGCTGCCTGTGCACACCATATATTTAAAACACATTGCTGCCCCAAAGAATGCTGGGAACTCTGCCCACCACAAAGCTACAATTTCCAGTGCCTTTGAGAAACCACAGCTCCAGGATTCTTGGGGAAAGTCAAGGGCTTGAAACGTATGGGGTATATGAGGCATTCTCACTTACTGTTTCTGTTTTGCACACGGCTGCAATTCCCTGCACTTCCTTATCTGTTTCCTAGAGCTCACCTTTGCATCAGGGCTTCCCCATTCACTTCAAAAGTGTTTATGTGCAAAACTGCCCTTGAAATTAGCAGAGAAGAAGCCCACTTGAACGGCAGGGCTTTATATCAGATCCCATCTGCTGAAGTCATTCCCCATGTGTGCATGTAGGCATTGCTTTCTGCATTTTTTTTTTTACTAGTGTTTCCAAACCTGTTTCATAAGCTGTGTTATTTTGGGCGTGCAGCCAACGATCTCCTGCTATGTTTGCACATCCTTGTCCACTTATAGAAACACAGAGTGCAATAATCAGTGATCTCTGCACACAGCACTCTTCTCACGATGAAAATTAGCCTGAGGTTGGCCCTTTGCCCACAGGCACCCATTCCCCTGGCACCCTAAAGATAACACATTCACAAGGAGCAGATTAGTCTAGACTCTGGGATCATGAAACACAGCAAATACCCAGTGTGCATGCAGCAAAGCAGTATGCACACTGCTTGCAGAAGCAGTAAACAACATTTAGCTTATGTGTGAATGGTAGGATCTGTGCCATTTAGGACACTGACCTTATTTTACAACTTTCCCTTGAATATAAGAATGTTCACCCTCCACCCACCCCATACTAATTGTACAGCTGCAGGTGGTACTGCAGTGGTAAGGATGATCAGAGGCAGTAGTGGATGGAGCTATTATTATTATTATTATTATTATTATTATTATTATTATTATTGCCACCCATCTTACTGGGTTACTCCAGCAACTCCGGGCAGCTTCCAACAAATTAAAACACAGTAAGACATCAAAAGATTAAAAACATTACCAAGTTTGATTGTAGTGTAGACCTATGATCAAACTTTTTTCTCTAGGCCACATTCATTCCCCCCCCATAATATTTTATTAAAGCTTTTTCATAATACAGTAAGATAAAAGAAACCAAGCTAAATAAAAATAAAATAAAAACAGAGAGAAGAAAAAGCACAGAGTCCTCTCGCAAAAGTAGCTCTTAACCCACGTCATGCACAGAAAGTGGGGATCCCTCCCAAATCTCACCTGGGAGCTTCCCTTCCTTCTCCCTGGCTCTCAGCCTCAGAGATCTTCCCTGCCTTTCACCCAGGGCCCTTCCATCAGCCATCCATCCACCTCCCTCATGTATGTGTAATCCTTGTCCCAACGATCCCCAGATGGTGGAAATGTCAGGTGCCATCGCAGCGTCCAGGCATCTTCACTTGGTCGCATATGGGCCAAAAGCCAGGTGCAAAATGGGCTGATCTATATGGCACCCCATATGGGATGATGGAAGGAGAGGCCCATGCTGCAAGCATGCTAAGGTCATGGCTCAGAGAACCACGTGACCAACCTCTCATGCTTGGCACTTGCCCCCCTCTGTGTCTAGAGATGCCTCTTGATCAGATATGATGGTGTTCGGTTGAGAGACAAACAGGTGGACTCCCCTCCTTTCTAGAGTGAAAACTGGAGGGTATTTTTTGGGTGCTTAATCTAGGTCAGTGGGGAAAAGCCTTAGAAATTGGGTATTATGGAGGTAGCTGTGTTGCAACTGCCAGTTTCTGTGTTGGTGGAGGGGATTCAGGTGGGCCTGTTGATGATTTACAAAACCTCCCAATCTCCTGTGCTGAAGGGGTTTGGATGCCACAGAGGTATCCCACTGGCGGGGGTCTTTATCATGCCTACCAAAAGTGTAATCCGGTTACTAACAATGGTCCCAACCTGGAGTTGGTGTGACCAAAAGAATGGTAAAAAAAAGACCTTGGCCAGGAATGAGTCACATCAGGGCTTCAGATGTGGTGGCAGCCCTGTTGCTCTGCTGTCAAGAGCCTTTTGTCATTTCACCCTCCTGGCTGGATAGGTGGTGGGTTTTTTTGCACTCACGGCTTCCCCAGGAACCCTGGGAATTGTAGTTTGGCGCTGGTGCTGAGCATCTGGATGTAGAGAGCCCCGGCCTACTTTACAGAACTACAGTTCCCACGGTTCCCTGGGAAAACTGGGCCATGACGGCTAAGCTAGTTTAAGTCTGGGGATGTCTTAATTAGGCCACACATTCCAGCACTTCGGAAATAAGGTCATTTGTGTGTTTGTAATGCCAAGCACCTCTTCCTGAGGCTCTTCTTCTTTTTCTTTTTTAATTGGGTGTTTGTATTCATTTACTCTGTAATAGCCTCTCCGGCACTGGCTGGAAAAGAATGTGTTTGCAGTGCAATAGTTTAAAACAACAACAGCAACTTAAAAATTGTTTAATAGCACGTTGAGTCTCTCAGTGGATCCGACTTTTAGGGTAGCTGCAACTCAAGCACAACCAAGAACTTTTACTATCTGGATGGGCAGTGAAAGGTAGATAGGGTAAAGGAGGGGAGCAGTGTACAGCATTTAGGGTATATTTGCAAGCATCCATTTATATATATCACCACTGCATACATCTCTTCTTTCTGCCCTCTCCCCTCAAGTTTCCAATGTCTAGAGACCTGGGAGATGGACATGAACCCTGAAGAATTATAATGCACCTGTGTGTGCAATACAGAATGCATTTTAAAAACGAGTACACGGCCTCCAGCATCTTCCCAAAAGACAGAATAGAGACCAGGGACCGGCAGCAAAAAGTAGGGATTCTCCCTGGTAAATAGGGGCAATGGTGTGTTTGTCAATTCAGCTATGCAGCAAGCCTGCCACAAATGCTGGGGTCCATATTTATGTCAAGGACGTGGGTGGTGCTGTGGGTTAAACCACAGAGCCTAGGACTTGCCGATCAGAAGGTTGGTGGTTCGAATCCCCGCAACGGGGTGAGCTCCCTTTGCTCGGTCCCAGCTCCTGCCAACCTAACAGTTCGAAAGCACGTCAAAGTGCAAGTAGATAAATAGGTACCGCTCTGGCGTGAAGGTAAATGGCGTTTCCGTGCGCTGCTCTGGTTCTCCAGAAGCGGCTTAGTCATGCTGGCCACATGACCCGGAAGCTGTACGCTGGCTCCCTCGGCCAATAAAGCGAGGTGAGCGCCGCAACCCCAGAGTCGGTCACGACTGGACCTAATGGTCAGGGCTATTACTATATTTATGTCAGTCGTTTGTGGCCTATCAATAGCCCCAGAAGGGAGGTGGAAAGAACGTTGGGGGGGGGGGAGACAGGGAGCCCCCATTCATCAAACAGAAACGGGACAACTTGGATAGGAAAACGTTTGCGAATTGGAAGGGGGTGCTGCTTGCTTGTTCCTTGATTTGTCGAACAGCTTCCTTCCGGTTTCCAAAACCTCCGCTGCCCTTGGTATCGGTACTCATAGGTTGGGGACTATTCACAAGCCTGCTTTGGTTTCCCGTCTTCTTGCTTTGAGTCTGGGAGCTCCCCTGCTGAAGCCGTGGAGCTGGGGATGATGAACTCTGCAGCAAAAAGCTCCCCCTCCCGACTCACTCGGAGCTGCGCCACCTCACCCTGCCCTTTCTCCCGTTGCGGTGACTTTGACCTACTTCGCTGTCTGAAGGCGGCGGCAGCACTTTCACAGGTGCCAGAGAGGCTGAGATCAAACTTTAAAATGTATCGCGGCAGGCAGGATGTGCTGGGCCAGGAGCGAAAGCAGACGTGGTCAGGGCGTGGTGGGGCCGCCGCCTATTTGATTGCAGAGCAACCTTTACCTTTGCAAGGGATGCTATTCCTTCCGTGAACCTTGCCAGGCGTTTGGAAACACCTTCACCGGGGTGGTAAACAAAGAAGCAAGGGGTGATAAGCAGGCTATCCTTTCTGATTCCTGTTACCTGTTGAACTGAGCCCTCCCATCTTGAACAAAAAATGTTTTCCCCCTCCTGGAAAATTTCCAGCCCTGATCCAAAAGCAGTGAGGTCTGCTGAGTGAGACAGACTTGTTCAAGGCCACCAGTTCAAGTGGTAAAATTACACACAGGTACCTATGATATAAGGGACGCGGGTGACGCTGTGGGTTAAACCACAGAGCCTAGGACTTGCCGATCAGAAGGTTGGCGGTTCGAATCCCCGCGATGGGGTGAGCTCCTGTTGCTCGGTCCCTGCTCCTGCCAACCTAGCAGTTCGAAAGCACGTCAAGGTGCAAGTAGATAAATAGGTACCGTTCCGGCGGGAAGGTAAACGGCGTTTACGTGCGCTGCTCTGGTTTGCCAGAAGCAGCTTAGTCATGGCTCCCTCGGCCAATAAAGCAAGATGAGAGCCGCAACCCCAGAGTTGGCCACGACTGGACCTAATGGTCAGGGGTCCCTTTACCTATGATATAGACCCAAATGGCTTCGTCTTCTAAGGGGAACCTGTCCCCCCCCCAATATCTTATTGAACTCCAGCTCCCATCAGCCCCAGTCAGCATAGCCAGGGGTCACAGAAGATGCAGTGAGATCTGGAGGGCCACAGGTTTCCCAATGCTTGTTGTATGCAAAGCATCTTTGAGGAGGTGCAATTTTCATGGCAAGTGTGGGGAAGCATGAAGGAGGGATGCCTGCCACTTTCTGCTGCAGTCTCCTGCAGTTGCCTCTTGCCAATAGGCTGGCCGAGGGCGGGGGGCAGTTAATCACAAAAATAGAGGTTGGGGAAAGGTTACATACCCCCCTCCTAAATTTGGTTTGCTCAGATGCTGTCGCTGTCAGGGTTGTATCAACAGAATAACACATGGCAGCAATGTGCTCTTCGTAATTTTATCCCAAGGAGGGGACCCACATTTCAGTTTCCCAGGCCCTACATCCCATCTTTGGGCCGTTCCTGAACTCATTCTGAAACCAGGTCACTGGAGACAAAACAAAAGCGAAATGAAAAGCCCCCATTAACCCTGATGTAAATGGGCTTCTGGTGAACCCAGTTGCCTAGGCAGCTCACCACAAGCCGAGCTTGCCAGAAACTTCGGAGGAGTGGTGTGTGAAAATACCTCCCACTGTATATCATGGGACCGGTCAGAAAACAGGCTCACCAGACCCATATTCAAACCAGGTTGCATTCTGTTCTCCCCAATTCCTCAGCTTGGTTTTAAAAACAAGCCCAAATATGTGTGAGCTTGACTGTCTCTCCTTAGTCTTGACAGTGGATCAGTATGCCTGTCTTAACCAGAAGGTTGGTGATTCAAGCCCACCCAGGGGCAGCTGTTTGCAGGATTCCTGCATTGCGGGGGGTTGGACTAGATGACCCTCGGGTCCCTCCGAACTCTGCAATTCTCTGATTCTATCATGGGGCTTTAGTTCAACAGCAGTGCCCATGCTTGGCATGCAAAACACACCAGGTCCAATCCATCTATAGGTAGGCCTGGAAAAGACCCCCGGTGTTTTAAGCCGGAGAGAGCTGTTGCCCAGTCCGCTGTAGCCAATCCTGAGCTACATGGACCGATGTTATCAGGTGCCTGAAATCCCAACTCCTTAAAACTGTGCAGAAGAACCGCTGCCATGCAGAGGAGAGGGGGCATCCCTTGTTTTTGCAACTTTGATCAGTCCTTTAGCAGGAAAAAAAAGCAAACATTGAATCCCTGGGAACCGAGATGCTTCTAAATATATCACTTGTGGGGTGGGGGCCTCTGGTAGTGTTTTGTCCCCTTAGCAATCTCCCCCCCCCCCCCAATCTCAGTGAAGCAAACAAATATCCTTGTGATCGCATTTGGTATCTTTATTTCCCAGGCTCTCTGCCTGTTCTGGGAGTGCTGCTGCAGTTCCAACAAGCCCACGGATGCACTCTGATTTGTTTAACCTACTTAAAGCCAAAAAACCGAGCTGCTCTTTCCTCTCCTGCCCCTCCCTCCCCTGTTCCACTGATGAAGGAACGTGCAGGCAGATTAAAGCCTGCACGAGTAGCTAGTGTCTCCTGGCAGGCTTCAGCTAAGACCCTAGCTAGACTCGTGTTCCCTTTCTGGGTAATCTTATTTATTGACACATCACCATTTTGCAAGGGAAGCATCGGCCTCTCCTTCCTGGGAGGCGGGCTACTCTCCTTCTCCAGAAGGACATCACTCGGAGCCGAGGTGCGCTGGGTGGGGAGGCCGGATGGGACCAGTTAGGTTCAGTTTTGTACGGCTTCCATACCAGGCTGTTGGCATGGACTCCACAAACAACTGATTTTTACTCTGTTTTCCACAAAGACAGGGTCAAGTTGCATTCTCAGGTCAATACAAAGGGGTTTCTCTACTCCAAGGGAGCCCCTTGTTAACGGCCTAAGATCCATCTCTCTCTGTCACAGATCTGTGGCCCTCCAGATGTTGGAAGACTCCAGATTCAATCATCCCCAGCCAACTTGAGCAATGATGGGAGTTGTAGTCCTCTCACATCACAGTTTTCCCAGCCCTGTTCTATAACTTGCTTTTAATGGAACTGCTGTGATTTCATGCAAGTGGATTGTTTAAGTGGTTTCTGTTGGATTACTGATGTCCTTTAGAAGAGTCTGGTTTTTTTGAGGAAGGGGCAGGACTCCCCACTTTTTGTAGTGTACCCCAGTGTCCAAAGGATGCTAGCATTGGAAGGGATGCATTTGACCTTTGCAGGAAGGTTACATCACAGCATGGTGTCCATTCTTTTCTGGCAAGTGCTCCCTTAACAAGATACAACAAATGCAGACGTTCTTCCAATTTTGGCAACCCAAGTTTTAATCTGAGATATCAGATCCTTTGCTGGAAACTTTTTTGGCAAGCCTAACCAGACACATGATTTAGTTACTTACATTTGTTCTGAAAGTCTTGCTGATTCTTATCTTTATTTTGAACAATGATGGCTTTATATATATGTTTATTTGTGAGATTTATCTATGTTTTATCAGTATGCCACTTGGAGAATGTTTAGATCAAGGAGTTTATACATTTTCCTAAATACGTTTTTTTTAACTGCCTGCCATCGAAGCAGCCCTGCTGTGAAGTAGGTCATTATAACCCCCATTTTATGGATATGGGAACTGAGGCTCAGATATAGTTTGCATGTTCTTGGCTGAGCAGAGATTTGAACACAGCTTGAAGCCATGTGCTATTGCCTGCCAAACGTGTCTTCTTTCATGTTAACAAAATGTGTTATCCTTAACACTGACTCCAGTTTAATAAAATAGATTTCTCTCTCTCTCTCTCTCTCTCTCTCTCTCTCCCCCCCCCCCCAGTTAATTTGCCAAACCCATTTAGATACTTGTGTTGGAATTCAGGGCAGGCCAGCATTAGAACCTCAAATTAGCCCCACATTTTGGCCCTTGAATTTGGAACCAGAAGTTTGCTATTAGAGATTGGCCAAGGAGGCTGCCTTTCCTATTGATCGGCTAAGCAAGCAAAACCCGACTCCTTTTTCTTTCCTGTTGAGCTGCAGCCTTTAGTTAGATCCAGGTAGGTGTAAAATAATTCATGCAAAAGTCAACTTCAAAGTGATAGATTAGCCAGCCCAAAATAGGGTCATTGCTTGTATCTGCAGAGGAAGGAGGAAAATCGGGTTTCACCGCTTAAAAAGAAAAAGAAAAAAGGAGGGGGAAAACAACAGCAGCTCCCTGGCTTAGATTCCGAAATACATCAGGACTGCCGCCAGCTGTTGACTGCTTCAAAGGCAGCGTGAATCTGCCTTACAGACATGCTCCAGAACCACCCGGGAGCTGCTGAATTTGCCTTTGTCAGGTGAATTCAGGTCACCAGGTACAAGGCACTGCAGCAGCAGCAGCCTTCAGTGCAGGGGCTCTGGAGGGTGCCTTGGATTGAATTTCAGCAGCGCCCGGGAAGTGCAAACTGCCGCAGTTTCTTTTCCTGCTGTGACATGTTCAGTGGCGCAGCTGAGATCCATCCCCTGGTTTCTGGCTTGCTCGAGGTCCGAGGACTTGCCGGGTGTGGGCTGAGATGGCCTCTTCCCTGTGCGCTGGTCCCACTGCAGAGAAACCAACTGCAGCGTCAGCAAGCAGGAGCAGCGTGGGCACTGTGACGGTGCTGATGGATGAGGCAGCACACAATGGCAGCCACTAAGAATGCCATTCGGAGAGGAAGGGGTGTGCTTGACAGTTGGTGGAGGGTGTTGCTGTTGCCGATGGTGCCCATTTGGCTTACAAGGGGTTGGTGGTCCAGTTGTACCTCGGGTTACAGACGCTTCAGGTTACAGACGCTTCAGGTCACAGACTCCGCTAACCCAGAAATAGTACCTCGGGTTAAGAACTTTGCTTCAGGATGAGAACAGAAATCGTGCGGCGGCAGCAGGAGGCCCCATTAGCTAAAGTGGTGCTTCAGGTTAAGAACAGTTTCAGGTTAAGAACGGACCTCTGGAACAAATTAAGTACTTAACCCGAGGTACCACTGTACAGGGGAGCTGACGGCTGCTGTTGCAGAGGAGAGGCTTCTGCTCTCATTTCTCTGCCACTGATCTGCTCTATTGACCTTGTGTGAGGCATCATAATCATAATTTTATTATTTATACCCCGCCCGTATAAAAACATAATCAAACATCAAAAACTTCCCTGGGCCTCAGATTCTGCTCCCAGGCAGGCAACTGTTTGTGTGGTTCCACGAATGCCAGAAAGACCCCTTATCTTTGAAAAACTGACATTGGGCCAGAATGTATTTTTTTAAATTACAGAATAGCCAGCTCCTGTTCTCTGCCCGTGGATACACACTCAAAACAGGCTCAGAGCTGTTTTCGTGTCAGAAGTGCGCTGTCTCTTGACATCGCACACTCACAACTTGCCTGGAGATCTCAAAACGCCCCGCTCCAGATGTTACAGCATTGTGAGGTGCTGAGCTGAGAAAGATGCTATATGGGTTGATAAGTGCTTCAAAACTAGGTAGAGCTTGCAGCCCATATTGCAATCTTGCAAAATATTGTTATTCAAGCCCTCCATTCTGCTTCAAAGGAAGTTACCTTGTACTAGGTCAAGAGTTTTTGTCTCATCCAGCCTGGTGTTTTCCATTCTGGCTTTCCAGGATCTCAGGCACAGAGAGTTCTTTCCCATCACCTGCTGCTGCCTGATCTCCTTTTAAGCTAGAAATAACAAAAATTGTGCCAGAGACCTTTTGCATGCAAGAGGATATCCTGTGCCACTGAACTGTAATCCCTCTTCTTCAAGCTGTCAGGATTCATCACGTTTCAAGGGACTGCTGCCTTTTACGAAGAAGTAAATTCCATAGAGATCAATGGGTCTGATGCCTACATAAAGGTATATGATAGCCATCGTTAAAAAATCAAAAGGGCTGTCACATGGAAGATGGAGCAAGCTTGTTTTCTCCAGCTCTGGCGGGTCGGACGCAAATGTATTCTGGCTAAACACCAGGAATGAACATTTTGAGAGCAAGAGCAGTGGAATGGACTCCCTTGGGAGCTGGTGGACTCTCCATCCTTAGAGGTTTTAAGCAAAGGTTGGATGGCCATCTGTCATGGATGCTTAAACTTAGATTCTTGCATTGCAGGGGGTTGGACTAGATGACCCCTGGGGGTCCCTTCCAACTCCGCATTTTTATGATTCTGTATAGTGCAGAGGAAGCGTCTGCAGTCCCACTCAGTACTGTTAGGGGTTGCTCACTCCCTTTCTCCTACACTTGGCACAGTAGCCAGGAGGGTAGCATTTTATCAGTAGAGGCATATCCAAACACAGGCGCAGGAATTGGAGCATCCGTCTGTGATTTGCTAGGCATCTTCTTGGGTGCAGGACCAGTGGTCAGGGATGATGGGAAATGTAGTCCAGCTGGAGACCCGAGTCTGGGGAAACCCTGATCAGGGCCACAGATTTCCTACCCCTTCTGTAAATCAAGGGTAGCCAACATGGTGCCCTCCAGGTGTTGATCAACTCCCATCATGCCCAGCAAATGTGGCTAAGTCAAGGATGATGGGAACTGTAGTCTGACAACGTTTGGGGGAGCCACACTGCCTATCCCTGCTCTACATGGTCTTTGTATGTTTCCTGATCTTCCTCTGCTTTGAGCTGATCGTTAAACTTTCCATTTTAGATTCCTGCCTGTACGATAATCTTGCTCAGCTGCAGTTGCAGAACCGCAGCACGTTAAGTGGCTTCATTTTGTAACGATAGTAGCAAGGATGAAATAATAATAATGTGCATTTGGAGCTAGCTGGGGCGCCACAATGTGGGCGGGGGGGACGTGAGTTTAGGTGTCTTTTAGCAGAGGCGAGTAAATAGGCTGAAATGATCCTATTCAGTGCTATTTTAAACTGGTGGCTGCCAACTTTCAGGGTGTTGTGAAAAGCCGAGATATAAATACAGATAATCCACAGTCTGCCCACCTTTGAAAGCAGTGGTTTTCAGTGTTTCAGGAAATACTTTGCAGACAGACTGATCTGTAAGGAATCCGTGTGTCACCGAGGATTCAGAGGCAATATTTAGTGTGCTCCATCACTCCGGAACACAGGGTCCTCCTCGCTGGTGGCCCTGCATCAGAATGTGCCCTCTAGAGAACATGCCCATCACTTCTGCAGCATCTCTGCACATTGCAGTGAAAGATAAGCACCTGGCTTGTCTGCTGTTATTGATCTTCTCAGCAAGGAAATCCTCTTGATAAGGAGGTTCTCCGGAGCACAGTTTTCAGGCCGCTGTTTTTAAACAAAATAAGAGGCAGAGAAAAGTAGATTCATCAGTGCATGTGGTCGGGATGAAGGAACATGACAAGATGTCTCTCTAAACAACTATTTAAAAAAGGTCATGCGAAAGCCACTCTTCTGCCGGTTTAACGAGGTGCCATTTCTTACATTTAAAAAACCAGAGAAACACAGATGTGGGAGTGCTAATTGGGTGTAGGACAGAAGATGCAAGGCAGACTGGTCAAGGGTTTGATGGGGACTAAGACCAGCAAATGGCAAGGCAGCACTGTTAACACTCACATTGCACAGGAGACCAGAATGATCAGAAACAGTATGAGAGTTCTTGAGAAGCAGTTTGAGAGATTCAGGATTTGAGATTACGCTTTGCACGCACAAGGTTTCAGATTCAATCTCCAACATCTCCACATCAGGCTGGAAGATAAAAGGTAAAGGGACCCCTGACCATTAGGTCCAGTCGTGACCGACTCTGGGATTGCGGCTCTCATCTCGCTTTATTGGCCGAGGGAGCCAGCGTACAGCTTCCGGGCGTTGTGGCCGGCATGACTAAGCTGCTTCTGGCGAACCAGAGCAGCACACGGAAACGGCGTTTACCTTCGTACCTGAGCGGTACCTATTTATCTACTTGCACTTTGACGTGCTTTCGAACTGCTAGGTTGGCAGGAACAGGGACCAAGCAACGGGAGCTCACCCTGTTGCGGGGATTCGAACCGCCGACCTTCTGATCGCCAAGTCCTAGGCTCTGTGGTTTAATCCACAGCGCCACCCACGTCCCAGCTGGAAGATACCCCTCTCTAAAATCCTGGAGTGTTGCTGCCGCCAGTGCAGGCAAATATTGAGCTAAATTGACCAATGGTCTGAACTCAGCATAAGACAGATGTCTGTGTTCCTTAGTTTGTATACCCAGCCTCTTGCAGGTTAAGGATGCGTCACCCAAGGGCCCTAAGACCCAGATCTGGCACTGGTGCAGCCTGCGACAGCTACTTGTGCGATATACACCTTGCCACCCACCTGTATTTTGTTAGCCACTTACTTGCCCTAGTTAAGAAAATCGCTGTTTGTAGTCTGATCAAGAAACAAGCCCATTCATAGAATCATAAATATTACAGCAGCAGCAATAAGTGCTGCAAAGCATATCCCAGTGTGTCCTATATGAATCTGGCTCCAAAATTAAGCTTTGCACTGTTTCCAAAGTTCAGTGTGCACAAGCAAAATTCTCAGATTTCGCAAAGCTAGAAAGCCGAAATTGGGTAGAGAAAGCAGGTACTGTAGAGTGCTATACTTACATGTGTGGTGTACTGTTTCAAATCACACAGTTTTTATAGAATCTATACCAAACTCTGTTATACTATATGTATTCGCATAAACCATCCTAAGAAGAGCTGACCTGGGTATCTAGAAGTAATGAGAAGGTAATGGGGCATAATGCAGACATCTGGATTTCTTTTTCCACTGCCAGAGGGAGAATGGGAGATTATAAATACTGGGAACGAGGAATCCTGGGTTCCATCACACCTCCTGCTTATTCCTGTTGTATATATGCAGAGTAAAGGTGCGTTTTTTCATGGTGGGGAGAGATTTATTTAAACTTGTAGGAGTGATGATGGCAGTCCCATTTTAACTGCTCCGTCCTTGCAGCTGCAATCTGGGCTGCCCAGATTTACGGATTGTGCAACTCATATTTTTGCAGATTAACCTCTGCTGCACTTAGCTTTTACCAAGAGAGGTCTGGTGCCTTAACTTGACCCAGGGGTCAGTAGGGCTTGGATCAGTAGGGCTCGCTGTGCCGTTTTCAGGCAAGAGACTCTCATTTTGGCTTCCGGAAAGCCCCCGTCCTCCTCTTAAAGGCTCCCTGCAATCCCACACATGGGGAAAGGAAGGGAAAGGGGCTGCTCTCCTTCTTGCGGAGGGCGTTCTGCACATGCACAGATGCGCTCTTTTCTAAAACCTGCTCCCTGCGGTCCCGGCTGGGCGTGGCGATTCTCCTCCAGGAGCCAGCCGCGAACTTGTCCATGCGCTAACAAGGATGGATCCAGGCACCTCCACAGCTCCCCTTCCTCTCGGATCGCGTCTCTCGCCCGCCCCCGCTTGCATGCATGCAGCTGCATGCGCAACCCCCCCCCCGTTTGCACGCCTGCATGCAGCTGCATGCGCAAACATGCAATGCCGCGTCTTGCATCGCGGGCGCCTCGCGTGCAGAGAGCCGCCTCCTGCTGTCGAGGAGGAGGATGAATGCCGCCCGAGCCATGTGAGCCGCGAGTCAGGTGTCTCCCCTCCCCGCCTTGGCGGCGCTCCAGCACGTTGCTTGTTCCTGACACTCGTTCCGCGGCAGCTAGAGGCGGACACGTGAGGCGCTGACCCGATTGGAGGCTCCGCTCCGCAGGGGAGGCGAAGCGGAGCTGGGAACCGGAGCTCGCTCCTGCCACCGCCGCCCCCTCGGAGCTCTTCTCCGGCGGCGATTGGCAGGCGCTAAAAATAAGCGCCCGGGCTGCTGCTCGCTTGGCACAGATGCGCGGCGGGCAGCGCGGCGATCCCGGGGCAGTTAGGCCGCCCCATTTGCAAAGTCGCGGAGATGGGCATGGAAGCAAAGTCATTTAAGGGTTTTTTTAAGAGATAGAGAAAACAGGGAGAAGTTCGTGACCATGGGCGCAGCCAAGGGGGCCAGTTGACCCCCTAAATCAATCAAAATCAATACAAATTTGAGGTTCCTCCCCAGCAAAAGACTGCACCCCTAACCAAAAACCTGGCTACGCCCATGGAGAGGTGGTCGACATATTACAGTATTTTGGGGGTTTTCTGCTCCTAAAGATGTATGCAGAGAGCCAGAGTTTTGAAGCGTAACCCAGCACCCAAGACTAGTGGGACAGGATTCAAATTGATGCCCAATTTCCGTGTGTCTTGGTGGAATCAAGGTGTTGTTTCCCCCCAACTGCGCTTCTGATCAATGGGGCAATTCCACCGACCCCTGCAAAACAACCTTTGAGGCCACTTCAGGTATCCAAAAAAAGTGATAAAAATAAGTTCTGCGTGAGAGATGCATGCATCTCAGTTCTGAACATACAGAGTCGCTGCTATGCTGAGTAAAGACCATTTTTCATCTAGCCCAGGGTTTCCCAACCTTGGGTCTCCAGCTGGTTTTGGACTACAACACCCATCATCCTTAGCTGGCAGGTCCGGTGGTCAGGGATGATGGGACTTGTAGTCCAAAAACAGCTGGAGACCCAAGTTTGAACTAGCCCAACACAATCTTTCCCATGACTGGCAGTGGCTCCCCCAAAGATTTCAGGCAAAAATCTTTCCTGTTGCCTTTGCTATCCTTCTGCTGGGCTTAACAAGAATCTGACCTGGAACATTCTGCTGTATGCAGAATATGTGATCTTCTGCTAAAAAGGTAAAGGACCCCTGACACTTAAGTCCAGTCGCGAACGACTCTGGGGTTGCAGCGCTCATCTCGCTTTACAGACTGAGGGAGCTGACGTTTGTCCGTAGACAGTTTTTCTCGGTCATGTGGCCAGCATGACTAAGCCGCTTCTGGTGAACCAGAGCAGCGCACAGAAACGGTGTTTACCTTCCCACCGGAGCGGCACCTATTTATCTACTTGCACTTTGATGTGCTTTCGAACTGCTAAGTTGGCAGGAGCAGGGACCGAGCAACGGGAGCTCACCCCGTTGCGGGGATTCGAACCACCAACCTTCTGATCGGCAAGTCCTAGGCTCTGTGGTTTAGACCACAGCGCCACTTCCGCTGCACCTTTCCAATCAGTAGGGTGAGATTTGTTCCAACAAGGGGAGCACTTTCACCACATCATCCTCGTCAGGATGCTTCCCCGTATCCTCTCCCTCACACCCTCCACTGCCAAATTAATCCGGATTTACTATTTCTGCAGGGTTGTGTGTGTGTTTTTTTTCTTAAATTTATCGGATTTTCTGCAGAAACGGTAAATCCGGATTAAATGGGTGAGTAATAATGGGGCAGCATTTTGATGAGGACGGTGTCATGTGGATGCTGCAAAGGAGAAGAAGCGTGATTTCACTTGCTATGCTTCTCTTTGCAGCATCTTTTGACCGTCCAGAGGAGGTCCTAAGGTGTTGAGGGGAAGGGAAGGGGTTTGCCTCTCTGATCCACAGAACCAGCAGTGATAGAAAAAGCACATTGTGGGGCATGCATGCCTTGTTGAACTGTTTGCTTTTAGGCTGAGGTCAAGAGCCCACCATAGAAGTTGAATAGAGTTTGAGATTGTCTTGATCTAGGCCAAAGATCAAATGCAGTTCTAGATCATGCAAGCGAATTCCCAGATGCCCCTTCAGCTGACGGTCTGCCGAGCAGAATGGTTTGAGTGCGCTCTCTCGCTGGGAAGAAACACTTTTCCCATGCCCAAAGTTGGTTTTAAGGCTGGCGCTGCTTGCAGCCTGAACAAGCTGCCCTTGCCCTTATAAGCTTCACAATGCCTAGGAAAACATAAAAGAGAGGCGGTTTATTTTTGGCACATGTTTTTGAAGCCAGGGGTTTTTGCAGGACAGAGCTGAGTGACGATGATTGGCCCTTACGGCAAATTAAACTCATTCTGTCACCAAAAGATAGAAGGGAGCGAGGGAGTGTGGAGACGTTTGCTCGGAAAGTACTTCTCCGTTCCTGATGTAGGTCGCATGCGGATGTGGTGTGTGAGTTCAGGCACATAAGTCGAGGAGCCAGAGGCAGTGCGGCTCCTGTAACGCTTCTGTGTGGTCCACTTTACAAAATCCTTGTGCAATGGAGTACATCTCTGCTTTTTGGTGGGGGGCGGAGGAATAAATGTTGAGTTAGTGAAGGAGGCATCAGGAAAAGGGAGAGGAGCTGAGAGCTGGTGGGACAACTGGCCTTCCCCTGTGGCTCTTCAGGAATGAGAGTTGTCATCCAGCAACGTCTAGAGGGCCAGAGGATCCCACCTGTACTTTATAGGGATGTCAGGGGGCTATTGTTGTTAAAGAGCCTTCCTTAGCCTCTCTATAGTCTCTTCCCTTTGGCCAGGCCTGAACACACAGGCTGATCTCCCATCCTGATCAATTCCTCTTGACTTCAGGCTCACAACCTGCCCTGGCCTTGAGACCCGGCAGTGCAAAGCCATTAAAAAGGGTGTTAAGGGACATTTATACCAAGCGATTTCCTAAACGCACTGTTGGAAGGGAAGCCAATTGCCCTGAGCCGATGGGGCCTCTGGTTTGGCATTTGCAGTGGCACCTTGTGGGGTCCTGGCACGGCCTTCTGCCTCTCAGATGGCCGCTTGGGCTTTCGTGCCTTCATATGCGTGCCATCCGCTTGCCCTAGTTTTCGCGCAGCACGTGTCGCCCGGGCCACATCATTCTCTGCTCTTCCCCATGCGCCGTCCCACATGGAGGCTGCATGCGTTCAGTCGGTCACTGGCTTCACACCTTCAGGCACAGCTGCCAGCTCAGTGCCCTGGCGGAGAGAGACACAGTTTTTTGCAGGGAGGAAGGGAGGGGCGGTGGTTTTGTGGCAGCAGTGACCCCATTCGAGGCCACTTTCCCCATTTCCTCCTCTCCGACCTCGGTGCGCAGGTTTTGACCAGTCAGACGGCTGGCACACATGCCACCTGCGAAAAGACAGAGCCATGGTTTGCCAAAGAAGGGGTGGAGCAACGGTGGTTCGAAATCACAGCCAGGTTGATGTTGGATGAATGCTAAAGGCACCATTTTAAATCGGCAACGGCTGTTGTTTTACTATTGCTTTCATTTCTCGCAGCCGTCGTAGATTGCAGAATAAAGTTTGCTTGGAGCTTTCAGCAGAAAGTTGCTCGGCTTGGCCTTGATCGGTGGTTCTGCAAGCCACCTCATATTCTCCATCATTCCCTTCCCTCTCTTCCAGCAATGCCCTATATGGCACTAGTTCACGGTGATTTTTGCTTTCTTTGGCCCTCAAGAAATGAGAGCTGAGGAATTGGAAGGATCTGTTTGTTTGCTAGCTGCCTGCCGCTGCCTACAAGAGAGTTGGTGGGCTGGAGGCAGGAACAAACTCACTTAATAGGAGTGCAAAAAGACGCCTCTAGTCACCAGCACCTCTTTGAACCCATGGTGCCCATTGCCTTGGCAAGGCTTCTAGAGTCTTCTGTGAAGACACACCCAGGGGTGCCCTCCCCCCTTTTTAAACCAGGGGGTCTGCTCACCCCCACACTCACTATTTACATCCAAGCAATGGAATCTTGAAGGTGCACAAACTCTGGTGACCTGGTCCTTGCTCAGCCAGTAAAAAAACCGGCAGAAAATTTTGAATTAGAGAATCTCCTGGAAAGTTTTCCGGAGCATTTTCTTATGCAAATTAGGATCATTTGCATCTGTAAATTTTCAGTTTGTGTTGGAGGGAAAAAAAAATTAATGACCTGAAGAGTGATCTGATTGAAGATAAAATAGTGACTGAGTGCTACACTCACAACAACCCCTGTGAGCTTGGTTAGGCTGAGGCCCGGTCACCCAGTGAGCTTCATGGCTGAGTAAGGATTCGAATGCAGGTCTCCCAGGTCGTCTGACACTCAGTTTTATATTAGGGATCTCTTCAACCAAGCGACTTACACAACTTCTAAGCAAATAAATGTTCCAAGCATGGTTTCAGCTCACACCTGCTAGGCGTCTCTTTGCAGTTCCACAGTCCTGATCTTTTCCCCACTTCCTCCTTGTCCACCCTCACTCCAGGTGGCGTGATCCTGTATGTGGGCTCCACAGCCGGCTCCAGCCCCACCCCGGGCAGCCCCCCCAGTGGATACCTGGTGCCTTCGCCTCAACACTCGCTGCCATCCTCGCTGGAAGAGCTGACCCTTACGGAGATCGGGGCCATTAAGCCTCAACGGGCCAGCTCCCCGTCCTCGCCCAAGGTAGCCTTCCAGTTCCCCGAGGGCATCCGCTACCCCAGCAAGGGCCAGTCGCCCCCAACGCAGAGCAGGGTACCCGCTGCCAAACAGAACGGAGCCACTGGCACCTTCACAAGTAAGTGGCTCTCATTTTGTCAGAATCTTTATTTGGGTGGTATTATTATTATTAATTCCTGCCAACCTAGCAGTTTGAAAGCACGTCAGAGTGCAAGTAGATAAATAGGTACCGCTCTGGCGGAAAGGTAAACGGCATTTCCGTGCGCTGCTCTGGTTCGCCAGAAGTGGCTTAGTCATGCTGGCCACATGACCTGGAAGCTGTACGCTGGCTCCCTCGGCCAATAAAGTGAGATGAGCGCCGAAACCCCAGAGTCGGTCACGACTGGACCCTAATGGTCAGGGGTCCCTTTACCTTTATTATTATTATTATTATTATTATTATTATTACAGTCATACCTCACGTTACGTCCGCTTCATGTTACGTTCTTTTATGTTACGTCCCGCGGCGACCCGGAAGTACCAGAAAGGGTTACTTCCGGGTTTCGCCGCTGGCGCATGCGCAGACGTGCAAAATGACGTCATGCGCAGAAGCAGCGAATCGCAACCCAAGTGTGCACAGATGCGCCGCTGCGGGTTGCTCTCTTTTCATGTTGCGAACTGGCCTCCGTAACGGATCCCGTTCGCAACCAGAGGTACCACTGTATTATAATTATTATTATTATTATTAGGTTTTTCAAAAAACTTTAACAAATTTACTTCACATCCAATTCTATGATTCTAAAATCTGCCTAGTTGCTTGCGATTTTAAAACCTACTTTACTGCAAAGGCTCAAGGCTGGGACCAGTCTTTCTTCTCATTTACCCTTTAATTTATCGCTTGGGAGCGCGAGCCCATTGCTACTCCCGTTTTAAAGAAGGGAAGAAACGTTTCACTTAGCTGAAGCGGGTCTGGTGTTGTGTTGGCATACGAATCTCCATTTCCATTGGGCCTGCACACTCAAAACCGGCCTTGCCCAACCAGTTGAATCTCCAGCCATTTTGGACTTAACAACTGCCATTACTATTGGGAGCGCTGCCACCTCTGGCTAATAATGCAAGTTATAGCTCCCGAAATCTGGAGGACGCCATGTTGGGGGGGGGGATTGGCAGGGGTCAGAGACTGAGGGTGGAGAGGAGGGCACAGGTGGAGAATTAACCACCATTCTTCTCTCCCTCAACAGAGACAGGTGGGATGGTTCTGCTCTGCAAGGTTTGCGGTGACATTGCCTCAGGCTTCCACTATGGCGTCCATGCTTGTGAGGGATGCAAGGTAAGCTGCGCTCTGCTTATTCTCCTTTTCACATGTCTAAAGTATTCTCTTAAGCGATAAGGACTGGAAATTGTTTTTTTTTTCTAAGTAAAAAAGAACCAAGCTGAGATCCTTAGAACACTGAATTTGGCACCTTTTATCGAATCTTCTGCTTGTGCATTGGAATGTGGATCACACACAACTCTGATTCTTGTGTGTGCTTTTCATAGATCTCGGGACTATGTTTTCCAAACCAGCCGTGAGCTCTGCATTAACTGGTTTACTTTTAAAGTGCCTTGCAGAAGTGATTAGTCTTGACTCTCTCGTGCCCTTCTCCCTGTTTGCATTGAAAGCAGGCGTGCTGTATACTGCAATATGCTCCCTAGCCAAGTAGGCGTTGAAAGGCGACGCTCAGACATGGCTAGAAGAGACAAAACGGATGCTTTGGTTATGACCAGGGGCATTGCTAGGTGCTTATGCGGTAAAGGCCTTATGGCACAAGGCTGCATAATATTTGCATATTCTAATTTGTACCTATAGATGCCTCTGAGAAATTAAGATTGCAAGTTGCTGGGAGTCTCACTACCACTGTGTGTGTGTGTGTGTGTGTGTGTGTGTGTGTGTGTGTGTGTCAAAAGGGGAGCAGGGAAGGGTTGAGAGACCCAGACCCTGCTGCAAAACACCCCTCCCCAAAAGACCCCCACATACTGTGGCTCAGGCCATCTTGGCGGCCCCCTAACAACATTGCTGCAGCTTATCAAACCAATTGGAGACCACTTTGTTTGCTGTCCATCCAAACTGGCCCCCTGGGAATTTGGGGGAGATTTAACTTGTGCTAGGTTCCTTGTAGCTCATTGCAACCCCTTCAGCCAACTTTTGGAAAGAAGCTAACAGCAATTTCAGCTTTAAATACAACTCTGAAAACAGAGCAGATAGGGCATCCGGAATTTCCCAGACATAGCCAGGATTCATCCATCAAAAATAGTGTCCGGGTGGAATTTTTGAAAATGGGTTAAAATGTCCGGGGAAAACCGGAGCAGAAGTGTTGAATTTTTTTGCGAATTTCCTGAAAAATAGCTAAGAAGCATCATTTTGGGGAGAGATGTTCACTTTTGGAAATATGGCAACCATAAGTGCAGACCAGGGACGCGGGTGGCACTGTGGGTTAAAGCACAGAGCCTAGGACTTGCCGATCAGAAGGTCGGCGGTTCGAATCCCCGCGATGGGGTGAGCTCCCATTGCTCAGTCCCTGCTTCTGCCAACCTAGCAATTCAGAAGCACGTCAGAGTGCAAGTAGATAAATAGTCCCTCCTCCGGCAGGAAGATAAACAGCGCTTCCATGCACTACTCTGGTTCGCCAGAAGTGGCTTAGTCATACTGGCCACATGACTCGGAAGCTGTACACCAGCTCCCTCGGCCAATAAAGCAAGATAAGCGCCGCAGCCCCAGAGTCGGCCACGACTGGACCTAATGGTCAGGGGTCCCTTTACCTAAATGCAGACCAGGGGGTCAGCGCGTGACGTGTGTTAGTATTAGTTTCTCTTTGCTAACCTGGTCGCTGTTCCATTCCGTCCGCCAGGGGTTCTTTCGCAGGAGCATTCAGCAGAACATCAACTACAAGATGTGTGTGAAGAACGAAAACTGCATGATCATGAGGATGAACCGCAACCGCTGCCAGCACTGCCGCTTCAAGAAGTGCCTGGCGGTGGGCATGTCAAGAGATGGTAAGCATCTAGGCAGGGTCAGAACAACCACCAGAGCAGCAGACTCTTGCTTTCAGGGCTGTGGGTTCGAGCCCCACGTTGGGCAAAAAATATCCTGCATTGCAAGGGGTTGGACTAGATGACCCTTGAGGTCCCTTCCAGCTCTGCAATTCTATGATTCCATGTTTCGGGGCAGCTGTAATGAATTACTTTCAGTGACAATCCAGAGCTTTGGATGTACATCAATAACAGGCCCTGTGGTTTTCCTGCAAGTGCGTTAGAATTAGTTGAGCAACACCAAACTGCATTGAAGTGTCCTGTGTTTCATCTAAGAGATAGTAGGCAGAGTGTTTGTTTACAGTCTTGTAAAACACGCTCCCTTTAGGAAAGGCAGACCTGGGGGCATCCTCCCTAAAATGGCTAGGGAGTGGGGCGTGAGAAAAGGGTGCTATACCCTGGTTTGCTTTCTAATTAATGTCCCACGATACAAAGCCCAAGCCAGCCTTTAAAGCACAAGCAACGGCTGGCTGTTTCCTCTGCTCCTTTATTCTTACAAGGGCACTGTGTCAGCAAATCCTTTGGTTGATAAATAGAGCCCTGGGCTGATTTATGCTTCCAGGCCAGGATTTCCAGGGCAACGGAGAAAGTTGTGGGAGGAGCCCCTCTTGCCCGGAAAGCAGGCAGCTTTCTTTGATTAATGGTCACGACAACTCTCTTGGGTACATGATAGATGTACCCAGAAACCTTGAGGAGCTGGTGACTAATTTCGGCTTCGCAGTGACGCTGTGGGTTTGGGAACAGGGTTGGATCTGGTCCCCCTCCGCTTTGTCTGCGGAAAAGTTAATGCCAAAATCGGCAGTCGCCGCCACCCCACAAGTTGCAGAAATTGTGCATACGTGCAGTGGGTCGGTGCATCTAGCTGTTAACCAGAAGGTTGGTGGTTCAAGCCCACCCACCCAGGGACAGCTGTGGGCATTGCAGAGGTTTGGACTAGAAGACCCTCGGGACCCCTTCCTCCAGTGTGGTGTAGTGGTTAAGAGCGGTAGATTTGTAATCTGGTGAACCGGGTTCACGTCTCCGCTCCTCAACATGCAGCTGCTGGGTGACCTTGGGCTAGCCACACTTCTCTGAAGTCTCTCAGCCCCACTCACCTCACAGAGTGTTTGCTGTGGGGGAGGAAGGGAAAGGAGAATGTTAGCTGCTTTGAGACTCCTTCGGGCAGCGATAAAGCGGGATATCAAATGCAAACACCTCCACAGTTTTATGATTCTATGATTCTATGTGAGATCAGCTTACCTGATTTGGCCTGTACCTATTTCAGTGGTGTTTGAGGCAATTCCGAAGGGCTTCACCACTGTCTTCGCCTCCCCACCCACCCCAGTGCTGCCAGGTTGAAAGCAAGAACAGGGAGTATTTGGGTGGGTGCAGTTTCCCCCACATTAGCATAGGGACAAGGAGAAAAGCTTCTCATGCCGAAATCTTCCATCACTACAGATTATCCTCAACTTGCTGTTTATTTTCTGGACGGCGGCATGCTGTCCCCAACAGCTGTCCCCTTGACTTGCCCAAGAAGGGCCTGTTTCATGGCGTCCTTTCCCCTCGCTCACATTCTCCTGCCATTTCTCCCCCCCCAACAGCTGTGCGCTTTGGGCGCATTCCTAAACGGGAGAAGCAGCGCTTGCTGGATGAGATGCAGAGCTACATGAACAGCCTGAACGAGGCCCCCATGGACGTTGGCATGAGCCCCGAGGCGGATGCTGCCCCACCCAGCCCCAACGCCCAGGAAGAGGAGGCCATCAGCGCCATCTCGAGGGCTTACCACGACATCTTCGTCAGCGGCCAGGACCGCCTGGGCAAGCGGGGAGGGTCCCCCGGGAGCGAGGCCTGCCCTTTGACCAACTACAACGATCAGCAGCTGAACAACTCCTACGGCTACGGGCAATACGAGTCGGCCACTCTGCGCGCGTCCAGCTACGGCCCCCAGGAGCCCCCCGGCTTCGTGGACAACGGCTCCCGGTGCTTTGGCAACGAGATCTTCAAGGCCCAGCAGGCTGGCTATCTGCACAATGCCGGGTGCTACCCAGCCTTTGAGTATGGCTATCCCGAAGCAAACACCCAGAGGGGCTGTCCCTGGCGGGGTACTACCAGTCGAGGCATCGTAAGTACTAGAATTAAATATTATATTGGGGGAAACACTGCCATTGGATGCGTGGCAAAAGCCACAGGAATGTAGGCATCACTGGAGATAGGTTATGGAAGATGGGTAGGGACAATGATTGCCAACAATGGAGCCTCCATGCAGAGGGGCATGATACCTTCAAATCTTTGGGGCAGACAACAGGGGATGGTTATCTTCTCTGCATCTGAACTTTTCATTACTCCCCAATGTTGGCCAGCTTCAGGGAAAGAGAGAATCATAATGATGCTAAGGGTCAGTGCATCTAGCTATTGTTAACCACAACGTTGGTGGTTCAAAACCACCCAGGCATGGCTGTGGGCAGGATCCCTGCATCACAGGGAGTTGGGCTAGCTCTACAGTTCTGTGATTCAATGCTTCCGAGCGGGCTTGAGCCTCAGCACGGCTCAGTTTGGAAATCAGGCACTGGGCCGAGCTGCAGTGGAAGACTGCCTTCAGCTTGCAAAGCTGGGCTTGTTGGCTGCTGCAGGATCTCCAGCAGAACGCTCTGGTTTTCAGCTGGGAAACGCTTCAAGCTCCCTCTGTTGGAAACAATGCTCTCTGCACCGCAAATGAGCCATTTTCAAGAGCCCTCAGGGCTATAATAAATACAGCGTCTTATGTTGCATTTTAGGATTAAATAAAGGCAACCTTCCCTTCAGAAATGACCTGCTTGAATCAGGGCAATTGTATTCCAAGGTCTAGCCACATGTACACATCACATGTGGGTGACGCTGTGGGTTAAACCACAGAGCCTAGGACTTGCCAATCAGACGGGGTGAGCTCCCGTTGCTTGGTCCCTGCTCCTGCCAACCTAGCAGTTTGAAAGCATGTCAAAGTGCAAGTAGATAAATAGGTACCGCTCCAGCGGGAAGGTAAACATTGTTTCCATGCGCTACTCTGGTTCGCCAGAAGCGGCTTAGTCATGCTGGCCACATGACCCGGAAGCTGTACGCCGGCTCCCTCGGCCAATAAAGCGAGATGAGCGCCGCAACCCCAGAGTCGGTCACGACTGGACCTAATGGTCAGGGGTCCCTTTACCTTTACTTTACATATCACATAGAGATCTGCGTGGCTCGGCCACCTCCTCTGTTTGCCTTGAGCTGGAAATGCGGCCCTGTTACTACCTTCCCCACCTACTGACATGCAGCGGAATAAGGTGTTGTTTTGGACCATGTACACCGCTGCTCCTGTTTTTTTAAAAATAAATAATCTGCACAAGTGGCAAACTAGCACATGAGGAAACATGGTTCTAGCCCAGCCGTCTCCCCTGCAGAGAAGCTTTTCCTTTTTGCACAGTTATAAAAACACGAGCCCTCTTTGTGGCATGAAGTGGCGCACTGCATTCTGCTACTGCAGGGCAGGGAGGGAGGGAATTTCAAGTCAATACTGGGAGTAGGGTGACCTCTGCCCATGGTCTTACACACACAAACATTTTTCTCCCAGTGGAGCTTCTTGAGGGGAGATAACTCCCACTGGAAGGAAAAATAGTCACAAACAGTTTTGTGTATGAAATGATGTGCAAGGCGAGGAAAAGCTGTTTGATAGATTACCTGTTTCTTCCCCCACTGCCATTTATATGAAGGGTGGGAAACCTACAACCCTCCCATCAACCTCAGCCAGCATGGCCAAAGGTCAGGGTTTACTGGAGTTGAAGTCCCAACAGCATGTGGAAGACCCCAAGTTCTCCATCGCTTCCTTGCAGGGCTAATTGGAGGGACAGTCAGGAGTTTTGCCCTTGCAGATGTTGCTGAGCTTTTAAATAACAGTGGTTGGTTTTATTGTTCACGATGTTTTTATTACACCCTACTCTGGGATTTATTTTTAAGGGAAAAGGAGACCATAAATTTCTCAAATAAATAATAAATAATTTTTTAAAACAAATTTTAATGGTTCTTAAACAAATACAGATAACCATTAAACACTTGCCCAGAAGCACATCCAATGGTCTTTGTTTTATTTATTGTCTCTAGACATATACTTAACACATTCAGCTTTCAAACGTATTGCTTAACATAACCCTTCCACTGAGAATAGTGAGCAGTTGGTATAAGAAGGTCTTGATTTTAGTCATTAACATAGTTAAAGAAAGGGGTCCACATTTCTTGAAAGGTGTCCCTATTTGTTATGCCTTTAATTGCCCACCTGTGTCTGGTGAGAACATTGCTATATGTCAGATATTATTTTGCCATATGTTCAGGGGTCTGAATAATAAATACATTTTAATTGACTAGAGATTACTACTCCCCCCCCCACTTGTGTGGGTGGTTCAAATCCGTGTGACGGGGCAAGCTCCCATCACTCTGTCCCAGCTCCTGCCAACCTAGCAGTTCGAAAACACGCCACTGCAAGTAGATAAATAGGTACTGCTGCGGCGGGAAGGCAAACAGCATTTCTGTGCACTCTGGCTTCCATCACAGTGTCCCGTTGCGCCAGAAGCGGTTTAGCCATGCTGGCCACATGACCCAGAAAGCTGTCTGTGGACAAACGCCGGCTCCCACAGCCTGAAAAGCGAGATGAGCGCCACAACCCCATAGTTGCCATCCAGGGATCCTTTACCATTTACTTTGATTACATGAACCACCCTTTGCAACATAAGGCGGTGTGACATTAACATATGAGAGTGCGAGAGGTGAAATAGTTAAACAGATTACCCAATCAGAACCCAGGGGTGTGGAGTCAGAGGGACTATAAAACCAGCTCTGGGAGGGGCGAAAGGGGAGTTTGTTGGGAGTTGGGTGGTTGGTTGGAGTGGGAGTGAATTGGGATAGAGTCTGGGTAGGTTGAGTTAGTGTAGCGAAATAAGCTGAGTCAGGAACAGTTGGGAGCTGGGAAAACAAGTAAATATCTGAAAGGTGGTTTAGTGAGTGAGAGCAGGTAGCGGAAGTTATAGGTCTGGATAGGCACCCTATGATTGTAGTTGACTGAGACCGTTTATGAAACCACACGCTTGTTAAACTGCAATAAACAAACAGAGGTTTATGTTCCAACTTAACCCTGACTGGACTCAGTATTTTACCAGGTAGGGCCTGGGTGGTGGCAGCAAGAAATAAAGTGGTGGCGCAGGGATCAATAGACGGTGAAGCGTCCGGGGACCCTGTGTGATCGCCATGGGTGGCAGGAAAGATGCATCTTTTGGAAGTAAATAAATGGTATTTGTCGCTTGCTGAAGCAGTGTATTTGCAAGGGGTTCTTCTGGCTAGATTGAGCTTAACCTTCTTTGCTGACCTCCTTGTTGTATGCAGGCCTGTCCTCTGAATGCCACCCCCTATTGCAGCAACGGCAAGAGCAGCCAGCAAGTGTGGGAGGAATTTTCGCAGTGCTTCACGCCAGCCGTCAAGGAGGTGGTGGAGTTTGCCAAGAGCATCCCCGGGTTCCAGTCACTCTGCCAGCAAGACCAAGTCATGCTGCTGAAAGCAGGCACTTTCCAGGTAAGAACAGAAGCAGCAGCAGGCAGGACCCGCATGCAACAGCACTTCTCCCCATTGTGATTCTCAGCAACTGGTATTCAGGGACAGCCTACCTGCAACAGAGGAGGTAGAATCATAGAGCTGGGACCACGAGGGTCATCTAGTCCAACCCCCAGCATTGCAGGAATCTTTTGCCCAACGTGAGACTCAAACCCATGACCCTGAAATTAATACTTTCATGCTCTACCAACTGAGCTGTAGAATCTACCCATTGTGGCTAGCAGCCAGCGACAGCCTTATGCACCGTATTTTTCTCTCTATAAAACGCACCAGACCACAAGACGCACCTAGTTTTTGGAGGAGGAAAACAAGAAAAAAAAATATTCTGAATCTCAGAAGCCAGAACAGCAAGAGGGATCGCTGCGCAGTGAAAGCAGCGATCCCTCTTGCTGTTCTGGCTTCTGGGATAGCTGTGCAGCCTGCCTTCGCTCCATAAGACGCACACACATTTCCCCTTACTTTTTAGCAGGGAAAAAGTGAGTCTTATAGAGCAAAAAATACAGTAATTCTTCTTTTGCCCTGGGCCTCTCACAGATGGAGCTAGGTGCATACTCTCCTTGGGCAAAAAATAGCTTGCACCAGAGGCAGTCATTGTGTTGCTCTTCAGATGTTTTTTAGACTCCATCTCCCATCATCACTTGCTCATGGCCATGCTGGCTGGGCACAATATTGTTGCATTTTTGGAGGGCCCTGTCATTGCTTAGCAATTGGCTCTCATGCAGGGGACCCGAAAGGCCTGCCTTAAGCAGCACTCTTGCGCCTTCAAACAGCCGCACAGCAGGCTGAATTTTAACAAATGTAGTTCCTCCCACTGCTCAAAAACAGAAAAAGGTCAGACCTGCCACCCTGTGCTATGGACAGGAGAACTTTAAGGGTACCTGGCACAAGTCAATCTCGAACCTCAAATGAAAAACTCAGTGCAACCTGTGATAGGGATGGGCAGAGACGCCCTTCGTGCTTTCAGGGCTATGCCCTCCTTTTCAAAATACCCTGCTGGCTTCCCAGCATCTCCTTCCACCTGGTAATAGGACATGGCAACAGGCAATTCCAAAGCCTTGTTTTGGAATCAATGAACGATTAGCTCAGGAAGGCCTTTTTCTTCATTCCTAGGATGTTGGTCAAAGTGGCAGCCCGTTTGCTTAGCCCTCAACCTTCCCCTCTTCTTTCCCTTCCCAGGTGCTGATGGTTCGCTTCTCCTCCCTGTTCAGCCCCAAGGAGAAGGTGGTGACCTTCCTGAGTGGGGAGACATACTCGCTCTGCAGCCTACGCACCATGGGCATGGGCTCCCTGCTGGACGCCATGTTTGAGTTCAGCGAGAAGCTCAGTTCCCTGGACTTGGACACACAGGAAATGGCACTCTTCATGGCCGTAGTCCTGGTCTCAGCGGGTGAGTCAAGGGGTCATAACTGGCTTTGTGGGGTAGGAGGAGCATTCTGCGGCTTGCATTAAAGGCTTTCGCTGTACTTGCGGTCCTGTGCTGGGAGAATCTCAAATGATTCCTTCTCGCCTCGGAGCAATTAAAGGCACCCAGGGGTGGAATCTGGGCGCGCTCACTGGCAAGGAGGCATTGTGCTGATCGCAAGGCCCAGCCCTGCAAACAGAGGTTAGAGCAAGAAGACTGCAGTATTTACAGAGGGATCCTAATCTTTTATAGCCATCACTGCTTATCCTGTTGGTTAGTTTTTTAAAAAATATTTCTTTTCACTTTATCAAACTTCATAGTTACACACACACACACACACACACACACACACACACACACACAGTAACAGTAAAATACCTTGAGATAATATATCTCCTGCCCCTCTGGCTAGGTTGCCCCAGACACTCTGGGCAGCTTCCAATACATATAAAAATATGATAATACATCAAACATTAAAAACTTCCTGATATAGGGCTGGTTTTGGATGTCTTTTTTTTTAAAAAAAAGCAAATTTGATTTACATTTCTAGCTTTTATGGGGCAAATTGGTATGAGAAACGCCTGGCAAAAAAATTTCAGAAGTTCAAAGCAGTTGCTGAATGATATTTCCAGTACTCAGCAGTGAAGCTCCCCTGCCTTCATTTTTTTTGGGGTGTGTGTGTATTCCAGCATAATTTATTGGTACAGAATTTGGGTCATTTCAGAACAGGATTATTACTATTTTTTAATGTTGAATTGTCATCTGCATCATAATGTCAGGGTGTCTCTAACAAGTCAGCTTGATGCTGACAAATAAACATTGCAACTATTTTAACTTTACAGTCATACCTCGGGTTAAATGTGCTTTAGGTTGAGCGTATTCAGGTTACACTCCGTGGCGACCTGGAAGTAATGGAGTGCGTTACTTCCGGGTTTCGCTGCATGCACAGATATTCAAAATGACGTCATGCGCAGAAGCGGAGAATTGCGACACACAGACGGGTTGCTTCAGGATGCGAACGGGGCTCTGGAACGGATCCCGTTCGCATCCAGAGGTACCACTGTACCAGTCTTTCCCCAGGGAAATGAAAACCCCTCTGTTCTCCACGTGTCTTTCTTGTTTCTGTCAACTCAATACCTTTGCTTTGGTTTTCAGATCGCTCCGGCATCTCTGACGTGGATGCAGTCGAAATCCTCCAGGAGACGTTAATCCGGGCCTTGCGGACTCTCGTGACTAAGAAGCACCCGGACGACTCCACGCTTTTCCCCAAGCTGCTCCTCCGCCTGCCTGACCTGAGAACCCTCAACAACCAACATTCAGAAAAACTGCTTGCCTTCCGCATCAACCCGTAAGCCCGCTGGACTGGACGACTTCTGAAACCCTGCGAGTTTTGGGTAAGAAGAACCAAGAATCGACCATCAAGCAAACTTAATGCATCGGACTAAATTTTGCTCCGTGGGGAGAAGATGGTGACGGTGAAAGGAGAGGAGCATAAGGGATCCGGCAAGGGAGGGGAACCCATAGCCCATCGCAGCTGGGATCTACTAGAGCGGATCCCTCCCTGGCGAGGAGACCAGACACAGGAGGAAGGGTTTGTTTCCCAGATAGTGCTCTCCGTGGCGCTGTGCAGATTGAAGATCATTTATTTTGCTAGAGGAGATCAGGCAAACGAGCTGGACACGCGTTGTACCGTGTTGTTTTTCAAATGTGTGCTGATATATATATATATGTATATATTTATATATATATATATACAGTACATGCATATATATCTTACTTTCCATGTGATATTGTGTTGAAGTTCTGTATATAAAAACACTGGGTTTATTGTGCGTAATTATAATAACTCTTGGTAGCGCTTTGTGGGGTGGGTGGGGGAGAGGAGGAAAAAAGGACAAACTGATAAGGCGAATGTTGCAACTCTAGCTCCTTTCCTTTTATCTGCATGCTACCGCAGCCCCAGGACTGAAGCTCCCCCGCAGTGCTTTTTTAGAATTCCTTTCTTTGGGGTGGGGAGTTTGCTCTGTTTCGTTGCTGCTCTTTCCCGAAGAAGGGATCGCACACACAGAACTAATTGCTATACCGTCTTTTAAGACGTTCAGTTTATGCTACAGATTTTACCGGGTAGGTGTTAATGTTCAGATGCGTAAAGTAGAACTGCTCAACATGGGCCCCTCTCCCACTTCCATCCCTGCAACTGAGCAAGTCCTCTTTGTCACGCCTGACACAAGTGTCTATGTCAATATAATATATATTTTGTAAATGTTGCAAGCAAAAACACAATAGGGGCTTCCACTAGTACACAGGTCAGACTTGCTCTCAACTTTCGGAGGCGGCCATAGCATGCTAGGAAGGCCATCGGGCCCCATGGTGTGGGAAGAGGACCGCTGCGAAGGGGCTAAGGCTGCAGTCCTTAACCTTGCTTACCTGGGAGTAAGCCCCATTGACTTTTGGAGGGCTAAATTCTGAGCAGACATGGTTTGGGGGAGGGCAGGCTCTCAGAAGGGCAAATGGAAGAAGCAGGAGTGCCTTCCTTGCCAAGTAAGGTTTAGGGAAACAAGCAGAGGTTAGCTGAGCCCTTAGGTAGAAAGGGCTAAGCAAAGCAAACACTCCGAATACCATTCCACCCAACCTTACCAGTTCCTTCCAGGCAATGGTGCTGTCTTTTTCCAGAAGAGCGAAGCTGTATGAGTACTCTCTCCCAAAATTCCAGAACCTAGTTTTCCATTTGAACCTGTAGATCTTTTTCACTTTCCAGGATATGGGGCACAGAGCCCCAGAGTCCTGGCTATCTTCCGAAGCTGCCTTTGTTATATTTAATCCCCAGTCTCTTATTCCAGATGTGCGAATATAACCCTAGACTGCTGGCTAATCGCTCTTTCCTAACAACCAGTTAGTTGGCTTGTTCCCGGGGAGGCGGGGAACACAATGGAACCTAGAATTAGCTTGGTTCCAACGTTTTCCTCCATTCGCTATACTGAAGGCTGTGTGTACTCTACACTTCACACACACATACACCAGATTTTGAGCCAAGAAATGCTTAAATTTGTGACCTGGGTAAATTATGCAAATTAAATATCCTATTTCTTTATTCTGTACAGTTTATGCTGCTTCCGCCAGATGGGAAATGTGTGGGTTTCCCCCCTTTTTTCGGGTGATGGGGGCACAGGGTGCTTCACCTAGTGATCCCTACAAGATCTACTTGGTTTCAGATACCCAAGCTACACATGATGCTGGCAGGCCCGTGTCTGAAGTATAGGTGTCTCTGCATGGTTTTGCACACCAAAGGGGCACATGGGTGGCTGGGGTGGCGATGTTCTGAACCCTTCCTTTGTCCCTGCTCTTTTCTCCCTAGTTCCCCCCCCCTCACCCCACCCAGGCTCAACACCAGCTAAAAGTGCCTGGGGAAAGGAGTTTTGAAGGAGAGAAAGATGGCCGGTGTTGGGGACAGTTCATTGTGCCCCTTTGGAGCTTTTAAGCTATACCCCACCCCAGTCACTCTCTGTTTTACATGTGCTTTCTACCATTGTCATGTGTAGTTTAGGTCTCGGACCTCTTCTTGCAAAGTCCAATGTTTTCAAAATTACTCTTGGGTTGTCAGGGGAAGAAGATTTATTTTCTGTTAAAAAGATGTTCTAAGGATGCTAAATTCCATGCTTGGAAGTGAGGCACGTGGATTACACACAGCCTTTGTTATGTAGCTCCAGAGATCCCAGGAATTGTTTCCCTCAACTTTTGTATGTGAAACTGTATAGATTTAAAAGGAGCCAAACCTTGAGGTTGGTTGGGATTTTATTTTATTCTGTTTTGAGGGGGAACTTGTAAGGGAGGCGACCAAAAAGGGGTCTTGGGCTCCCACTTCTCTCCTGTAGGACCACCCTCCTGCTCCCACCCCCCAGTGTCCTAACTTGTCTGTAGTCAGCCCTGCCGCCCTATTCTCTGCATTGAAACATATCAGGTCTTTTTACATCCCATTGACAGGAGCTCTCATGGCATGTTTCAGTCACCCTCCTGTGTGCATGATGTGGGGGATATCTGTGTTCTTCGCAGGGTGGGAGGGACACTGTTGTTGCTGCTGCTGTTGTTGTTCAACACTGCTTTTAAAATGAAAAAAACAAACAAACCAAACATTGCACTTTTCTTAGAAATCTAGAGGAAAAAAATGTATGTTATAACAAAGAATTCCCTCCCTAAACCGGAGTATATTTGCTGCAAAGGGAAAATAGAGAGGGTTTTATTTGCTGCTGCTGGTGCTGCTGCTGTTGCTGCTGTTTGGAGTCCAAAAGACTCGCAAAAGATACCGACAAGAAAGAGAGAGAGTTTATTTTTTGTCTAATATTGAAGTGCAATAAATACATTGAAATATAAATAAAATAAAGACTTGCTTAACAGTGAAACAAGTGCCTGTCATTTTTGTAGAAGGTGATGCATATACGGTACCTTTTGGGTTTGTTTGGTTCTACTCTGTCTCCTTTTTTTATAGCTGTAATTGCTAGTCTTCACCACTAGATGCCTGTGTAGACCACAGTTGTCTCTTATCTCCCCAAATATAGTACTCAAAATGGGCCTACTGACAGGCCTTCAGTGCATGGTAACCATGGGAACATCCAGCATATGCCAATTCTCAGCAAGTTGCGTGTTTCTGCCACTGCATGCAAGACCCAGCTTTTGGCATGCAACCTCTGTAAATGCCAGGAAAATTAAAATTTGTGTTGGGGAGTAGTTTTGTTTTTAAATAAAAAAGCTGAAGCCTTGTGAGTGCCCCAGACTGGCCTTGCGGGATCAGGCCCAAAGTCCTTAACCAGCATCCTGTTTCTCACAGGGACCAACAGGGGGAATATACAGGAACCAGGGGCCGGTCCACCCATGAGGCAACAGCCTCAGGCGGCAGGGTCCATAGGGGCAGCAAATTCAACCTCCAAGGAATGCAGCGCCTGCTGCCACCTCTGTGGAGACGGCGATAGCTGTGGCCTGCTCCTTGGTGGCTGGATCTGCCTCCTCAGCAATGCCCCCGAATGCCATCAACTGCAACCTCTGGGTGAATAGGAGGCATTGTGGTCCTCTCCCACCCTTCTTCCCAATTTAGATCTCCGCTACCCGCTTGTTCCTGGTGTAGATCTTCCCTTGCCCCTTCTTTCCTGGTGGGGGACCCCCATTTTGTGGTTCGCCTCAGGTGCCAACATCTCCTGAGCCGGCCCGGACAGGAACTTTTAATCATCTGGCCTACTTTGCAGGGGCTGCTCAGTCTTCTGCAACAGACGAGGGCAGCAGAGATGGCCCTATCATAAGCAGAGGAAGATGGCCGCTTCAGGTGGAGGGTGCTTGCCCTCCAAGCTAGCCTTCTGCACCCTGTCACCTCTGTTGAAGTGACATTCGACTGCAGTCCTGTTGGCTTCTGTACATGGAATTGGGGTGGCTAAGGCCCCATTTTGTCCTTTGCCTCAGAGGCAGCTGGTCTTGAATTAAAAGATTGAGAAAAACCCTGATTAATTGGGAGCGCATTTTTAACCTACCCCAAGGGTGGGCAAATTTGGGCCTGATTTCATGTGGGTGGTAACAAGGGGGTGAAATGGGATATGGGCTAGCAGATGGAGACAGGAGTGGCCCTCCCACTGTTGGTTCTGGTCCTGTCCCATCCATAGCTGTCAACCGTCACTTATTTGGCGGGAAACTCCCTTATCCCAGCGCCGTGTCCCGCTGCTGTCCCTTAAATTTCCCAGGTTTCAAAGGAAGCAGCTCCTCTCCCTCCCTCCCTGCTGGCCAGGGAGGAGGGAGGCTCCAACTGTGTTGCTTGGCTGCCCGGCCTGCCCCCCCTGGCCTCCTCTCACCAGCCTTGGCCCCCGGGAGTCCCTCCCCACCGGGACTGGCGGGAGCCTCGGGCCCTTCCGCCGCCACCCTCCTCGCGGCCGCCAAACTGAGCGTCTCTGCCTGGGGTAGCATCTTCGTAGCTTGGACTTCGTTTTGTGTGAAAAGTGGTTGCTGCTTATAGTTATTCAATTGCAGTATTTCATCAGCTTGAGCAGCAACCTCTGGAAACGAAGGGCTAAAAACCAGCGCTGCTCTCCAAAATTATCTGGTCCCTTTTAACTTCGTATTTCAGGTGGTTGGCTAAAATCCCTTATTTTGGCTGCTGATCCCTTATTTTCGAGGCTGCTGGTCCCTTATTTTCAAATCTAAGTTGACAGCTATGGTCCCATCCACCACCAGAATGTGGCCCTTGACTAAAAAACCATGTTCCCCATCCCTACATTAAGCTCTAAAGGACGGACTTTTTGCGTTAAGGAAAGTGATAGGAAAGTGTGGGGTGACACTTGCTTTGACACAGTGCCATCTAACCTCCCTGCAAGCAGAACAGAATGAACGCTCCTTTAAATAGCCAACATCGTCTTATCTCACAGCAAAACAAGTTGGGATGAACACTCAATAAACACATATCCCTCAAGCACCTTTATTTCCAAGCATATGTTTCCATTGGAAACTATAGTGTTACCCCACAATTTCCCAGGCCAGTCTTCCCCAAGCTGGTGGCCTCCAGATGTTTCAGACTACAACTCCCATCGCCCCCGACTCTTGGCTGGCCTGTGGCGATGGGATTTGTAGTCCAAAGTATGTGGAGGGCACCAGGTTGGGGCAGGCTGACCTAGGCACTTGCAAAGGGAGAGGTAAACAGAGGTCCTTGACAGGTCCTTTCCCCATTATCTTCTGTGCATGCCACCAAAAGCTACGACACGGGCAGTCTCCCCTTTCTGCCTCCCTGCGCTTCAGAATAGGGTGCCCATTTCTCCACACGGGCCTCATTGTACCCCACCGCCAGTGCATAATCTGGCAAGATGCAAGGATGAATGTTTGTGCCTCCTCCTCGCTGAGGTCCCTTTCCCTCAATAGCCCCGTTGTTCCTGGGCCGCCTGGCTTGGCCCTGCAGCCCCCGGAATCACCTCAGCTTTGCGGTAACCAGCCGTCTACTTTGTTTGACTTGAGACACGGCCAAGAGGCCTGGACAAGGCAAGAATTGTGGAGAGCTGTGGAGAGCAGAGGAGAGAGAGGGAGACTGGTCCCCTGCATTTCTGGGAGTCTGCTGGCGGGAATTACCTTCTCCCTCTCGACCCCCCGCTTCCTCCCCCCCGAATCTAGGACCTTGACCACCAGCTCAGGGGCAGATGTAGAGGAGGATGAGCAACCAGGTGATGCTCCTTGTGCAAAGAGTGGGGGTTTTAGCTAGGAGAAGGGATGCCCGATTTGAAATCTCCACGCTGCCATGAAGCTGACCTGGTAATCTTGAGGTAGTCACAACTTCTCGGCCCCAAACCTAGCTCACAGGGTTGTTTGTGAGGAGAAAAATGGTGGGGGTGGGAAACCAACCCCGATATTCAGCTCCTTAGAAGAAAGGCAGGGAAATATACCTAGTGCTATTTTTCTAGACAATGACAAACCTAGAAAGCATCTTAAAAAGCAGAGATATCACCTTGCCAACAAAGGTTGGTATAGTTAAAGCTATGGTTTCCCCAGTAGTGATGTATGGAAGTGAGAGCTGGACCATAAAGAAGGCTGATCGCCGAAGAATTGATGCTTTTGAATTCTGGTGCTGGAAGAGACTCTTGAGAGTCCCATGGACTGCAAGAAGATCAAACCGATCCATTCTTAAGGAAATCAGCCCTGAGTGCTCACTGGAAGGACAGATCATGAAGCTGAGGCTCCAAAACTTTGGCCACCTCATGAGAAGAGAAGACTCCCTGGAAAAAACCCTGATGTTGGGAAAGATGGAGGGCACAAGGAGAAGGGGACGACAGAGGATGAGATGGTTGGACAGTGTTCTCGAAGCTACCAGCATGAGTTGACCAAACTGCGGGAGGCAGTGGAAGACAGGAGTGCCTGGCGTGCTCTGGTCCATGGGGTCACGAAGAGTCGGACACGACTAAACGACTAAACAACAACAACATTTTTCTAAAAAACAAGGTGCCAGAACTCACTATGAACACCTCCTTAGATTGGCAATGGCGCCCACCTGAGAGGTGCCAGAACTGAGTTCCAGCAAGTTCCAGCTGAAAAAAAGCCCTGCTTATAAGTCAAGAGCCTCTGAACAATTGCCTTTTCTGTGCTTTCAGATTGTTCTGTTTTATCTGTGTAAGAGCTGCCTTGAGTCCTGGACTGGGAAAAAGGCGGAATAATAATAATAATAATAATAATAATAATAATAATAATAATAATATAAATAAATAAATAAATAATAAATACTTGCCTGAGCCATGGCAAGCAGAATCATAGAGACCCAAAGGCCCAAGATCATAGCAAACACACATGAGGCACAAAGCAGCACTCTATAGCCACATATAGCTCAGACTTGTGTAACTGTTTTTCATTTCCACTTAAAACGTGTCGGGAATCTGTGGCTCTCCAGAAGGTCTTGGACTAAAACTCCCCACAAAAACCCCCCAGCAATGGTCAGAGGTAGCAGGAGTTGCAGCCCAAGTACATCTGAAGGGGAGGGAGAGTGCACAGGTTCCCTAAACCTGATTTAGAGGAAAGATAAAGGGACCCCTGACCATGAGGTCCAGTCGTGGCTGACTCTGGGGTTGCGGCGCTCATCTCGCTTTACTGGCCGAGGGAGCCGGCGTACAGCTTCTGGGTCATGTGGCCAGCATGACTAAGCCGCTTCTTGCGAACCAGAGCAGTGCACGGGAATGCCGTTTACCTTCCCGCCGGAGCGGTACCTATTTATCTACTTGCACTTTGACGTGCTTTCGAACTGCTAGGTTGGCAGGAGCAGGGACCGAGCAACGGGAGTTCACCCCGTTGCGGGGATTCGAACCGCTGACCTTCTGATTGGCAAGTCCTAGGCTCTGTGGTTTAACCCACAGCGCCACCCATGTCCCCTATTCCCTAATTCTCACTTCTCCTAAATACATTCCCTCTTGTTCATTTTCATATTGTGTAGGCCCTCTGCACCCTCCAAATCCAATGCCTCTACTAAAGGTCTGAAAAGCAATGAGCTCCCCACTGCTATAAGATTCCCCAGGCCTCAATTGCGCCTCCCCCAACAGCCTAGCCTTCTGCTTGGCTGGCAGCCTAATATAAACTTTAGGTCAACTTCAGTTTTGGACATTTTGCTGGCAGCCAGTGAAGGCATGATGTGATAGGACCACTTATTTGCCGCAGCTCAATTTGCTGCTGCAAAGGTGCCTTATCAGATTTTGACCCAGACGTTCATTCTCTTGACCGTAGAATTTGGATCTTTGGACAGATTTGTGCCCCATTCAGCCAACCCAGCAGCTCTTTACCACTCAGCCTACTGCTCTGTTCAGTAGGTTTCTGCCTGGCTCTCTGAACACAGAGATTAATTCATTGAAATGTATGCACATTCAGTGCTCCCTATTGCCTTAGCATTGCAACTGAGTATTTAATTAAAGGCAGCCAAGTGGGTTCCCTGGACTTCCCCTGAGGGCTTTCGCTTTACTGGCAAGAAAATGTCTAGTAAGTCAGAGCTTTACCTCACTGACCCTGCCTGGTGGAGTGTATTTTGGTCCCTAGCCTAGAACGCTGTGTGGATTATTTCTCCAGGCCTGGTTCCAGGATTTTTGGGTGCCTCAAAAAGCTTGGTGGGGCACATAATAGCCCTGCTGGATCCATTTAGTCCAACATCCTGGGAAGCCTCCCCACCCCACCCCAGAAGGAGCGCAACAGCTCTTCACACACCTGTGATTTTCAGCAACTGGTATTCAGAGGCACGTTGCCTCTGACAGTGAGGCTGAACATCGCCATCAAGGCTAGTACCTGTTACATGGTATATTTTGCCAAGTAGAAGGCTGGATGAAGTTTAAGCAATGACATCCTCAAATAAGATAAACAGCTCAGGACCGCAATACCTCAAGGGCTGCCTCTTTCCACGTGAACCTACCCGGACCCTGAGATCACCTTCTGAGGCCCTTCTTTGTGTGCCTCCTCCTCAAGAGGTCCGGAGGGTGGCAACACGAGAACGGGGCCTTCTCTGCAGTGGCTCCCCATCTGTGGAATGCTCTCCCCAGGGAAGTTCCCCTGGCGCCTTCATTATACACCTTTAGGCGCCAGGCAAAAACGTTCCCTTTTAACCAGGCCTGTGGTTGATCTGATTTACATCTTATGCCCTTTTAAAATGTGTTCTCTCCCCCCCCCAGGTGGGGATATTGTGTTGTTGCTTTTATTTTTATTATGTATTTTGTGGCTATATATCTTGAATTTATTCTGTGAACCAACCTGAGACCCCCAGGTATAAGGCGGTATATAAATTCTATAATAATACAGTAATAAGAGAAGCGATGTAGCTCAGCAGGGGAGCTAAATGAGCACGCCTATTTCAGACCCTAAGTGTCCCTATTTTCCACGGACAGTCCTAGAATTACAGAAGCCGTCCCGGTTTCTAATTTGATCCCGGAATGTCCTGGTTTTCCTTTGGACGTCCCTATTTTGATGGGAGAAATGTTGGAGGGTATGGATAGGAAGTCCCTGTTTTTATCGGAGAAATGCTGGAGGGTATGTTATTTAAGGATGCTGTTTCCACTAAAAGGAATCTCAGGTAGCCAAGAAAAGACACTCACGAAGATGAGGGAGAGTTGCTACTGCCCCACACAACAGGCAGGACAAGACAGACCTTAGGGCCACCCCTACCATTAGGCAGTGGGGCCAACTCAGGAAGTTGATTTAGGGTGCAATAAAATGGTTGCAGCATATTAGTTATTAAAGAGGTGCTTGTGGGAGTATGGTGCAGCTTGACTTGGGAGTACAGTGGTACCTCGGGTTACAGACGCTTCAGGTTACAGACACTTCAGGTTACAGTCTCCACTAACCCAGAAATGGTACCTCGGGTTAAGAACTTTGCTTCAGGGTGAGAACAGAAATTGCGTGGCAGCGCAGAAGCAGCGGGACGCCCCATTAGCTGAAGTGGTGCTTCAGGTTAAGAACAGTTTCAGGTTAAGAACGGACTTCCAGAATGAATTAAGTTCTTAACCCGAGGTACCACTGTACTGTGTTTGCTGTGCTATCCAAGGCCTCAAAATGTCTTGGACCAGCACTATAGCTCACTACTGTATAGGACATCTCTTTCTCAGATCAGGCGTGGGTGGCGGCACAGTGGATCTAGCTTCCCAGCAGTGACATTAAAGGGTAAAGGGACCCCTGACCATCAGGTCCAGTCGTGACCGACTCTGGGGTTGCGGCGCTCATCTCGCTTTATTGGCCGAGGGAGCCGGCATACAGCTTCCAGGTCATGTGGCCAGCATGACTAAGCCACTTCTGGCGAACCAGAGCAGCGCACAGAAACGCCGTTTACCTTCCCGCCGGAGTGCTACCTATTTATCTACTTGCACTTTGATGTGCTTTCGAACGGCTAGGTTGGCAGGAGCAGGGACCGAGCAACGGGAGCTCACCCCGTCGCGGGGATTCGAACCGCCAACCTTCTGATCGGCAAGTCCTAGGCTCTGTGGTTTAACCCACAGCGCCACCCGCGTCCCAGCAGTGACATTACTGCTGTGGAATTGGACAGTGAGGAGAAGGGGCAGCAAGGAAGTTGGGATGCATCAACAGAGGACCACAGGTACTTTATCTCTGTTCTAAATGACAGGCCGACGTCTCAGAGAGTCAGGAATGTAGTTCAAATGATGTTGGGCCTGTGCATCTGTGTCCAAAATGAAACAATTTCGCAGTCTGCGAAGGGGCTGGGTGGAGAGGGCTCATTCCTGCTCCACGCTTATGAGGACCCATTCCTTTAAGCCCCCTGCTTGTCCCTTCCCCAAACTTTTCCAGATGTTGCAGCTTTTCTCCCCCCCATCTCCTCTCTCCTTGTCACATCTGCAAGTGGTTTGAACTGCAGAGAAGATCTGTGTGGAGTGGTGAGTTGGCACCAAACTTTCCTCCTTGCTCCCGCCCCCCCCACCCGCCCCGCTCCATTCCCTGGCGCACGGATGAGTCCAAAAAGTTAAGAAAACCCTGGCATTGCAGGGAAGCTGGCCCACATCTTCGCGTTGCGGGTCAGCACATGGCTGATTAAGCTGTATCAGCGCAGGCAAGTTTCTCCCAACTCGCTTTTTCCTGCCTCGCCCGCTTCCTTCTAATCTAGATGCTTCAATGTCTGTCAAGTCTTCATGGCTGGATCCTGACAAGCAAAGAGCTTGGCTATGCAAGAGGTACCCAAGGCATAATATTCCCTCTCAGGTCAAATTGAAGTTCAGCCTAGAGACAGCAGTCATTTTTCCTCTCAATAGCTGAAAAAGGGCTTGGAAGGGAAAAGGTTCCTGCTCACTTACACTTTTGCCTCTATTGAAACTTGTTGGGCAGGTTTCCGTATTGTTTCAAAAACCTGCCCAATCTGTTTGGCCAGAGGTAGCAGAGGGTCAAAATGAAATAAGTATGTGTACACACCATGGGAAGCCAGGTCTCTTGTCAAAACACTTTCAACCCTCTAAATGTGCTTCTCTGTCTCCAGAGAAATGTATCAAAAGGCGCTTCTGGAAATGGATTATCTGATTAGATAGTTAAAATAGCTTCCCCGCCAGATTTTGTTAACACTGTTCACACATGTGCAGAAATATGTTAAGTTGGGCTTAGAAACCCTTTCATAAACTTGTGAAAATGCCATAAGGGTAATTCTGAAGGTATCTGAATTCCTTCTTCAGTCTGAACACGGGGAACAATCCTTGAAAAAACAGGGCCGGCCCTATCATTAGGCATTGTGCGGCAATTGCTTAGCTGGCAGTGCAGCAGATTTACTTTCAAACTCCTAGTAGATATCCACTCAATGTTTCTAATTGTTTGGAGAAGCGTGTCTCTCCTCACTACAGTTTTTTTTTTTTAAAGCAAATACCAGTGAACACATGGTGAGCATGGTAGAACATATGGTGACCTTATTCTGGGATGCTTATCAAAACTCCAGGCCACTGAGGCTGAGATCACATTGACAGCTTGGTCTTCCATAGAAGAAGTGGGAGATATGACCCGTTGGACTGGTGTATCTGGTCTCCCTGCTTGTCCCTCTTTGACCTGAAAGTAGGTAACGGCTGAATCTCAGCCCTCTCATCACATCTTCAAGACTCTCCATGAACATGATTCCTGCACCGAACACTCCTGTTTCATTGGGCATGCCATGTGCAACATGGGGAAAGGATCTTCTCAGTGATAGTCTGGAAAAGGCTTGGCTGGCAGTGTTGGCTCCAGATTTTTGTGGGGCTTCAGGGCAAGATGCCCTTTGTAGGCATCTCTCCTCCCCAGCACTGGCTCCTTCCTCTGATACCCCGATGGAAAGGGCTGGCAAGTGACCACGTGGTGGCAGGAGTTGCCTCTTCTCACTTGCTTTTCTTGCTTGAACGCTGTTATCTACTGAGTTGAATAGGATCCAAAAGGCAGCAGTCTGATTGGTCCTAGAACAATAGGATTCAGAAGGCAGCAGTCTGATTGGTCCTAGAACAATAGGGTCCAGAATGCAGCAGTCTGATTGGTCCACAGGAGCCACCCAATCCAGCTCCAGGTGGAAGTGAACCCGCAACCTGATTGGCCTACAGGTGAATCCCGGAATTAGCCAGTCACGTGGGGCCCATTGTGTAAATAAAGTATATAAAGCAGACATTCTGGGGGAACTTCCATTCCTCCTCACCACTATGAGCTGAAGAAAGAGCATGAAATCCACTCTTGACTCCGAGTAGATTTCAAACACACTCTTTGGACCAGAGGCCAGCAGGTGGCAGTGATGAGAGGAGCAGTGGCAGGAACAGGGAGTGCCAGCAGTGCGCCCTTGCCTATGCGTGGGCTTTGACAGGTGCCCAACAATACTGATTGCTGACCCTAACTTTCGTGGCCAAAAGGACTTGCAAGGCTCATGCTGAGGGTACTTTCACTGTGTGTTGGGGGGAGACTAAGGAGGATGTCCCAGAGAGAAGAGTAAGATGCATTCAAAAGAGGCTGTTTTGGAGTTTTATCCTTCCTGGAGCACAGTAACAGGATATGCACGAGGACAAGTGTGATAATCTCCTTCTTTGCAAGCTGATCTCTTTGGAGACTGTCGCAGAATCTGATGCTGACTTTTTCCTGGTTGGGCGAGAACCTGTCAGGTGGCCTCAAAAATCACTCTGGGTTTCAAAACTTGGCCTGAACGAGATAGCTGCTTCCACCACCACCCCTGTTCCTGATGTGTGGTGTGATGTGAAGATTTATATGCTAATCCATCACACACAACGTAAAAGCCAGGAGTAGATTGTCCCCCCCTACATAATCTCTCTGCTGGGAACCTGCCTTTATGGCTCCTTGGGCCGATATTGGACTATAGATCTCCATCGAGCCGACAGGCCTTTCCAACCCGCAGGCCATGGGCCCGGCTAATGAAATCACAAGCTGGCACAATGACTTCAAATGTGCCTGAAATAAATTCGATTTGGAAAAATGAAGAAAGTCTGAAGTGAGCTGTTTATAGAAGGGGTCTGAGCAAAATGGGCTGGCTTCTGGGAACGATCTAATCCAGTTAGGGCTGCGGAGGTGGCTCTGATGTGTTTGGAGAGGACAGGCATCTTGGCTTAAAGTTACAATTGGAAGGCATATGGACAGGCAAGTTCAGTTCATGGGCGCCCGTCTCACCTCAGGACTAGCCAGATTTTCTGCCCGGTTTGAAACAGGTTGCCTCAAGGCTCATTTTGATGATCAACAGTGATCGTCTTATGATTTGGACCAACAACTAACATTATTTTTGAAAGGTTATCATGTATCTAAATTTCACACAGGAGACTGGAGTGACAAGCAGTCCTTAAATTTCCACCTGAAAGCTATCATCTGCAGACCAGAACCACCCAAGGTGGATGGGGGAGCCACTCTAGCGCTTAATCTCTATGGTGCACTGCCCTGTTCCCAAGGCAACTGTTTATGACCAGCAAATGAGACTGGTCCATTATGACAAAGGAGGGACTGCCCCACCAACCTCAGCCTGCCCTCAGCCAGCCCACATAGGACAATCTACAATGGACAGACAGGACAAGACCATCACTTCTTCCCTTGCCCTTCTGTACTAATCTGTCTCGGCTAATGTACCCAGAACCAACTCACGTAAGACTGCTGCAGTTCAGGGAAGGAGGATGGCGTTTCTACAAAGTATATTTTTGACATCATTGTTATGTGTTTGGCAGCCTTTCCCTTCCTTCTGAAAGGACTTCCTCAGCCCAATTCACTCTATTGAAACCTGCAAATGGCACTCCGGCGTAGAGTTGTGGAAAGTAGAAGCTTGGGAATGCAGACCCCTCTATTTTCCAGGGACAGTCCCAGATTAACAGAAGCATCCCGTTTTTTTATTTGATCACGGAATGTCCCTCTTTTCCTTAGCACGCCCCTCTTATCATAGAAATGTTGGAGGGTATGGAGTTACGCGACCCCCGAGCCAAGGAGATAAGTAACTTCGCGACCTTAAGAAGACATCCAAAGGCAGCCCTGTATAGCGAAAGAGGGTTTTTTTTTTAATGTTTAATGTTTTATTATGTTTTATATATGTTGGAAGCTGCCCAGAGTGCCTGGGGCAACCCAGTCAGATGGGTGAGGGTCTAATAAGACGTCCCTATTTTCATCGGAGAAATGTTGGGGAGCTAATGAACTAAAATAAATAACGAGAGCCAGTGTGGTGTAGTGGTTAAGAGTGGTAGACTCGTAATCTGGTGAACCGGGTTCGCTTCCCCGCTCCTCCACATGCAGCTGCTGGGTGACCTTGGGCCAGTCACACTTCTTTGAAGTCTCTCAGCCCCACTCATCTCACAGAGTGTTTGTTGTGGGGGAGGAAGGAAAAGGAGAATGTTAGCTGCTTTGAGATTCCTTCGGGTAGCGATAAAGCGGGATATCAAATCCAAACTCTTCTCTTCTTCTTCTAATTTCTACCAAGACAAACTCCACATTGACTGGATAGCCAAAGAGGAAGCTGTCTCCCTCCAACACACACCTCAAGTCAACATTACTCCACTAGGTACGGTGCTTTGGAGGCCGATCAAATCCATCTTTCTCTCATCATCTCCCCCTGTCCCACTTCACTGGTGGAGGCAGGGAATCCAAGGCCTCAGGCCACATCTGTAATATGAAACCCATCTCCCTTTGTGTTGATTGTTGATTGGGTCAGGCCCCTCCAATGACCTCGGCCCTGTCAGGACTGCAAGACTAACAAATATAAACAGATGGAGCTTCTGCAGGTGGAAGCATCCCCCTGGGATCTCCCAGGTAATCCTATTACCCATTCATTACCTGGGAGGCTCCCGGCAATGGACCCAGCTTGCTGCAATATCTGCTGCTATTAAAAAAGAAAAGAAAAAAAGACGAATCAGTCCCCACCGCCCACCCCTCCTTGCCATGAAGCTCTTCTGCTCAGTCTAACAAGAGTCAGCAAACTTTTTCAGCAGGGGGCCGGTCCACTGTCCCTCAGACCTTGTGGGGGGCCAGACTATATTTTGAAGGGGAAAAAATGAACGAATTCCTATGCCCCAGAGATGCCTTTTAAATAAAAGGACACATTTTACTCATGTAAAAACACCAGGCAGGCCCTACAAATAACCCAGAGCTGCATTTTAAATAAAAGGACACATTCTACTCATGTAAAAACACACAGATTCCCAGACCGTCCGCGGGCCGGATTTAGAAGGTAATTGGGCTGGATCAGGCCTCCGGGCCCTAGTTTGCCTACCATGAACAAGATTTTGGGGGAAAGAGGGGGAGGTGGAGCAGCTCTAAGGAAACCTTTGCTGGAGGCTGAGTTCAGAGGGAGATGCGCCAGTAAAAAGTAGCCATTCCATCCGCTCTGTTGTTGTTTAGTCGTTTAGTCGTGTCCGACTCTTCGTGACCCCCTGGACCAGAGCACGCCAGGCACTCCTGTCTTCCACTGCCTCCTGCAGTTTGGTCAAACTCATGCTGGTAGCTTCGAGAACATCCATCCGCTCTACCAAGAGACTAAATGGAGGCCGGAATACAACACTGCTTGTGGCTCACTACCCTGACCAGTGAGAAGTTCTAGGCTATGATGACCTGCGCTTGGTGTACGGATGAGTGAATCTGTCAATGTCATTTTCTCTCAGTTTCTCATATTTCCCACTTTAACTTCCGTATCAGTTTGACATTTTTGTTTAAAGTACAGTGGTACCTCAGGTTACATACGCTTCAGGTTACATACGCTTCAGGTTACAGACTCCGCTAACCCAGAAATAGTACCTCGGGTTAAGAACTTTGCTTCAGGATGAGAACAGAAATCGTGCTCCGGCAGCACAGTGGCAGCAGCAGGAGGCCCCATTAGCTAAAGTGGTGCTTCAGGTTAAGAACAGCTTCAGGTTAAGTACGGACCTCTGGAACAAATTAAGTACTTAACCCGAGGTACCACTGTACTCACAAGCATTTTAGTGCAAATTTATACTAATACACACATGCCCGTAGACAATTTTGCCTACTGTACTGTACATATTTTTTGAAAATGCACACATTTCTGTACACTTGGCTAGAGAATGGCATTTCAAAATACAGAGATGTGCTTATTATGAGGGATGGCCACGCTTCATATTTTGCATATTGTTTCAGAAAGGAAACATTAGGTAGCCGTGGTGCTATTTTCCTAGAAAAAGAGGTGCTGGAACTCACCATGTGCACCTCACTCGTTCTCTTATACAGTGGTACCTCGGGTTAAGTACTTAATTAGTTCCAGAGGTCCGTTCTTAACCTGAAACTGTTCTTAACCTGAAGCACCACTTTAGCTAATGGGGCCTCCTGCTGCCGCCATGCCACCGGAGCACAATTTCTGTTCTCATCCTGAAGCAAAGTTCTTAACCTGAAGCACTATTTCTGGGTTAGCGGAGTCTGTGACCTGAAGCGTATGTAACCCAAGGTACCACTGTAATGACAAAGGTGCCCCTCTGAGAGGTGCACAAACTGAGTTATGGCTGAACAAAAGCCCTGGATAGCCTCATCATTCAGTGCAAACTGAATAGAATTTTTCCCCATCCTAAGTTTGGCTTCCTTTGGAACTGAGAGAGAGAGAAGGATAGAGAGTACTCTGGAGACAACAGCGCCTTTGCAATATTTGCTTTGAGTACGTATAAAATAGAAGAGCATAAGTGGAGGCAAATAAGAGCACAGTCTTACCTGTTGTCCCACTTCAGATTCCTTAGCGATACCTGCACCCAGAAGGTAATTTCAGCCATGTGTCCATGGCTGGGGTTGATTTAATGAACAAACAAATATGCAGGTAAACTGAAATAACTTTCTTCCCCACAGTCTGTATCCCTAAGCATTTCCCTCTCAGCTGGGCTCATTTTTTGGTATTGGAACCCAAATAAATTGGAGTTTGGGGGCAGGAGAAGCATTTGATTGTAGGGGAGTGATCTGTCAGAGCAGAAGTCACCAGCCTTTAGGGGCCAGCGGGCATATTTGGAATGTGAAACAGTGGAGATGTACCATAACACAAAATGTCTCCTGTAGGCAGGGGCGTAGCATGGGTTGCCACTGCCCGGGGTGGACTGAACAGCAGTCAGTCCCTTTGCCGTCCAGCATCTAATCAGTGGAGTCTGTTCTTGCAAACTTGCTCCAACTTAGGAGCAGAGATAAGGCAGAGAAACGTGAAGCCAGGAACACCACTGTGCCGCCTCGCCCTCCTGCCTTGCAGTGAGGCGCTCTGGGCAACGCACGTGGCTCCAGAAGTGCTTTCCCACCTTCCTTTTCCTCCCTTCCTCCTCAGTAGGCATCAGCAGTGGCACCACCCTACCCCTCCCTCCCTCCCTCCTTCTCTGCCAACCCAGGGGCAGGGTGCGGGTGGGTGTCCCTTCACCATCCACAAGGAGAAAGAAGGTGCCCCCACCAGGTTGCACCCCCTCAGAAATTTGAGCCTAGGGCCATGGCCCCCTGCCTCCCCCCTCCATGCTATGTGTTATGTACTGAAGTTCTCTGGGCCAGCAGGGGGATGCTGTAGATAGTTTTCACTCAGGTCCGCATATGCAAATAAGGAATTGAAAGTGACGTTCAGAGATTGGATAGTTACAGAAAGTTGTTACTGTTGCTTTGTAGTTGAGCTCTATATAAGCAGGTTGGATGAACCCTTCAGTTCAGTTCTGTTCTGGCCTGTGAATAAACAAGAGCTGTCTGAAGAATCGCTGTGTCGTCTGATATGTTCACCTACAACTTAACACTATGCCACTGGCTGTAGGAGCCTGTAGCAAGGCCAATCCGGTACAAACATGAGTTGAGCAGGATGAGTCTCTCATGCACTGTGGAATTTTCAGGGAATATTTACTGATTGCCAACAAAGGTCCGTATAGTTAAAGCTATGGTTTTCCCAGTAGTGATGTATGGAAGTGAGAGTTGGACCATAAAGAAGGCTGATCGCCAAATAATTGATGCTTTTGAATTATGGTGCTGGAGGAGACTCTTGAGAGTCCCATGGATTGCAAGAAGATCAAACCTCTCCATTCTTAAGGAAATCAGCCCTGAGTGCTCACTGGAAGGACAGATCCTGAAGCTGAGGCTCCAATACTTTGGCCACCTCATGAGAAGCGAAGACTCGCTGGAAAAGACCCTGATGTTGGGAAAGATGGAGGGCACAAGGAGAAGGGGACGACAGAGGACGAGATGGTTGGACAGTGTTCTCGAAGCTACAAACATGAGTTTGACCAAACTGCGGGAGGCAGTGGAAGACAGGAGTGCCTGGCGTGCTCTGGTCCAGGGGGTCACGAAGAGTCGGACACAACTAAACCACTAAACAACAACAACATTTACTGATACCTTCTGCGGACACCATAGGAGGTGCTGGTGGGCACAGTGTTGGCAGATGGAGGAGTGTTCAGCAACCCTGTAGCTCTTAAAATTGGAGGCCTGCTTCCTATCTTATATATGATTGGGACAGAGCTGGCTTGGGAACATAGGAAAGCACCTTATACCAGGTGAGATTAGTTATCCATCAAGCCTACTCTGACTGGCAATCGTTCTCTCTAGGGCTTCAGGAGGAATTGTTTCCCCACCCCACCCCCCGCCACATCACCTTCCAATTGGTTTTTTCCTCTTTCAGTTGGAGACACCAGGGACTGAGCGACTTTCTGTATAAAAACATGTGCTCCACTGCTTTGCTAAAATCCCTCCCCATGGTCAACAAGCTATAGGTTTAAATAAATGGGTCTACCGCCATCACAGCTAGTTTCATCTTGAGGCCGAGATAATAACGGCTTGCCTTAAAGACCACCCAGTGTGTTCATGGCAGAGACTCGAACCAGGGACTTTGCTGGCTTGCAACTCATGTGCGCTGACCTCCACCGCCACCACCCCTTCTGTGATATTCTTGCCTGCGGGATTGAGCGAGGAGATGTGGGAGAGAGAAGGGTAAACCTTGAGGTAAAAAGCATAAACCTCTCTGCTTTCCTTCCACCAGCTGAGGAATCCCAAAGTGAGCCTCACTCGAGCCTGCTGCTGCATCCTAATTGGAAATCTGCAGGGCAGCTGAATTCTTCTTAACCCTCAAAGTATGCAAAAACATTGTGCCTTCTGTAGCTTAACATTTGCAAAATGAGCATGGAAGATGCCTATGAATTAACTTGTGCACCGGTCCTCTGAAGTCTCCAGGTCTGAAGCCACCATTGGGGGTCCGATGAATGCCCAAGTAGATGGACCATTAGATCTCTTGTGACTTTTTTTTTCTTTTCTCAGGTGAAGCTAAGAAGGAGTTATCTTTGCCCGGATGCCAGTCTCTGTGGCCTCTTTGCAACGCCCACTTGGCCTGAAGGGGAAGCTGTGGTCAGATTTCAACGTCACAAGTATTTGTGAGCGTCAAAGGACCATTGCAAGAGACTATGCAGCCAAACAGATGCTGCAAGCATCCCTGTCCTAAACTGCCCCTTTTTGGGGGGGGGGGGCAAGGGATGCTCCGTGCCCCCTTGTGGTAGGTAAAAGGACTGTGCCAATTCATCGTGGAACCTTCTGGACTCTGGCAGACCTCCTAGTTTATTCTGGCTTCTTAAGCTTCTGGTCTGGGCTGCATGGAAAGTTTTCCAAAATTCCTGGCTTGGAGTCTGTAAATGGAAGGGATTCCAGAATGCTCTAACAGAGATTCAAAACCTCTTTGCCGGGTTCAGCTGCCTCTTTACAGCGATAGTTACTGCGCTCGGGCACATTTAGACTAGGAGTAATCATATTTTAATATGTAATAGTCATTTATCACTCATCTTATTCCAAACACTTGGGGCTAGCCAGAATAGATTTCAAACTTAATGTAAAGTATCCAGTTAAAATTCCATTAAATCAGCAAAATACGCTGATAACAGATGCTGCACTCTAGCATTTTAAAGAGAAAGAGAGATTGAGAGGGAGGGAGAGGGAGACAAACTGGGAACACTCCTTGTTCAAATCTCCCCTGAGCTATAAGCTCTGTGGATTGCCTTAGGCAAACTAATATCTCCATCTGCCCCATGGGGGTAATAATCCTTCTCAAACTTACAGGAATGACCTCACTCTTTTTATTCATATTTATTTTATAATATAATAATTGTATACTGCTTTTCAACCGGAACGGTTCACAAAGCAGTTCAGAAAATCAGATTTATATTGTGACGATCCATTGCTGTCATTTGGATGGGTCCCACAAAGAATATTCGGGCTCTGGAGAAGATACTTTCTGAATCTTGTTATCCTGCTGACCTAAGAGAATCCCTGAGATTAAACGAATTGTGAGCTTCTCTGTTCAGCCATCTGTCTTCAGAATATGGGTGCTTTCAATAGTAGCAAGTAAATGTGGGCTGGTGTACAACTGCCATGGCTCCTAGCTTTGCTTGAGCTCAGAGGTGTGATGGCAAGGCAGGTTCTGGGGAAGGGCGTAGGCAGAAGTTGTGCTGGTCCCGAGAGTTAACCGTGCGGCGAGGTCCGAGTCCAGTCCGAGGTCGAGGGTGCGGTATGGATACTGTCCATCAAAGCTGAAGCTGGGTCCAAGGCAGGGAGTCGGGTGAGGTCAGGAACTCTGGCAGAAGAGCAGGACAGGGTGCAGGCAGGAACAGGCTACCAACAACGTTGCTCCCGCAACTTGGGGTTGGCTGGCTTTTATCTGCCCCGAGGCATAGGGCGGCCCCGGTCCACAGGTGACTTGCCTCTCCTGGCCTGGAGGCGAGCACTCCTCCTGCGAGAACTTAGTTCCCTCCGCCTCTCTGCCCTGAGCCTCTGCAGCTCAGGAGCGGCTGGAGGGTTACCAGACCCAGAGGCAACCTCAGTTTCCCCTGCCGGGGCTGAGAGTGGAGTACCTGCAGGCAATGGGTCCTCCATCACCTCAGGAGCCAGAGCAGACTCTGCTGGTGCCTGCACCTGAGGATCCAGCACAGGTGAGGACCCTTCAGGCTCAAGCCCCAGCCCCGGCTCAGCTGGTTCTGGAGGTGGGGACTCCTGTGCAGGCTGGGATTCCTCAGGTTCAGCCTCTGAGTCCGAATCCCAGGCCATCACAGAAGTACTTCAAAGCCCCCTCCCCAGATATTCCTGCAACCACTGCTGCAGCTGCTACGCTGGGTAGAAGGTATTGACTGCTCTCAGCCCTTAGCGCTTTCCGAGCAAATCCTGTTGGACAGGCCCAGCGCCAGCACCCTGAGGCACGCCAGCGATGTTTAGGATATAGTGCAGTGCAGGGGTGACACCAGGAAAAAATTGCACAGAAGGGACAAGGTATATTTCTAGTACGGTAAAGGTAAAGTCACGGACGACTCTGTGGTTGCGGCACTCATCTCGCTTTATTGGCCAAGGGAGCTGGCATACAGCTTCCGGGTCATGTGGCCAGCATGACTAAGCCGCTTCTGGTGAACGAGAGCAGCGCACAGAAACACCGTTTACCTTCCCGCTGGAGTGGTACCTATTTATCTACTTGCACTTTGTGCTTTTGAACTGCTAGGTTGGCAGGAGCAGGGACAGAACAACAGGAGCTCACCCCATTGTGGGGATTCGAACCGCCGACCTTCTGATCAGCAAGCTCTAGGCTCTGTGGTTTAACCTACAGCGCCACCCGCACCCCTCATATTTCTAGTAGGGATGGGCAATACCTGGTTTTCAACATTGTGATATATCACCGGCTAAACGCAACGATATACTGATATATCACAATGTCTGAAATAAGGCTGGAGCTATGTAGAGGCATTAGTTGGCTTCACGGTTTCCCCCACATTGTGATTTTTGCATCGCACAGCACACGCACACCCAGTTTTCAATAGATTGTCAGGTCAAAAATTATGAAACCAATTATGGACTTGAAACCAGTTTGGAACAATACGTATATATCACCCAGCCATAACACACATTATGATTTGTGATACATTGCCAGGTCAGAAATGAAACCGATATCACACTATGGACTTCAAACTGGTTTTGGGACGATATATCGCCCAGCCTTAATTTCTAGGTGGGCGAGTTGTATCCCACATGTTAATATCTTGGAAAGAAAAATAACAGTATATGCTAATGCCCACAAAGGGGAGGCAAGTGGGGGGTGGGGAGTTCCTTGTTTGGGGGAGGGGTTGCCCCATGACCCCCATCTGGCACTGCCCATGATACATTGGCAACAGCAGCAGACAGCCATCCTAATTTCCCACAATTCCCTGTAGTGACTTTATATCGGACACTCCAGGGTTTTGTGGGGAATTAAAATCACTGCCTGCCAGCACTGGTCTTGCCATTAGGCAGAGCAAGGCGGTCACCTCAGGGCAACTGATTCTGGGTGTCCTGACAGGGTTGCATTGTTAACTAATTTATTATTATTGTGTTTTAACTGCTGAGAGGCAGGGAGAGCTGTATGTAAGCAGTCGTACGAGCCTTTTTTATTTGCTGAAGTATGGGGTAAAATGAGAGATATAGAAAGACAGACAGTTATAGATTTACGGCTTTTTTCAGCTGGAACTCACCAGAACTCAGTTCTGACAGCTCTCAGGTGGATGCCATTGCCATTATAAGAGAACAAGGGAGGCATTCATGGTGAGTTCTGGCTCCTCTTTTTCTAGAAATAGAAAATAACTTGAGTGGCATTGGGTATATTATGCACTTTGACCTTAGAGGGCACTATCTGCTGCTTCAGCTCAGGCAGCAAATTATCTGCCTATTGTTTTCACTGCAGGTGGATGTGGGCCCGCTAATGTTGAGGACCCCCTTTATCTTGGGGTCTTTTCAAACATGTCTGGAGGGACAACCCTAAATACAAAACTCAAGTTTTATATTTCTGGTTTGATGGTAAAGGTAAAGGGACCCCTGACCATTAGGTCCAGTCGCGGACAACTCTGGGGTTGCGGCACTCATCTCGCTGTATAGGCCGAGGGAGCCAGCGTACAGCTTCCAGGTCATGTGGCCAGCATGACTAAGCCGCTTCTGGCAAACCAGAGCAGCGCACGGAAATGCCGTTTACCTTCCCGCCGGAGCAGTACCTATTTATCTACTTGCACTTTGACGTGCTTTCGAACAGCTAGGTTGGCAGGAGCAGGGACCGAGCAAAGGGAGCTCACCCCATTGCAGGGATTCAAACTGCTGACAGACCAAATAAGCCATTCCTACATCAGTTCTGACTTAAAAAGCAGAGACATCACCTTGCCAACAAAGGTCCGTATAGTTAAAGCTATGGTTTTCCCAGTAGTGATGTATGGAAGTGAGAGTTGGACCATAAAGAAGGCTGATCGCTGAAGAATTGATGCTTTTGAATTATGGTGCTGGAGGAGACTCTTGAGAGTCCCATGGACTGCAAGAAGATCAAACGTATCCATTCTTAAGGAAATCAGCCTTGAGTGCTCACTGGAAGGACAGATCCTGAAGCTGAGGCTCCAATACTTTGGCCACCTCATGAGAAGAGAAGACTCCCTGGAAAGGACCCTGATGTTGGGAAAGATGGAGGGCACAAGGAGAAGGGGACGATAGAGGACGAGATGGTTGGACAGTGTTCTCGAAGCTACCAGCATGAGTTTGACCAAACTGCGGGAGGCAGTGGAAGACAGGAGTGCCTGGCGTGCTCTGGTCCATGGGGTCACGAAGAGTCGGACACGACTAAATGACTAAACAACAACAACACTTCTGAAGTAAGTTGTTTCATTATGGAGTTACTTTTCCTAGAGACTCACCTGTTCAGGGGAGGTAGCCTTTAGAAACCTCTCTCTGGAGTTTCTTTGCTCCATAGACAACTTGGGACATGAATAACACTGTAAATGTGGGTGCTTTCAGATTAGATGGCATGATAGGCTATAGCATTGTGGTCAGGAACTGACAGACGGCAGGCCAAATGTGACCCATAGATGATCACTAATTAGCTCCCCACTTCCAGGGACTAAAATGAACTTTTTTTTTGCCCCAGAGATAACTCAGAGCTGGTTTCAGAATACTTCCAGAAATCACTCCCAGCATGTGTACCTTGGAGTTTCCTTCTTTCTTCTGCGATGGTCAGTGTGGCAGCCTGGTGTTATCAACTGCAACCAGCTATGGGTAGGCTAGCATAGTCAGACTGGGAGGGAAAGTAGTGGGAGCTAGGTATTCTCCTTTGTGGTCACTTAAAGCCATCTCATATACATTATAGGAAAGAAGAAGGAAAAACACCCTCTGCAAAGGACCCATGCCCTACTGCTTTTTGCAGCTCTGGTATAACATGTGATAATATCTCGCATATCTGCCCTGCGCAGAGATGCACAAGTTCCAATCACACTGGGAGCTCCTGTATTTTGCTGCAGGAGCGATTAGTAGCTTCATCCATGTACAGGAAAAAGGCAACTCTTGGCAATATTCATATTACTCCTTCATAAAAACAGCTCAGCTGGGAAAAACTGCATGTTACAGCAACCTCAAAACAGACAGCTTCTGTAGTATTTTACTGCTCTTTTTGATGGCCTCATTTTTTTTTGTTTTGAAATGAGCAAGTATACCGGAATCACAAAATATGGAAACTCACCATGTTTCATAGCACGAAACTAAAGCTGAGTCAAAAGCCACTTGCCTCGTGGTGTGTTTGTTTTGGTGTGCATCTAAAAGCACCTCCTGTTTTTGGTGATTTTCTCTACTTGTTCCATGCTAACATACTCATATTGTTCCATCAGTGTTCTTCCCTACACCATTCTCTTTTCCCCCCTATTTGTCATCCAAAGCCTTTGCCATAGACAAAGTGTGTGTGTTTTTATAAATCTACTGTACAGTGGTACCTCGGGTTACATACGCTTCAGGTTACAGACTCCGCTAACCCAGAAATAGTGCTTCAGGTTAAGAACTTTGCTTCAGGATGAGAACAGAAATTGCGCAGTGGCGGTGCAGCAGCAGCGGGAGTCCCCATTAGCTAAAGTGGTTAAGAACAGTTTCAGATTAAGTGCAGACCTCCGGAACTAATTAAGTACTTAACCCGAGTTACCACTGTACTGTACTGAATTTTCACAACGCAACACTTAACAAACAGTAAACTTGAGTGCATGTGCATCTCACTGAGTTACACTTTCTGGACTTGCATACTTTTGCTGATGAGGTCAGAATGCTTCATCTGATAACATCACAAACACTCATTTTTTTATAAAAAATCTAAAAATCACATGGGTCACCACAGCCAATGAGGTTAAACAGCAGTGTGGGCAAATGAGGCTTACTAGAGGAAGGAAAATGGCACCAAGATTGAAGCAGCTGTTGCCAGGGAACAAATCTGGGCAATGGATGTCAGGTGTGCAGGCCTGAGGACAGTTGAGTATCCAGTGAAGACATGGTAAACAGGTGGGCAAGCAGGAAGAAGTCTCAGTGCAGGTAAGTCTGTAGACTCAGCAACAAAACATGCTATCCTCCCTTCTCGGCAATAACTTGCCCAGACTGAGAGATGACAGAAGACCCTAATATTAGTCAACTGGCCCCTCAGAAGTCAGAAGTCCGATCCCAGTAACAACAACAAGAACAACAACAACAACAGTAATTTTATTACTTATACCCCGCCCATCTGGCTGGGTTTCCCCAGCCACTCTGGGCAGCTTCCAGGAATATATATATATATATATATATATATAGTCAAGCATTAAAAACTTCCCAATACAGGGCTGCCTTCAGATGACTTCTTAAATTTATGTAGTTCTTTATCTCCTTGACATCTGAAGGGAGGGCTTTCCATAGGGAGGGTGCCACTGTTGAGAAGGCCCTCTCCCTAACTCCAATAATGAACACTGTCGAAACAGTGAAACGCTGTTGAAAGAGTCTTTGCCCTGCCCCCTGGTAATTTGCTTGACTGCAAGCAAACTGCTGGCTTCAAGTCAAATATCAAAATTCGAGAATATTTGGCATACCCTGAGTCAAAGCCATTGTGTTGAACTGTAGCCATATTAACAACAACGGAGAGGCAATGCACAGCTAGACGTGGCTCCCAAGGCCTTCAGCTCTGTTAGCAAGGTACCGTATTTTTCGCTCTATAACACGCACCAGACCATAACACGCACATAGTTTTTAGAGGAGGAAAACAAGAAAAAAATATTCTAAATGAAATAGTGGATATATGATTTTTGTGGTTCATGCTGTGGCCACAGACATGTGATCTGACAGTGAGTTTGGAGTAGCCCAATGAAAAAATCCTGAGGATCCATGTGGATCCATGCTTTGTAACCACGGAGGAGGGAAGGAAGGGGAACCATGGATCCTCTGCTCATGACTGCAGCAGATCCCCCCTGCCACCCGCAGGCATTCGCTCCATAACATGCACAGACATTTCCCCTTACTTTCTAGGAGGAAAAAAGTGAGTGTTATGGTGCAAAAAATACGGTACTTTTTGCACCAGCTGAACTTGCCGGTTGCTATAGCTGAACTTCCCCAATCAATTACCCATAGATTTGCTGTGAGTTTAGGGACGTGTCCACATTTGAACATTATTTGAGCTGTTAATTCACTCCTCCCCCCGCTTCGAATTAGACCAGAGTACAGGCACACAGCACCCATTTACACACGTTCAATACACCACAGAAACATCATAAAATAAGGTGTAATGGGTGTTTGCTGGCTTTTTCAATGGTGTTTCAAATAGGCGTGATTTCACTAAGTCACACAGTGCCTTGTACGTAACCCCCTCCTAAATGTGCACCTGGAGGGGGGTTGCCTATAGTCCACACCCACATGTATTTGAATTTGTATAAGAACAATTTGTCTTTTCTGTTCATACCAGTGGGCACGTGTTTGTCCCTGCCTTCCAATTTGATGATTCTGTTATGTCAATTAAGTACTAACAGAGCATGCATGCACAACCATCAAAGGACCCAGCGTCTCCTGGCTTACTTTCAACAGGCAGGGTGAATGTGGGACCTCCAGCTCACAAATGGTCAGCTGAGCTGCGCCTCCAAGCATATTCCCCATACTGGCATGTGAGACTGATTGAAAGCGACTCAGAACAAGACTGAGCCTCTGACACCTTCGTTGAGACACTCAAAAACACAGGTGCTTCTCCCAAAAGGCACCTCTCCACCCCCATTGTTCTGCCCGGAAACTGAGGTCCAGTACCGAGGGCCTTCTGGCGGTTCCCTCACTGTGAGAAGTGAAGTTACAGAGAACCAGGCAGAGGGCCTTCTCGGTAGTGGCGCCCGCCCTGTGGAACACCCTCCCACCAGATGTCAAGGAAATAAACAACTATCTGACTTTTAGAAAATCTCTGAAGGCAGTCCTGTTTAGGGAAGTTTCTAATGTTTGATGTTTTATTATGTTTTTTGTGTGTTGGAAGCAGTCCAGAGTGCCTGGCGAAACCCAGCCAGATGGGTGGGGCAGAAATAAATTATTATTATTATTATTATTATTATTATTAGGGAGCAGGGAAGTGGGTGCTTTATTTGCAAAATGGGTCACTGCAGAAACAGACCTAACATTTTTGGAGTTGTGTCATTCTAGAAGTTCTCTCATTGCTGAGGTGTGGAGCTTATTGACTGTTAAACAAATTGGGTGTGGCCAAAGTCACCAACAACAACTTGGCTATTTGCTACTGGCAATGAGCTCCACATATAGGTGTAACTGTCAAAGCATGAGATTATAGAATCCTGCGAGCCATCAGGCAGAGTCCCTTGCCTGGACTCTGATGTTGCATTTTATTGAAGTGACTGCTAACCTTTGGATAGGAAATGGACTCATTGGTGTGCACCCATGCACGGATGGGCTGCAGCTTATCCCACTGATCCTGGTCTTGTCAGGACCACGTTGCCAGTGGTACAATTTTAGTCAGCGCTTACACTCGCCAGTATTACAGCTCCACCATCCTTGTGAAACAAACAAACAGGAATGCAGAGAGAGAGAGAGAGGACTGTGGTAGATAAAGTGGGGCAAAGTCACATTGGCTTTGGAATGAATGGTCAAAAGAGGAGCAGAGCCCAGAGCTACCAGCAGACAGTCCCATGTTTCAACCACAAGACCTATCAACGCATAAGTGCAAGGCCACAAGCTTGATCACTGGAGCTAGAGAGCTGATAGAGAAAAAGAGAATCCTTTGCCAGCTTTTCATGTTGGATCACATGAGAGCAAAGCATTCTAGTAGGACAAAGCAGAAGGAGCTGCCCAGATTATAGACAAGGAGAGGTAGGACAGAGATGACCACAGAGAAAAGGCGTTTGCAAATTCCAGAGGTGCCTCTGCTTCTGCTTGTGGGTGCAGCTGCCCATGCAACGTAAGTTTTTCAGCTATGGCTCTACTCTGAGTCAAGCTAATGTGGTTGACATTCATCTCAGGAGTCCCATATTGGGTACTGCAAAGGGTCACAGAGTAGGATAGTGTGAATGTGCAGCAATCCACACAGCCCATGGTCGTTTTAAGTATGCTTGTGCAGGAGAACTTCCTAAGGAATTGTGAGGATGTTTTAAAGCCACCCTGAATATTTTCCCTGCTTGCTCCATCTTGCTGTTCCAGCAGACCCAATGATTTTCCATTCCTCAGGCCAGAAGGCCAATAGCACAGTGCAGATCCTGCAAAGAGCATATATTTTATCAGCTGACACAGGAAACGGTGGAGAATCATCTCCCTCCCATTCCCCTTCCAAACTTCCTGCTTGCTCCACAAATCAACTTATGATATTCCTCCAGTGATGGCCATGAAGAATTCTCCAGAAGAAGAAGAACACAAGATAAACGTAATACTCGTGGTTCTCAACCTCCAAGAAGAAGTAGGTCTGAAGTGTGTGGGAAGAATGACATGACCCATTCTCCCAATAGCTCTCCTTGTCAGTAAGAAGTCTCTGGCCATTTCATTGTCCTTCGAAGGAATATGGTCCAACAATTAGTCCCTATGGCATCTTTCTTCAATCTAGTTCCCTCCAGATGTTGTGGACTACAACTTCCATATCCCCTAACCACTAAACCCTGAAGATTGACAATGATAGCAGCTCACACTAACAATGATTTTCCAGGGACATGGAACTGAAAATGAGATGCTCCCTGGTAAATAGGGACCATCGGAATTGTGTAATAAATTGGTTCCTTTATGCTCACTGATGTTATGAGCACCAACCAGAAGGCTGTACAACACCCTTCAGCAGAGGAGGTGTCTGCTACCACAACTACAGTGGTACCTCAGGTTAAGTACTTAATTTGTTCCGGAGGTCCGTTCTTAACGTGAAACTGTTCTTAACCTGAAGCACCACTTTTGTTAATGGGGCCTCCTGCTGCTGCCGCGCCGCCAGAGCACGATTTCTGTTCTCATCCTGAAGCAAAGTTCTTAACCTGAAGCACTATTTCTGGGTTAGCGGAGTCTGTAACCTGAAGCATATGTAACCTGAAGTGTATGTAACCTGAGGTACCACTGTATTACTTTTAAAAGGTGAATTGACTAGAAAGTTGAACCAGTTATCCAGGTGCCATGGCCGCAAGAGGATTTTCAATAGGTAGACAAGACAGGGGTGGAGCCTGAGATCAGGAATTAACAAAGGGCAGGGAAAGCGAAAGAGGGTTCACCTACCTTTAGCCCTAGTCAGAGGGAAGGAAGCTGTACCTATGTTAGAGTGCAGTGAATGCATGGGCCAATGAGAAGCAGCTGGGCTGTACTTTTTCCTTCCGCCGCATTTAATCACTGTCTTCGAAAGTAATTTGAGAAGTGGCCCCAGAGGCCTGAAAAGTTGGAGACAGAAGCTGGGAACCTGCCGTGCCCTAGGATGAGCCCCAAGGCCTGCTAACCAGCTGTTTCTCCCCGTCAGAGGGCATGATCTCCTTGGCTTTAATGAGGCTCATAAATCCTGCCGGTGTCACAGGCACACGGCTACACCTCACGCAAAGACAAACACAGCCTGCCACCTTTAACCCTGCTCGTGGGAGGAAGAATTGCTGCCTGTGTATTTGCACAGAGACACCTAGTTAGTGGGCAACAAGAAGAGTGTGGTGCCACACTCATGCCACATTTACCGGATTTATTTTGTGTGTGTGTGTGTGTGTGTGTGTGTGTGTGTATTTATATACATTTAAAATTTATGTTTCCACCATTTTGGCTTACTCAGTGTGGCATGTGATAGCATAAATCCTGGACTATGGTCTGCAGGTAGCTGCCCTGATGAAGCTAAGCAGGTCTGAGTCAAGGCCCAGCACCAACCGCTATGTAGGGATGTGCATAGATGCTAGAAGATGATATATTTATTAGATATTGTCCTTCCACCCTCATGTTTGTGAGTTCAGCCGAGTGCCATCCCTTTGCAGCTTAAAAGGGAAGTTTAAAAGTAAAGGGACCCCTGACCATTAGGTCCAGTCGTGGCCGACTCTGGGGTTGCGGCGCTCATCTCGCTTTATTGTCCGAGGGAGCCGGCGTACAGCTTCCGGGTCATGTGGCCAGCATGACTAAGCTGCTTCTGGCGAACCAGAGCAGCACACAGAAACGCCGTTTACCTTCCCGCCGGAGCGGTACCTATTTATCTACTTGCATTTGACGTGCTTTTGAACTGCTAGGTGGGCAGGAGCTCCCAACTGCTGACCTTCCGATCAGCAAGCCCTAGGCTCAGTGGTTTAGACCACAGCACCACCCGTGTCCCAAAAGAGAAGCTTAGATAGGCTAGTTTTATACCTTTTGGTGTCAGTAATCCAGGATACTTTTAAGGCAGACTGGATTCACCTGGTATTTCCCCTTTTCTCCTCCCTTAAAGCAACGGTCGCACAAACAGCCTTGTAAAAGTTAAAAATGACATCTACTCATTCAGAATACTTGTTGAAGATTAACAGGTACAGCAGCTTTGTTCAGGCAGGCTTAAAATGGTAATTCCATTACAAACACGTGAGCTGTGGCTCAGACTTAGCATATGTTCTACATTGCTGGAATGGGGTGAAAGAGCAAAGGAAAAGTGCCCAGTCAGGTGAGAAGATTATATATGGCTATGCCACCCACCCCCGTCCCCAGTCAGGGAGGAGTGTTTCTCAGAGTTCTCTCTAGCAAACTTGCAGGAAAACTCTTTTGAGCTTCAGCTCCGATCATGTGCCTTTCTAGCAAACATGCATTGTTGGTTTGTCCACATTGTAAATATCCCACAAGCTGGACAAGTCAGGCAAAAAGTATTGTAGCACCTTATAAGACTAAACAGTTTATGGGATCAGTTTTTGTGGGCTGGAATCTACTTCATCTGATGCATGGAAGGTTGTCTCAATTATTTTATTCAGGCCATACATTTAGAGCAGCCAGGGAGAATCCAGGGAGCTGTAGTTTGTTAACGGTGCCGTGAATTCTAGCTTTGTGAGGCCAGCACCCTTAACAAACCACATTTCCCAGGATTCTTTGGGGGAAAGCCATAACTGCTAAAATCGTAGAAGAGTGCTTTGAATTTACAGTGTGCCCAGGAGCAGAGTCTGTGCGGCTCTGTTCTGGTGTTAGGTCCAAGAACACATGGAAGGAGAGAGGTTGGGCTTCATGTGCTCCCTCTCCTGACTTTGAGGCTGAAGGGAGATTCTTTGCACATCCAGCTAAACATGCTTGGAATCCTGCCTGCAACTGGGGAGACTGATAGTGCAGGGCTGCAGCTTGCACATAGGACTATGCACATTCACTCGAACAGGCAAAGAATCCCTCTTTAGAACCATAGCCATGGTTGGAGCTGACAGTGATATAGAAGCAGGGGTAATGCTTGTGTTCTCGCTTCCCCTCCATGTTAATTTATAATTTACAGTGGTACCTCGGGTTAAGTACTCAGTGGATTTGTAACTGGCTGACTGACCGAACCCAAAGGGTGCTCATCAATGGTTCCTCTTCATCCTGGAGAAGAGTGACTAGTGGGGTGCCACAGGGTTCTGTCTTGGGCCCGGTCTTATTCAACATCTTTATCAACGACTTGAATGATGGACTCAAGGGCATCCTGATCAAATTTGCAGATGACACCAAACTGGGAGGGGTGGCTAACACCCCAGAGGACAGGATCACACTTCAAAACGACCTTGACAGATTAGAGAACTGGGCCAAAACAAACAAGATGAATTTTAACAGGGAAAAATGTAAAGTATTGCACTTGGGCAAAAAAAAATGAGAGGCACAAATACAAGATGGGTGACACCTGGCTTGAGAGCAGTACATGTGAAAAGGATCTAGGAGTCTTGGTTGACCACAAACTTGACATGAGCCAACAGTGTGACGCGGCAGCTAAAAAAGCCAATGCAATTCTGGGCCTCATCAATAGGAGTATAGCATCTAGATCAAGGGAAGTAATAGTGCCACTGTATTCTGCTCTGGTCAGACCTCACCTGGAGTACTGTGTCCAGTTCTGGGCACCACAGTTCAAGAAGGACACTGACAAACTGGAACGTGTCCAGAGGAGGGCAACCAAAATGGTCAAAGGCCTGGAAACGATGCCTTATGAGGAACGGCTAAGGGAGCTGGGCATGTTTAGCCTGGAGAAGAGGAGGTTAAGGGGTGATATGATAGCCACGTTCAAATATATAAAAGGATGTCACATAGAGGAGGGAGAAAGGTTGTTTTCTGCTGCTCCAGAGAAGCGGACACGGAGCAATGGATCCAAACTACAAGAAAGAAGATTCCACCTAAACATTAGGAAGAACTTCCTGACAGTAAGAACTGTTCGACAGTGGAATTTGCTGCCAAGGAGTGTGGTGGAGTCTCCTTCTTTGGAGGTCTTTAAGCAGAGGCTTGACAACCATATGTCAGGAGTGCTCTGATGGTGTTTCCTGCTTGGCAGGGTGTTGGACTCGATGGCCCTTGTGGTCTCTTCCAACTCTACGATTCTATGATTCTATTCTATGATTCTATTCTAAGTACCTAATTTGTTCTGGAGGTCTATTCTTAACCTGAAACCGTTCTTAATCTGAAGCACCACTTTAGCTAATGGGGCCTCCTGCTGCTGCCGCACTGCCGGAGCACGATTTCTGTTATCATCCTGAAGCAAAGTTCTTAACCCGAGGTACTATTTCTGGGTTAGCGGAGTCTGTGACCTGAAGCGTATGTAACCTGAAGCGTATGTAACCCGAGGTACCACTGTACTTAGAAAAACAAAAGCAGCTCCACATTAGAAAGAAATAGCATTGTTTACAGTGTATTCTTCTTTTCCAGTAACCAGCAGTTAACTCAAGAATGGAGAACTCACAGGCCTGGGGACCAAATGCAGCCCCCTGAGACCATCCTCAGGCCACACACCATCACCAGCCTTACTCTGCGTCCTCCTTGAATGTTTTTGCCTAACTGGACTGTGTCCTTGAATTCTGACAATGCTTCTTGTATGCCTGGATGGGGGATCAAGACAGCTGTTTGAATGTGCGATGAAGCTCTCCATCCTACCATACAAAGGTAAGAATCACCTTTATTACTCTGTCCAGTCCTGCCTCTGGCTCCACTGGCATTTGGCCCTCAGGCTGAAAAAATTCTCCTACCCCCTAAGTGAACTAGCACACCAGTCTGAAAATTTTTTTAGTCGTGTCCGACTCTTCGTGTCCCCATGGACCAGAGCACACCAGGCACTTCTGTCTTCCACTGCCTCCCGCAGTTTGGTCAAACTCATGTTAGTAGATTCGAGAACACTGTCCAACCATCTCATCCTCCGTCGTCCCCTTCTCCTTGTGCCCTCCATCTTTCCCAACATCAGGGTCCTTTCCAGGGAGTCTTCTCTTCTCGTGAGGTGGCCAAAGTATTGGAGCCTCAGCTTCAGGATCTGTCCTTCCAGTGAGCACTCAAGGCTGATTTCCTTAAGAATGGATACGTTTGATCTTCTTGCAGTCCATGGGACTCTCAAGAGTCTCCTCCAGCACCATAGTTCAAAAGCATCAATTCTTCGACAATCAGCCTTCTTTATGGTCCAGCTTTCACTTCCATAAGCCAGAACAGCAAGAGGGATTGCTGCGCAGTGAAAGCAGCAATCCCTCTTGCTGTTCTTGTTTCTGGGATAGCTGCGCAGCCTGCATTTGCTCCATAAGACGCACACACATTTCCCCTTTCTTTTTAGGAGGGGAAAACTGAGTCTTATAGAGCAAAAAATACGGTAATAGAAGTGGAGGGGCTGTCGATCTTGAGGGTATGTGGCAGGCAAGGTGCTGCTGGTATTCTGTCTCACCTTCACATTGTAACTGTGAGACCACGTCTAGTGACATTTGCAACACTTTCCAAAGGGGTTTGCCTCTTGTGTAACTGCTCCCGTCAACTTCTTTATCTCTCTAGATTTGCAGCTAGATCTCCCATCTCCTCCTCCTTTGCCCTTCTGAAGCCTGATATGTGCGTAAGTGTGGGTTTGAATGTGTGTTGCATGATTCTGCAATATCTACTCACTGTTATACTTTGAGGAACCTTCCTAGCTGTTTCCCTTTCTGGGCAAGTCTAGTAGGAACTACTCTCAGAGCAACACCCTCCACCCACCCCTGCAAATAACAGAGTATTTTGAAATCGGGGAGAAAATACTATGCCCTTCCCCTGGCGTGACCTTTCATTCCAGCATCTGTACCAACGATGGCCAAGTCAGCCAAATTTATCAGCAAGTTCCAAAGAATAAGGTCTGTTCTGCATACGCAGCAGAATGAGGTGGCAGAATGATCTGTAGGTGGTAAAATGGACAGTGCCACTTTAGGCTGCAGGCAGAGGAATGCCATTTTTTAATGTTCAAGTATCTCTTGGGACACGGGTGGCGCTGTGGGTTAAACCACAGAGCCTAGGACTTGCCAATCAGAAGGTCGGCGGTTCGAATCCCCGCGACGGGGTGAGCTCCCGTTGCTCTGTCTCTGCTCCTGTCAACCTAACAGTTCGAAAGCACGTCAGAGTGTAAGTAGATAAATAGGTACCACTCCGGCGGGAAGGTAAACAGCGTTTCCGTGCGCTGCTCTGGTTCGCCAGAAGTGGCTTAGTCATGCTGGCCACATGACCCAGAAGCCGGCTCCCTTGGCCAATAAAGAAGATGAGCGCCGCAACCCCAGAGTCGGCCACGACTGGATCAGGGGTCCCTTTCCCTTTACTTAAGGAGTGTGTAAGAAACTCTCCACTAATAGAAGAACTAGTTACCAACATGCCAGGGACAAAGTTTTTACCCCATTTTCTTTCCTGCTGCCTTAATTTTCTACTTGCAATAAGTTGCTTTGTCTCTGGATGGATCTACACACAGGAAAGCCCCCACTATAAATAAGTCATAAATTAAATTGTTATAGCAAAAGAAAAAAAACCCCAATGTAAAATGGCATAGAAAAGTTTTGTGCTCTATAATGCCGTCTGGTGTTGCATGTTTATAATGCATTTAAAACGCTGATTATGATTTTTTTACTAATGTAGCTGAGTCCTGTGTGTGTGTTAATCATTCGGATAGAAGTGTAGACCAGGCCTAGCTAGAAGCATAGACCGGTCTAGACCGGTACCAAACAGCTTGGAACGGTTCCAACAAGTCCGAACCAGTTCCAACCGGCTTCGACCGGTTCTAACCAGCTTCGACTGGTTCAAAACGGTCTGGACCAGTTCCAACCAGTCTAGACCGGTTTTAACCAGCTTGGACCAGTTCAAACCGGCTTGGGCCAGTTCCTACCTGCTTGGACCGGTTCAAACCTGCTTGGACAGGTTCCTACCAGTCTGAACCAGTTCCAACCGGCTTCGACCGGTTCCAACCGGCTTCCAACCGGTTCCAAGTAGGTTGGGACCGGTCTAGACCGGTTGGAACTGGTTCATACCGGTTTGAACCGGTCGAGGCAGGTTGGAACCAGTCAAAGCCATTTGGAACTGGTTCAGACTGGTAAGAACTGGTCCAAGATGGTCGGTACTGGACCAGACCGGTTTGAACTGGTCGAAGCCGGTTGGAACCGGTCGAAGCAGGTTGGAACTGGTTCAGACTGGTAGGAAGCAGTCCAAGCCGGTTTGAACTGCTCCAAGCAGGTTGGAACAGGTCTAGACCAGTTGGAACTGGTTCACATTGGTTTGAAAAAGTTGAAATCGGTTAGAACTGGTTCAGACTGGTAGGAAGCAGTCCAAGCCGGTTTGAACCGGTCCAAGCAGGTTGGAACCGGTCTAGATGGGTCGGAACTGGCTCAAACCGGTTGGAACCGGTTGAAGCCGGTTGGAACTGGTTCAGACTGGTAGGAACCGGTCCAATCCAGTTTGAACCTGTCCAGACCGGTTTGAACCGGTTCAAGGTGGTTGGAACCGGTCCAAGCCAGTTTGAACCGGTTCAGACCGGTTTGAACCGGTCAAAGCCGGTTAGAACTGCTTCAGACTGGTTTGAACCGGTCGAACCTGGTTGGAACCTGTCTAGACCGGTTGGAACTGGTTCAAACCGGTTGGAACCGGTCCAAGCCAGTTTGAACCGGTTCAGACCGGTTGGAACCTGTCAAAGCCGGTTGGAACTGGTCCAGACCGGTTGGAACCGGTTGAAGCCGGTTGGAACTGGTCCAGACCGGTTTGAACCAGATGAAGCCGGTTTGAACTGGTCTAGACCGGTTGGAACTGGCTCAAACCGGTTTGAACCGGTTGAATCCAGTTGGAACTGGTTCAGACTGGTAGGAACCGGTCCAAGCCAGTTTGAACCTGTCCAGACCAGTTTGAACCAGTTCAAGGTGGTCGGAACCGGTTCAAGGCGGTTGGAACCGGTTCAGACCGGTTGGAACCGGTCAAAGCTGGTTGGAACTGGCTCAAACCGGTGGAACTGGCTCAAACCGGTTCAGACCAGTTGGAACCGGTCCAAGCCAGTTTGAACTGGTCCAGACTGATTTGAACCACTTCAAGGTGGTTGGACCGGTTGGAACTGGTTCAGACTGGTTTGTACCGGTCAAAGCAGGTTGAAACCTGTCTAGACTGGTCGGTACTGGTCCAGACCGGTTTGAACTGGTTGAAGCCGGTTGGAACTGGTCGAAGCAGGTTGGAACTGGTTCAGACTGGTAGGAAGCAGTCCAAGTTGTTTTAAACGGTCCAAGCAGGTTGGAACCGGTCTAGACGGGTTGGAACTGGCTCAAACCGGTTGGAAGCGGTTGAATCCAGTTGGAAATGGTTCAGACTGGTAGGAACCAGTCCAGACCGGTTTGAACCGCTTCAAGGCGGTTGGAACCCGTTCAGACCGGTTTTAACTGGTTCAGATTGGTAGGAACCGGTCCAAGCCGATTTGAACCGGTCCAGACTGTTTGGAACCGGTCCGAAGCGGTCAAAGCCGGTTGGAACCAGTGCAAGACCGGTTGGTCTAGACCGGTTGGAACGGGTCCAGACCAGTTTGAACTGGTCAAAACCGCTTGGAACTGGTTGAAGCCGGTTGAAATTGGTTCAGTCTGGTAGGAACCTGTCCAAGCCGGTTTGAACTGGTCCAGACCAGTTTGAACCAGTCGAAGCCGGTTGGAACCGGTCTAGACCGGTTGGAACTGGTTCAAACCGGTTGGAACCGGTCCAAGCCAGTTTGAACCGGTTCAGACCGGTTGGAACCTGTCAAAGCCGATTGGAACTGGTCCAGACCGGTTGGAACCGGTTGAAGCCGGTTGGAACTGGTCCAGACCGGTTTGAACTGGTTGAAGCTGGTTGGAACTGGTCTAGACCGGTTGAAACTGGCTCAAACTGGTTGGAACCGGTCCAAGCCAGTTTCAACCGGTTCAGACCGGTTGGAACCGGTTCAAGGTGGTTGCAACCAGTTCAGACCGGTTGGAACTGGTTCAGACTGGTTTGAACCAGTCAAAGCTAGTTGGATCCTGTCTAGACCGGTTGGTACTGGTCCAGACTGGTTTGAACTGGTTGAAGCCGGTTGGAACCGGTCGAAGTAGGTTGGAACTGGTTCAGACTGGTAGGAAGCAGTCCAAGCCGGTTTGAACCGGTCCAAGCAGGTTGGAACCGGTTGAACCTGGTTGGAACCTGTCTAGACCGGTTGGAACTGCTCCAGGCCGGTTTGAACCGGTCGAAGCTGGTTGGAATTGGTCTAGACCGGTTGGAACTGGTTCAAACCGGTTGGAACCGGTCCAAGCCAGTTTGAACCGGTCCAGACTGGTTGGAACCTGTCTAGACAGGTGGGAACTAGTCCAGGCCGGTTTGAACCGGTCGAAGCTGGTTGGAACTGGTCTATACCGGTTGGAACTGGTTCAAACCGGTTGGAACCGGTCCAAGCCAGTTTGAACCGGTTCAGGCCGGTTGGAACCTGTCAAAGCTGGTTGGAACTGGTCCAGACCGGTTTGAACCGGTTGAAGCCGGTTGGAATTGGTCCAGACCGGTTTGAACCAGATGAAGCCGGTTTGAACTGGTCTAGACCGGTTGGAACTGGCTCAAACCGGTTTGAACCGGTTGAATCCAGTTGGAACTGGTTCAGACTGGTAGGAACCGGTCCAAGCCAGTTTGAACCCGTCCAGACCGTATTGAACCAGTTCAAGGTGGTTGTTACCGGTTCAGACCGGTTGGAACCGGTTGAAGCTGGATGGAACCTGTCTAGAGCGGTTGGAACTGGTTCCAACCAGTTGGAACCGGTCCAAGCCATTTTGAACCGGTTCAAGGTGGTTGGAACCGGTTCAGACCGGTTGGAACCAGTCAAAGCCAGTTGGAACTGGTCCAGACCAGTTTGAACCGGTCGACGCTGGTTGGAACCAGTCTAGACTGGTTGGAACTGGCTCAAACTGGTTGGAACCGGTCCAAGCCAGTTTGAACTGGTCCAGACCGATTTGAACTGCTTCAAGGTGGTTGGGACCGGTCTAGACGGGTTGGAACTGGCTCAAACCGGTTTGAACCGGTTGAATCCAGTTGGAACTGGTTCAGACTGGTAGGAACCGGTCCAAGCCAGTTTGAACCTGTCCAGACCGGTTGGAACCGGTTGAAGCCGGTTGGAACTGGTCCAGACCGGTTTGAACCGGTTGAAGCCGGTTGGAACTGGTCTAGACCGGTTGAAACTGGCTCAAACTGGTTGGAACCGGTCCAAGCCAGTTTCAACCGGTTCACACCGGTTGGAACCACTTCAAGGTGGTTGGACCCGTTGGAACTGGTTCAGACTGGTTTGTACCGGTCGAAGCTGGTTGAAACCTGTCTAGACTGGTCAGTACTGGTCCAGACCGGTTTGAACTGGTTGAAGCCGGTTGGAACTGGTCGAAGCCGGTTGGAACTGGTTCAGACTTGTAGGAAGCAGTCCAAGTTGTTTTAAACGGTCCAAGCAGGTTGGAACCGGTCTAGACGGGTTGGAACTGGCTCAAACCGGTTGGAACCGGTTGAATCCAGTTGGAAATGGTTCAGACTGGTAGGAACCAGTCCAGACCAGTTTGAACCGCTTCAAGGCGGTTGGAACCAGTTCAGACCGGTTTTAACTGGTTCAGATTGGTAGGAACCGGTCCAAGCCGATTTGAACCAGTCCAGACTGTTTGGAACCGGTCCGAAGCGGTCAAAGCCGGTTGGAACCAGTGCAAGACCGGTTGGTCTAGACTGGTTGGAACGGGTCCAGACCAGTTTGAACTGGTCAAAACCGGTTGGAACTGGTTGAAGCCGGTTGAAATTGGTTCAGTCTGGTAAGAACCTGTCCAAGCCGGTTTGAACTGGTCCAGACCAGTTTGAACCGGTCGAAGCCGGTTGGAACCGGTCTAGACTGGTTGGAACTGGTCCGTTGGAACTGGTCTAGACCGGTTGGAACCGCTTCAGACCAGTTGGAACCGGTCCAAGCCAGTTTGAACTGGTCCACACCGATTTGAACCACTTCAAGGTGGTTGGAACTGGTTCAGACCGGTTGGAACTGGTTCAGACTGGTTTGTACCGGTCAAAGCTGGTTGAAACCTGTCTAGACTGGTCGGTACTGGTCCAGACTGGTTTGAACTGGTTGAAGCCGGTTGGAACTGGTCGAAGCAGGTTGGAACTGGTTCAGACTTGTAGGAAGCAGTCCAAGCTGGTTTGAACCGGTCCAAGCAGGTTGGAACCGGTCTAGACTGGTTGGAACTGGCTCAAACCGGTTGGAAGCGGTTGAATCCAGTTGGAAATGGTTCAGACTGGTAGGAACCAGTCCAGACCGGTTTGAACCGGTTGAAGGCGGTTGGAACCGGTTCAGACCGGTTTGAACTGGTTCAGATTGGTAGGAACCGGTCCAAGCCGATTTGAACCGGTCCAGACTGTTTGGAACCGGTCCGAAGCGGTCAAAGCCGGTTTGAACCAGTGCAAGACCGGTTGGTCTAGACCAGTTGGAACGGGTCCAGACCGGTTTGAGCTGGTCAAAGCCGGTTGGAACCGGTCGAATCCGGTTGGAACTAGTTCAGACTGTTAGGAACCGGTCCAAACTGGTGTAAATATGGATAACTGATAACGATAACTATATCGATAACGAACTTATACCTAACTTATCGATATTAATAACAAAAATGATATGTATATCAATATTGATAATGATAACAATATCGATAACAATAACGATATCGGTCCAACCGGCTTCGACCGGTTCCAACCTTCTTGGACCTGTTTTAACTGGGCTGGGCTGGTTTAAGACTGGTCTGAACTTGTCCAAGCTAGTTGGAACCGGTCTAGACCAGTTGGAACCAGACCGCGATTTAGAGGACAATGTCATATGGACAATGCAGAACTGATGACAGTACAGTTAGCTTACTTTGTTGTTGTTGTTTAGTCGTTTAGTCGTGTCGAACTCTTCACGACCCCATGGACCAGAGCACGCCAGGCACTCCTGTCTTCCACTGCCTCCCACAGTTTGGTCAAACTCATGCTGGTAGCTTTGAGAACACTGTCCAACCATCTCGTCCTCTGTCGTCCCCTTCTCCTTGTGCCCTCTGTCTTTCCCAATGCCAGGGTCTTTTCCACCTCTTCTCATGAGGTGGCCCAAGTATTGGAGCCTCAGCTTCACGAGATGAGCGCTGCAACCCCAGAGTGGGCCATGAATGGACCTAATGGTCAGGGGGGTCAGGGGTCCCTTTACCTTTTACTTATGAGCACAACACAGAGAAAAAGGAAGGCAGGACTGGCTCTGTGGTGGTGGTGCATCTGGCAATCTGCCAGTGTCATGGTAAAGGTAAAGGGACACCTGACCATTAGGTCCAGTCGTGGCCGACTCTGGAGTTGCGGCGCTCATCTCGCTTTACTGGTCGAGGGAGCCGGAGTACAGCTTCCGGGTCATGTGGCCAGCATGACCAAGCCGCTTCTGGCGAACTAGAGCAGCGCACGGAAATGCCGTTACCTTCCTCCTGGAGCGGGACCTATTTATCTACTTGCACTTTGATGTGCTTTTGAACCGCTAGGTTGGCAGGAGCAGGGACCAAGCAACGGGAGCTCACACCGTCACAGGGATTCGAGCCACCAACCTTCTGATTGGCAAGTCCTAGGCTCTGTGGTTTAACCCACAGCTCCACCCGCATCCCGTGTCGTGGGGCTTGCACCAAATCCTATAGCCTAGGGGTGGGAACCACATACCCAGGGCAGGGTTCGAAATTCCCATTGTTCTAGGCGCATTTTGCGACAGGGAATTTTATTAGCGTGAGCAGTTTCTGAGCTCTGCAGGGTGGAAGGAAAGGAGGACCTTTTTTCTGCCTCCCCACATCCAGTTACTTTCTGAAGACCTGGAGAAGAGACCCTCTTAAGAATATTAAAGTGGAGTGGGCACGGGAAGGACTAGACCCTGTGAAAAATGAACATAGTACTTTAGCTGCAGTTCATTCATTTTCAGTTTTGTATTCTTGTTATTAAAAAAGTGTGACTGGACATTCCGTTGTTGCGCCCATAACCTAGGATTAAGGTGCCATTTAGCTCCTATGTTTCCTATGTCAGTTTCTAACACTGGCCCAGGGGCAAAATGCAGTCCTCTAGTCCGCTCTACCCAGCCTTTCAGAACCTTCCTGGGCCATGTTCCTCTTCAGGCCACACCTCCTCTTGCCAGGCCATGCCTTCACTGGTTTTGCTCCAAACCCACCTCAAGTGTTTTTGCCTGGCTGGAATATGTCCTTGAACTCTGAGAATGCCTCCTGCTCGCCTGGTTTGATTGATTTGCATGTGTGCACATAGAAACCCCCAACTTTTGTGCGGCTGCAATAAGTTGACTGTATAAAAGACTCACAGTGGTGGTTGCCCCACCCCCTTTTGCCAGAGTATAGCTCCTCAGTGGGCCCCCCGGTATAGAATTGCACTTACACCGCAGAATATATTTCCAGAAAGTAGCATTCTCTTCTAATTATTTGTTTAAAACAAATAAGTTTATTTTACATTTTCTTGGACAATGAGCCCCCTCAGCAAGCAACTTCCTCCAGAAAGCACTCCTGCCTCAAACCCAAACACTTATTTTTGAAACTGAAGGCAGCAAGGATTGGAGTTTATCCAAGATACACATTTTGCCTTTGCAGAAGATGTGGACAAACACCATAGACAGGGCTGCTCACTATAGACAGGGCTGCTCAGATATGACCAGGCAAGTGCAGTAATTAGGATGCCATCTTCCAACACCACATCGTCCTGTTTATACAGACTTGTCTTCCGTGAGTACAGAAGCCGGAAACTTTATGGAGCTGGTGGGGCTTAAGACCACATCAATGTGCATAAGAAGGATTTTAAGTTAATGCAGAACAGCAAAGAAACTAAATACAAGCATTCCTATACCTCTAAATGGGAAAGGACTGAAGCTTACTGGTCAAGCATCTCTTCTGCATGTAGGTCTCAGGTTCAAGAACAACAACAACATATACCCCACCCATCTGGTTGGGTTTCCCCAGCCACTCTGGGTGGCTCCCAACAAAATATTATTAATATTATTATTAATAAAGCAATCAAACATTAAAAACTTCTCTAAACAGGACTGCCTTCGGATGTCTTCTAAAAGTCAGATAGTTGTTTATTTCCTTGACACCAGATGGGTGTTCCACAGGACGGGCGCCACTTCTGAGAAGGCCCTCTGCCTGGTTCTCTGTAGCTTCACGTCTCGCAGTGAGGGAACTGCCAGAAGGCCCTCAGAGCTGAACCTCAGTGTCCGGGCTGAACGATGGGGGTGGAGATGCTCCTTCAGGTATACAGGACCGAGGCTGTTTAGGGCTTTAAAGGTTAACACCAACACTTTGGTGCTCGGAAACGTACTGGGAGCCAATGTAGGTCTTTCAGGACCGGTGTTATATGGTTTCGGCAGCCACTCCCAGTCACCAGTCTAGCTGCCACATTCTGGATTAGCAGCATCTCCAGGTGGGGAATGTCTGCTGTCTGAAACCCTGGAGAATCACGGCCAGTCGTCATGTGCGGTACTGAACTAGTTGCACTATAGAATTGGAAGAGACCTCAAAAGTCATCAATGCAGGACGCACTGTGTCACAAGTAAGTCCCATTAGGCTCAGTGCAACTTTCTCCTAGGTAAGTGTCTATGGGATTTTGTTTAGTCATGCCCGGCTCTTCATGACCCCATGGACCAGAGCACACCAGGTACTCCTGTATTCCATTGCCTCCCGCAGTTTGGTCAAACTTGGGTTGGTAGTTTCAAGAACACTGTCCAACCATCTCATCCTCTGTCGTTCCCTTCTCCTTGTGCCCTCTATCATCAGGGTCTTTTCCAGGGAGTCTTCTCTTCTCATGAGGTGGCCAAAGTATTGGAGTCTCAGATTCAGAACCTGTCCTTCCAGTGAGCACTCAGGGCTGATTTCCTTCAGAATGGAGAGGTTTGATCTTCTTGCAGTCCACGGGACTCTCAAGAGTCTCCTCCAACACCAGAATTCAAAAGCATCTATTCTTCGGCGATCAGCCTTCTTTATAGTCCAGCTCTCACTTCCATACATCACTACTGGGAAAGCCATAGCTTTAACAATACGGACCTTTGTCAGCAAGGTGATGTCTATGGGATAATTTGGGTAAAACGGACTTTGAATTTAAACAATAATATAGCAATTTAAATTTTGTTAAGCAAGCTGGTTGAAACAGTTTGGTCTCCTACTTTAAGGGCACCTTTTTAAGGGTTGTGGCACATCCCAGATAGCACCAGGCCTCGGCCAACTGCCCCCTACCCCATGCAGTAGCCACAGCTCTTGTTTTCTCTGTGTAGGGAGGGAGGGTGGGGAAATCATTCTGTGGTTTAGGCAGTAGGATGCCAAAGTTGCGGTTTCAGGGGCCTCCTCTGCCAGAGACTGCCTGTGCAACTGAAGCAAGTCTTCTTTCCGTCTCACTTGCCATCCCACCCTCAGCACTTTTGCTGCTGCTCTGCTTTGATGAATAACTTTTGGGGGCTTCCCCCATCCCTTGGGCGAGAGTGGAGGAAGTAAAGTAAGAGAGGGAGTAAACATTTAGAGTCTGCCCCCTTTAGCATTTTCTCCGGTGCCGATAAACTGTCAGCTGAGAGAGGCAGGGGAAATCCTGCTAGACCACAGGCGGAGGCGGGCCTCCAAATCTGTGCTCTCTTTTGTTGTAAACAAAATCTGCCCTTTTCCCCTTATGGGGTATCCAAGAGCCCATATAGAGTCCTTACGTAGGTTTCCTATTGGTAGGAGAAAATAACAGAGGCCAACAAGAGAATATTGAAAAGCAAAGTAGCTAGTAAGCTTGATCTTTATTGATCTGTTGCAACAGGGTGCTCCCCTCACTCGCAGGAAAGGAGGAGGAACCCAGAACAATGGAGTGCAAGGCCTTATATAGACATGTTGAAATTGCCACACTGTAGATCAAGACTACCCCCAGAAACATCATACATACATCACAGAAGGGGTGTAGCTCAAGACCACCACCCCAGATACATCATACCTACATCACAGAAAAGGCGGTCTAAAACAGAAATTTGAATGTTGTTTTTCTCCTGTCATTGTTTATCTCCTGTCTGGCAGGTTACTTGACTGGATACCCTGGGGAGCCTGGCCAGTCTTTTGTAATGATAAATACTTAGTAATGATAAATACTTAGTTCCTCAGTCAGGTTACAGGCTCACCCTGTTCAAACACAGACATACCCTTAAGACAGGATTTGTGAAGGAAAAGACAATGGGGAGGTTTTTCCATTTTCCTTGACCTTGCAGAGAAAACATTTGGTCAGTTTGGGACAGTTTGGGAATCAAAAATGGTTCCAGGTCGGTCTTCCTGTTCTGATCTATGTACGTGCTTGGTTGGTACACTTATGAACATTAACATATATCTAAGACCTCAAAATTCCTGTCACACTTTCTACAGCAGAAAAGCCCCAGGCACAATGAACAGGCAGAGGAGCGATACAGACCAGTGTCACTAGGTTGGTTATATGGTGTCCTACATTACCAAGGACAGTCCTCTCTTTGAGGGGGCCGCTGTCAGGGGACATGTCGTCCTCTAATGGAAGGTGTCATCTCTTGGAAGGGCTGGTTGGTCCAAGCCCAGTTTAGAGGTAAAGACCCCTGAGAAGGGAGATGCAAGGAGGAGACCTTGATGTTACCCATCAGCAGTTAGCAACTCCTGGACCGACTGAGCAAGAAATCTAAGGATGGGGAGAGAGATTTGATTCAGTTTGCATTTAAAGGCAAGCCTACTCAATCTGCACTTCCCATAACAATGCACGATGCAAAATATGGCCACTCCTCTAAAACTGGTACTTTTCTGAATTATGCAATGAGGTTCTCCAACCAAATGATGCTGTATGAAAACATATATTCTAGGCATAGATGTCAACGTTTCCCTTTTTTTAAAGGGAAATTCCCTTATTCCGAATAGGATTCCTCGCAAGAAAAGGGAAAAGTTGACAGCTATGATTCTAGGGCAGGGTTTTTCCAAACCTGGGTCTCCAGCTGTTCCTGGACTACAACTCCCTTCATCTGGGACAACCACTGGTCCTGCTAGCTATGGATGATGGGAGTTGTAGTCCAACAACAGACTGGAGAACCAAATTTGGGGAACCCTGTTCTAGGGAAAGGTGTGTGTAGAAATGCACATATTACTGAAAGTAGGGTGAAAAAATCCATTATATTGTTTAACGGTCCTGAAATGGGAGAATTCCCATCAATGTCCCCACAAGCATTATATTTTGGTGCCTGGCCCAAACTAAAACCAAAACAAACGTTTGTAATCCCGCCCCCAGCCCCTCCAAATGTCAATGCGTATTAGATGACGCATGTGAAGTTTTGTTTTGGTATTTGCTGTGTGTCGCAATTCTTTCCAGCAGTTCTTTGACACTAACAGTCCAAGTCCATACATGCCTAACCAGAAGCCAGTCCTCTTGAGTTCAATGGGAATTTCTCCCAAGTAAGTGTGTGTAGGATTGCAACGTGAGCGCTCCTTATCAAAAAGATGTTATCATTGTTTCAACTACTGTCAAATCTCTGAGGGCCAAAGCAAGGCGAGACACACAAGATCCATGATAAGTTCTCCCGACATTTCAATTTTTTACCTAAAAGCTGGCTCATAGTTTTCTGGATTTTACTGGAGCGGCTGCACTGGGGAGGGAGCAGCAATTGAGCCTTTCCCACATGTTATTTTCCTGATATAATCCCCTTCCTTTCCCCACAACTGTTACTATTAGGGGAGGGAGTGAGTACAAGCATAATGCAAGTACAGTGGTACTTCAGGTTACATACGCTTCAGGTTACATTCCGCTAACCCAGAAATAGTGCTTCAGGTTAAGAATTTTGCTTCAGGATGAGAACAGAAATCATGCTCTGGCGGCACGGCGGCAGCAGGAGGCCCCATTAGCTAAAGTGGTGCTTCAGGTTAAGAACAGTTTCAGGTTAAGAACAGACCTCCGGAACGAATTAAGTACTTAACCTGAGGTACCACTGTACTTGTGTGTTTTCCTATTCCCTTTTGTTTCACCCTACTTTTCAACTTTTTAAAATACTAGATTTTTGTTTTTGTTCGGAATAAATTGCATGATTCATTTCTGCCAGTTCCTTAATTGAAATTCCACTAGTCATCTTGGTCAGAAAAAAGAAAGTTGAGCCGTAGTAAAATCATGTTTTGTTTGTTCTTGGTTTGGTCACTCAGTTTTCCATAAAAGAGGAAAATATCTTTTGACTTCTGCCAAGGTTTCAGAGTTATTGACTGTGCAAGTGCCATCTTCACTTATTTTCAAAGGGATTTTAAAATTATTATTATTTCTTGTATTTGGCATGCCAGTATTTTCTCACCATGCTTAACTGTTTTCAAGCGTTTTAACTTCATGATATTTATGTTCTTATAACTCTCTTTTGATTGTGAATAATACATTTGTATTTAATTATTTCTACTCAATGACTGTTTCGTTTCTGTTTTAATTCCATTTCTTTCTTTCTTTCTTTCTTTCTTTCTTTCTTTCTTTCTTTCTTTCTTTTCTGGAAAAACCCAAAAGATATGATTTGCACTCTTAAGTATACTTTGCTGGCTTCCCACAGTTTTGCCATATATATTTCCTGTGTATTACCATTTCCGAAAAGGAGTTGTAGTTTTTGTTCATAACTGCGTTGGAGTTCTTTGTCTCGTAACAGAGTCTCATTCCCTTGCCAAGTTTTCTCCCTGACGAAATCTAACTCCCACAGAAAAGATTACAAATTATAGTTGGCATATATCAGGCTTTTTGTGCCACAAACCTTAAATTTCTCAACAATACTATCAGAAACCATACATATTTGGGTGGGTGGGGTGGAGAGAAGGTATAATTTCTGCCATTGGGATGCTGATATCTCCAAATGCATTGTTGGCAATAATAATACTTGCTTAACTTTTCTATAGGCTTATCAAGTGTTCAAAATGTTTTCTAGTTGTCTAGCCCCAGCAAGGAAGTATAGCGTTATCTAGCTTCAGCCAAGGATGATGGGAGTTGTAGTACAGCCAGGCGACTGGAGGGCTACAGGTTTCCCACCCCTCATATAACATACGACTACAAAAGTTGAGGCTCCTGAACAGACTCTTGGGCTGGGGTGTTTTGTTGGGGGAGTTTGTTGCTGGGTTTGTTTGTTTGTATCTTGGTCTGTTTTGTTTATTTGTATCTTTATTTTAGATCTTGTTGTGATTTATTTGGAAATTGTTCAGTTTGGTTGTGCATTTTTAAACGTTTTATTTATTGTTTATGACTACTTTTGCTATGTTGTAGCTGTGGTTTTTTTCCATGTTGTAAGCCACTTTGGGGACGCGGGTGGCGCTGTGGGTTAAACCGCAGAGCCTAGGACTTGCCAATCAGAAGGTCGGCGGTTCGAATCCCCATGACGGGGTGAGCTCCCGTTGCTCAGTCCCTGCTCCTGCCAACCTAGCAGTTCGAAAGGACATCAAAGTGCAAGTAGATAAATAGGTACCGCTCTGGCGGGAAGGTAAACGGCGTTTCCGTGCACTGCTCTGGTTCGCAAGAAGCGGCTTAGTCATGCTGGCCACATGACCCAGAAGCTGTACGCCGGCTACCTCGGCCAGTAAAGCGAGATGAGCGCCGCAACCCCTGAGTCATCCGCGACTGGACCTAACGGTCAGGGGTCCCATTACCTTTAATTCACCCTTTGTATTACATCTATTTGATTTTCTCACCAAACTTCAATACATGCAAGTTACGAATAGTCATAAGAGAAATGTTGCAAATAGCTTTGGCTTTCCTGTGTTAATATTTATGATTTTGAATGCAGCCAGGATGTCTGTGTCCACCCACGGATGCTGATCTTTCTCAGTTGGGCTTCCTCTTATGGCACCTTTACCCCATCAGGGAGGAAGCAGCAGCAGTAAGCAGGGCAGGGTGGTGGAATCTAGATCAGGACTGTCTAGGGTGAAGGATGACAGCCTCCCTTCATCCACTCCATGGTCCGGATCCAGACCCTGCCTATAGGGTTCCTATTTAGGGAACTAAAACCAATAATGCAAGAGGTCAGTCACATGCTTAAATGCCACATCTAGTTTCCACACCATACAAATCCAACACACTTTTAAACCACCGCATGGCTTCACTTCTCAGGATTCTTGGGGGAAGTCACGTGCATTGAACGTGCTTTAAATGTATGTTGTGGTTCTGCCCTAAGTGAACCCTGTTGTGCTTTTGGAGCAGACTTGTGCAAACTGTGAACCCACCAAGCGGAATGTAAGCAAATCAGTCTCTTAAGCTAAAGCCAAGAAATAGTATTCTCTATGAAACTGAATATCAGTATACGCATCAAGTTTTTGAGATTAGACCACTGAAGAAGCCCGGAAAACTACCTTGGGAGTGTGCTACCTGCAAGCCCCAGTAAAAGGGCCCCATCGGGGGCGAACTGCGGCCTCTTGATTTCTTGGACTGCCAGGGCGAAACAGGTGCAAAACACTGGCACCCTGTCTACAACTTCATTAACATCCATCTACAACGTCACTAGCATCTCTCGGTATTGTGAACAACATCAAACTGTCAGTCAGTCAGTTTTATTGCACATAGCCAAAGGCTGCCGCAATGTACACAGAATCATTCAACAATTAAAAGAAAATATGTTGGATTGATACAAAAGACTTAAAACATTTATATTATCAAAACATTACATACTCTAAACAGAGCTATAAAAGTACCCCAATATACAATATACAATATACCCCAATATACAAGACATTAAACAATAAAATCCATAAGACAAAATCATCACATGGCCACTAATATATCAAAAAACACCCTGTCTACAACTTCATTAACATCCATCTACAACGTCACTAGCATCTCTCGGTATTGTGAACAACATCGAACTTACCTTTTGTTGGTATCTTCATGAACTTACCTAAAAAGATAAAGAAAAGAAAAGACTGGGTTAAGCATTTGCAAAATCCATTGAAATCAGACATTATAAGTTCATCTTAGGTTGGGTAGTTCGCAAGTCTCTGTGGCTTTGCATAAGTTTGTGTGTTTTTTCTCAGAAGATTGATAAAGAATACATTATCATTTTGGCAAGTAATGTGTGTATATTTGTTATGTACTGAAGTTCTCACCCTGGGCCAGCAGGGGGATACTGTACTGAAGTTCTCACCCTGAGCCAGCAGGGGGATACTGTAGATAGTTATGCAAATAAGGGATCGAAAGTGACATTTAGTGATTGGATAGTTTTAGAAAATTGTTACAGTTACATTGTACTGGAGCTCTATATAAGCAGGCTGACTGAACCCTTCAGTTCAGTTCTGTTCTGGCCTGTGAATAAATAAGAGCTGTTTGAAGAATCGCTGTGTGGTCTGATATGTTCACCCACAACTTAACAATATTAGTCGCCAACGTGTTGCACTAGCTATTTATGGCATCCCACCCAGGCCTTGCTAAACTGGAGCTGGGTAGGGAATCTCAGGCCCAGGGACCAAATGTAGCTATCCAGAACTTTCTCTTTGGCCCTCATGACTCTTTGCCCCAATCCCTAGCCCCGACCGCAGTGCTTTTGCCTGGCCAGAATGTGCCCTTAAAGTGAAATAATACTTGAGGAGAGAGAAAGAGAGAGAGAGAGAGAGAGAGAGAGAGGTGTCCCTAGAAACTGCTGACTTCTGCATGGATGGAACGGAATGCTGTTCTGTCACATCGTTCATTGCAAACCCTCAAAGTGTCCCTATTTTCCAGGGACAGTCCCAGATTTGCAGAAGCCATCCCCGATCCTGGAATGTCTCGCTTTTCTCCTATTTTCATCGGAGAAATGTTGGAGGGTATGGAGTTATGTGACCCCCAAGCCAAGGCGATAAGTAACTATAAAACCTTTAGAAGACATCTGAAGGTAGCCCTGCATAAGGAAGTTTTTAAATGTTTAATGATTTGTTATGTTTTTATATATGTTGGAAGCTGCCCAGAGTTAAATGGGTGGGGGTATAAATAATAAAATTTTGATGAAGACGATGGAATACGATGTCCCTGTTTTCATCAGAGAAATGTTGGAGGGTATGCCATTGCCCTGCCCAGTTTGGCATCTGGCTGTACCCACCTGAAATATACTTGGAGTCGAGAGTGGATTTCATGCTCTTTATTCAGCTCATAGTGGTGAGGAGGAATGGAAGTTCCCCCAGAATGTCTGCTTTATATACATTATTTACACCATGGGCCCCAGGTGATTGTCTAATTCCAGAATTCTCCTGTAGGCCAATCAGGTTGCGGATTCACTTCCACCTGGAACTGGATTGGGTGGCTCCTGTGGACCAATCAGACTGCTGCATTCTGGACCCTATTGTTCTAGGACCAATCACACTGAGGCATTCTGAATCCTATTGTTCTAGGACAAATCAGACTGCTGCATTCTGAATCCTATTGTTCTAGGACCAATCAGACTGCCGCATTCTGAATCCTATTGTTCCAGGACCAATTAGACGGCTGCATTCTGAATCCTATTGTTCTAGGACCAATCAGACTGCTGCCTTTTGGATCCTATTCAACTCAGTACATAACACCACCCTTGCTAAATTGCTTGTGTTTTTGCTTCCTGTCTGGGACTGCAAAAGCACAAGGATTGTCAAGCATGTCCATTGGGCATGGAGCATGGAAGCCAAGGTGGCAGAAGCTGCCGCCGCTGGTGTTAAATTTCCACCTCCGGTGTTTATATGTGTGTCATTTAGTGGCAGTGAGAGTAACCAAATTCATTGCGTTCCCAGGCCTGAATAAACCTCCTACACTTGCCACTTCCTCTTGCCTTATGCCAGCCTGCCGTAAGTCAGAGGCTGAGAGCACTCTAGGAATGACGGTGGCAGGCTCAAAGAGGTGGGTGGACTCTTCAGGGTTGGTCATAGTGAAAGTCTCCGTTTGACGCAGGTGGCGGCTTCCAGCAAGCAGCCTGGCAGAGCCTGTTAGGAGATCAGTCTGAAAGAGAGGAGAATGCCAAAGTGATGAAGATAGGCATGGCTTTGGTTTAAATCAAAACTGGCAATCCAAATGAAGGGCTCCATTTTATCCAAGTTATTTAATACTTTTTTAAAATAATAATTTTAATTAAATTTTATAATTTTACATTTCAAATTAAACATATTTTATTATACCATACATTCACGGACTTCCCTCCCTCCCCTTTTAAGCTTCTTTTAACTTATTCACCATACCTGCATATTTTAATATATCCATCTAATTTAATTTTCCTCTCTTAAAAAGGTAAAGGTACCCCTGACCATTAGGTCCAGTCGTGACTGACTCTGGGGTTGCGACGCTCATCTCGCTTTATTGGCTGAGGGAGCCAGCTAAGCCACTTCTAGTGAACCAGAGCAGCGCATGGAAAACGCCGTTTACCTATTTATCTACTTGCACTTTGACGTGCTTTCGGACTGCTAGGTGAGCAGGAGCAGGAACTGAGCAACGGGAGTTCACCCCATCACAGGGATTTGAACCACCGACCTTCTGATCGGCAAGTCCTAGGCTCTGTGGTTTAACCCACAGCGCCACCCGCGTCCCAATTTCCTTTCTAGAATATGCAGAATTAGCAAGTCGAATAAGAGGAATAAGAGAACAAGAAGAACAGGGGAGTGGGATTTTTTTGTCAAGTATATTGAAAGTAATTGTGCGCAGTTAAAAACGCTGGCAGTATTAAAGTAATTCAACAGTATAACATATTTTGAACTGATGTTCAGTTCAATTACTTTCAATATACTTGACAAAAAATTTCCACTCCCCTGTTCTTCTTGTTCTCTTATTCTACTTGTTAGACTTGCTAATTCTGCATATTCTATCATCTTAAGTTGCCAATCTTCCTTACTAGGGACCTCCCTCATTTTTGGGCTAACAAGATCTGAGCCGCTGTTGTTGCGTACTTAAATAAGTTCTTCTGACTCCTGGGAACTCTGCCTGAACAATTCCTAACAGAAATGCCTCTGGTTTTGGGGGGGAAAGTTGTTTTACACATTTTTTTTCATCTCATTTATATCATTTCCCAATATACTTTAACTTTTTTGCCTGTCCACCACATATGGAAAAAAGTTCCTTCTACTTCTTTGCATTTCCAAGATAAGTCCGATTCCACCTTATGAACCTTAGCCAAACTACAATCTATGGATCATTTTCATGTACAGTGGTAGCTCAGGTTAAGTACTTAATTCGTTCCGGCGGTCCGTACTTAACCTGAAACTGTTCTTAACCTGAAGCACCACTTTAGCTAATGGGACCTCCTGCTGCTGCCGCGCCGCCGGAGCCCGATTTCTGTTCTCATCCTGAAGCAAAGTTCTTAACCTGAAGCACTATTTCTGGGTGAGCGGAGTCTGTAACCTGAAGCGTATGTAACCTGAGGTACCACTGTAATTCTCTTTCAGTGTATAGCATGCAGTCCCCTCTTGCAGCTGCTATTTACATTTGAAAAACTAGACACGCAGATCATATTCACAGTTAGTGTCATGACACTGCGAGGTTCATCTACCATTTTGAAAAAATGCTTCATTTGTTCATACTAAAAATAAAACATTACTCACGTGCTGCCACCCAGAAACAAGAATCCCTTACTTCCCATTGTTTAGCAATGACTAATCATCATCATCATCATCATCATCATCATCATCATCACCACCACACAGGGTATAGTGACCCTTTAAGTTCATGACAGACTTCCGCTGTATCTGATAGTTCACATCCAATGTCTTATTCTCCATAGCAAGACAAGCACACCGTATTTTTCGCTCTATAAGACGCACCTTTTCCCTCCTAAAAAGTAAGGGGAAAAGTGTGTGCGTCTTATGGAGCGAATGCAGGCTGTGCAGCTATCCCAGAAGCCAGAACAGCGAGAGGGATTGCTGCTCGCGGCTCTGTCCCTTCCCCCACCTCCCGGAAAAGCCCCCAAGAGCCGCGCTCCCTTTAAAGAACCGCGCAGAGCATGTATGCAGCTCTTGGGGGCTTTTCCCCGAGGAGGGTGAAGGGCTGCCCTTCTCCCTCCTCGGGGAAAAGCCTGTAAGCGCTGCACACACGCTCCACGTGGCTTGTGAACACTGTGACGGAAGCCAGAGCGCACGGAAACGCCGTTTACCTTCCTGCTGCAGCAGTACCTATTTATCTACTTGCACTGGTGTGCTTTTGAACTGCTAGGTTGGCAGGAGCTGGGACAGAACAACAGGCGCTGACCCCATCGTGGGGATTCGAACCACTGACCTTCTGATCGGCAAGCCCAATACCCGCAAACGGCTCCATGTGTCACCACTGATTCCACTACATACCAAACTGCTCCATTCCTCCCACTGCAAAATAATGTACTGTACAGGAAGCAAACCAAGGAGATGAACATGTGTCAAGCAAAATGTCAAGGGTGTCTCTGAGAGAAAGCCCTTGTGACATCATCACTTACACTTTCCACGTTGCTATGTGCCAGCAACGTTGCCATGTGACTCAGAATTGTGTGCTGTTTGTTTGAAATGCAGCATAGTGTTGAGAGACATGTGGAAAATAAGAAATGGGGAAGAGCATTGCCTCCGCAGTACAAGGAACCTGTGTGCATCTCCCCTAAGGCATATTATGCATTATTCTTTGGCGATAGTGAATTTTGCTTCAACAGATGAAAGCAAGTTTCTAGATCTCATGGTTTCGTATGAAAGTTTGAACATGTGCAGGCACTTGAGTCTGCTGGCATCTGGCCCATAGCTGTCAACCGTCCCTTATTTGGCAGGAAAGTCCCTTATTCCAGCGCTGTGTCCCACTGCTGTCCCTTATTGATGATGTCCCTTAAATTTCCCAGGTTTCAAAGGAAGCAGCTCCTCTCCCTCCCTCCCTGCTGGCCAGGGAGGAGGGAGGCTCCAACTGTGTTGCTTGGCTGCATTGCTCACCCAGTAAGGAGTCTAAGAATGACTGGGGGTGGAGCTTGCATGCCTTGTGCCGATCAAATCGGCTGCGTTGCCTGGGGACTTGCCTTTGCTCAGCGCTTCCCAGCGGAGAGGTGATGGTGGTTTTCCTTGCTGCATCCCCTTTGCCGGGTTGCTGCGCTGTGGGAACCACCGCTTGAGGCTTCATTTGGCTGCTTGTTGGGCTTTCTGCCTTTGGCTCGGAGGGGCTCAGAAGTTGAACATACCTGCACCCGGAAAATCCCTTATTTTGGCTGCTGATCCCTTATTTTCGGGGCTGCTGGTCCCTTATTTTCAAATCTGTTTTTGATAATGGAGAGCAGTTCTGGCCAGTTTTCCGGCGCAAAGACCATTGAAATGCATTGAGCATGCAAGAGGCGCAGTTGCACATTTCAAAGGGGCATGTGCAGCAGAAGTACCCAGCATGGAGGGCACCTCATGTTCTTTGCTCTTAAGAATCAGACAAGATAGAAATGGAGCCAGCTGCTTAGTTTTCCTCTGGGTTGATGTTTCTCATCGACCTAAATTCAAGTGTGGTTGCGGTGAAGAGGTTTGACAACACAGCTTGTGTGATTCAGCAGACCACTGCCCCACCCACTTTGAGGTTGTTTGCAGTTGCATGCTGAAATCTCAGTTTGTCATGTGAATTTTCTGCTTGTGAGAAGGAAATCAGTCATGTTGAGTGGTTCTTAAACTGCTGCTACTGCTCATGTGAACATAGTGCAAGTCCATGCACAAACATAAAGAGGAAAAGGGACCCCTGACCATTAGATCCAGTCGTGACCGACTCTGGGGTTGCGGCGCTCATCTCGCTTTATTGGCCGAGGGAGCCGTCGTACAGCTTCCGGGTCATGTGGCCAGCATGACTAAGCCGCTTCTGGCAAACCAGAGCAGCGCACGGAAACGCCGTTTACCTTCCCGCTGGAGCGGTACCTATTTGTCTACTTGCACTTTGACGTGCTTTCGAACTGCTAGGTTGGCAGGAGCAGGGACCGAGCAACGGGAGCTCACCCCGTCACAGGGATTCGAACCGCCGACCTTCTGATCAGCAAGTCCTAGGCTCTGTGGTTTAACCCACAGCACCACCTGTGTCCCTCTACGCACAAACATACACCACCATTAAATCTGACACATAGTGTGCCTTTTGAAGCGAAGAACGCCCATAATCACTGCTATGTATACTGTTGCCATCCTGCTTATTGTCCTAATGGCGATTTGATTTACCTGTCCTTCTGTTCACCTTTAATCCCTGGTGCGTTTGTCTTGTTACGCCAGTCTTTCATCCTCTATGGTCCAGGCTTCTGCAGAGCAGCAGAACTGAGAGGTGAACTTTTGCTGGACTGCACCATTTCAATATGCATTTGGTGCTGCTGAGGTACGGTACAGTGGTGCCTCGCAAGACGAAAAGAGTCCGTTCCGCGAGTCTCTTCGTCTTGCGGTTTTTTCGTCTTGCGAAGCAAGCCCATTAGCGGTTTAGTGGATTAGCGCTATTAGCGGCTTAGCGGGCTTAGCGGATCAGCTGATAAGCGGCTTAGTGGCTTAACGGATCAGCTGTTAAGCGGCTTAGCGGATCAGCTGATAAGCGGCTTAGCGATCAGCTGTTAAGCGCCTTAGCGGCTTAGCGGATCAGCTGATAAGCGGCTTAGCGGCTTGGGGAAAAGGGGGGGGGAGGGAAAAAACCCCGCAGGAACTCGCAAGACATTTTCGTCTTGCGAAGCAAGCCCATAGGAATTCGTTTTGCAAAGCACCTCCAAAACGGAAAACCCTTTCGTCTAGCGGGTTTTCCGTCTTGCGAGGCATTCGTCTTGCGGGGCACCACTGTATTTCTAGCCAGTCCCTGACACCTACCTCCTCAGTAGATCCCAAGTCTCTGCAGCAGCAAAAATCAGGGCATTAGGCTTGCACTCTTAGTTTGTCTTATATATGTGCAGTTAATCTGGATTCTTCCACAGGATTTTTATTGCTAGGGTTTCCTATGGGTTGTTTGTGGATTGCCCTCCACAATTTTTCAATATGAGATGGCTTGGTGAGGTCTACTGAAATGCTGTTGTTTGTTCTGAATTGAATTAATTAATTATTACCTTGGAAATGCGGCGTTTATATATTTGCATGCTTTTATATCTTACTATTGTACTTTACTGTAAGCTGTTTAGGCCAGGATGACATGGAAAGTTTACATACAAATAAACATGATGGTGTTCGCCTCTACATAGTTCCGTCCTTATTTCAGACATAGTGATATATCGATATATCACAATGCTGAAAACCAGATATCGCCCAGCCCTAATTATGATAATGATGGTTGGCTGCAGCTTTCCTTGGAGTGTTTGAAGGAACAAGCGGTGTTGCTGAGGGCAGGGGGAACAGTGTTGCCACCTTATTTTATCGCTCCTGCTCCTGCGCCTTTAACAGCAGCCTGCGGTGTAAACGTTTAAGTAAGAGAAGCATTTTCTGGCCCTGAGCTAGAGCAGCTAGGAAAACCTCGTTTGCTTAATTTATGCCTGCTGGGTTGTTAAAAAGTCAGTTTTACATAATTAAATAAACAGTTTGCATTCTGAGTGGGAGGGAAAGCAACAAAAACATAGTTGTTTGGGAAAAGCTAGCCTATCCTTTGATCTTCAGCTGTTTAGCTCACTGCTAGAAAACTGATGAGTGGCAGCAGAGGATCAGGAATCTTGAGTCGCTGTTGGGCCATATGTGTGTACCTTTCCTCTCGTCTACTGTACTTATTTCTTCTAAGCTGGGCATAAATCCTGGCTCTCATCACCCTTTTCTTCACATGCAAGCCAGTGAGACCCATCTCCCTTATAAAGACTCGGTCGAGAGAGGTTTTCAAACTTTCTATCCACTGAGGAACTGAGGTCATGGAGGTGCAATACAGAGGCTTCTGGGTACTTTATTCTCCAGCCCATAAGTTATATACCATATATTCTCCACCCCCATCGTTCTACCCAAACACGGTGTCCAGCGCCGAAGGCCTTCTGGCGGTTCCCTCCCTGCGAGAAGCCAAGTTACAGGGAACCAGGGAGAGGGCCTTCTCGGCAGTGGCACCTGCCCTGTGGAATGCCCTCCCACGAGATGTCAAAGAGAACAACAACTACCAGACTTTTAGAAGACATCTGAAGGCAGTCCTGTTCGTTGCTGTTGTTGTTTAGTTGTTTAGTCGTGTCCGACTCTTTGTGACCCCATGGACCAGAGCACGCCAGGCACTCCTGTCTTCCACTGCCTCCCGCAGTTTGGTCAAACTCATGCTGGTAGCTTCCAGAACACTGTCCAACCATCTCGTCCTCTGTCGTCCCCTTCTCCTTGTGCCCTCCATCTTTCCTAACATCAGGGTCTTTTCCAGGAGTCTTCTCTTCTCATGAGGTGGCCAAAGTATTGGAGCCTCAGCTTCACGATCTGTCCTTCCAGTGAGCACTCAGGGCTGATTTCCTTCAGAATGGATAGGTTTGATCTTCTTGCAGTCCATGGGACTCTCAAGCGTCTCCTCCAGCACCATAATTCAAAAGCATCAATTCTTTGGCGATCAGCCTTCTTTCTGGTCCAGCTCTCACTTCCATACATCACTACTGGGAAAACCATAGCTTTAACTATACGGACCTTTGTTGGCAAGGTGATGTCTCTGCTTTTTAAGATGCAGTCTAGGTTTGTCATTGCTTTGCAGTCCTGTTTAGGGAAGCTTTTAATGTTTGATGTGTTACTGTATTTTAATATTTTGTTGGAAGCCGCCCAGAGTCGCTGGAGAAGCCCAGCCAGATGGGCGGAGTATAAATAATTTAAAAATTATTATTATTATTATTATTCCCAGAATTTTTGAAGAGTGCTGGAAGGGGCACCTCTGTGAACAACAGTTCCCAGGATTCTGATGGCTGGGTGCTTTAAATGCACAGTGTATAGAAAGCCATCGGGTGGAATGTTTTGCAAGGATCTGTGGACAAGGCTGGCCTGTGCCGACGATGCTGGCAATGGCAACAAGCGTGTGGGTTGCTGACTCTCAGCAAAGGGGTGGAACAGTTATTCTGTCTTCTCCCCCCCCCACCCCCACCCCGCCGTCCCAATCAATCAGTGAAGCCGCATGCAAGCCCTGACAGCTACTCCTTGGGAGGTCTGAGCTCACCCTTTGAAACTGCATCTGGCTGCGGCTGTGTGAGCAGCTGCATGGGGCGTGGCCGGCAGGGAATGCGTTTGTTCTTGGCAGTCAGGGGAGTTGGGGCTTGTTTTATAACATTTTTTAACGCCCCCCGCAAGGCAAGTTCCAGGTGAGACTGCAAAGATCCCTATAGAGGGAAAGTGGAACAGAGGGGGATGAAGTGGGGCGGGCTGGGGGGAGAGAGAGAGAGACTGCTGCCTGCCGTGTGTGTGTGTGTGTGTGTGTGTGTGTGTGTGTGTGTGTAAGAAGGAGTAGCAGCAAAAGGTGTACAGTGGTACCTCAGGTTAAGAACTTAATTCCTTCCGGAGATCCGTTCTTAACCTGAAACTGTTCTTAACCTGAGGTACCATTTTAGCTAATGGGGCCTCCCACTGCTGCCGTGCCGCCATTTCTCTT